AACAATTCAAAGCTGTTTCTGTGCAGGCTTGGAGAGAAGGGGGCAAATATGCATTGCAAATATTTGTTTCTCCCCTTACAAGCCAAGCTGTCATAATGAAACTGGGAAGTAAAAGGACTGCTGGACTGATTAAATACTTTATTGTCTTCTCTGGGCCCCATGTGGGGGCGGGGCTCAGTGATTTGCTGAAGCATTGAGACACGGCTTATATAGATGCTATGCAACAAAGACAGTGGCAGCTGCAACAAGGATGTTTTGTGCACCCCAGGACTATGAGGGGGAGGGAGGGGAGTCCAACTGAGTTTAGTGGTGCTCACTTCCAAGTACGAACATAAGAAGTGCCTGCTGGATCAAGTCAGGGGCCCACCTAGTATGGCATCATTTCTCACAACGGTCAACTAGATGTCCATTGGAAACCTGCGAACAGGATTTGAGCACAAGAGCACTCTCCCCTCCTGTGGTTTCCAGCAACTGGTACTGGGAATCATTGCTGCCTCCAGCTGTGGAGACAGAACACAGCCATCAGGGCTAGTAGCCATCAACAGCCCTCTCCTCCATGACTTTATCTAATCCTCTTTTAAAGCCATCTCGGTCAGTGGTCATCACTGCCTCCTGTGGGAGCAAGACCCATCATTTTAACTACTCGTTACCTGAAGAAATACTTTATCTGTCCTTAATCTTCCAACATTCAACTTAATTCATTGGATGTCCATGAGTTCTAGAGTTATGAGAGAGGGGGAGTAACTTTTCTCTATCCACTCTCCCCATGCCACACATAATTTTATACATGTCTATTATTGTAGAAAGGACGCGGGTGGTGCTGTGGGTTAAACCACAGAGCCTAGGGCTTGCTGATCAGAAGGTTGGCGGTTTGAATCCCCACGACGGGGTGAGCTCCCGTTGCTCGGTCCCTGCTCCTGCCAACCTAGCAGTTCAAAAGCATGTAAAAGTGCAAGTAGATAAATAGGTACCGCTCCAGCGGGAAGGTAAATGGCGTTTCCGTGCGCTGCTCTGGTTCGCCAGAAGCGGCTTAGTCATGCTGGCCACATGACCTGGAAGCTGTACGCCGGCTCCCTCGGCCAATAAAGCGAGATGAGCGCCGCAACCCCAGAGTCGGTCACGACTGGACCTAATGGTCAGGGGTCCCTTTACCTTTATTATTGTTGAATGGTCTCTTTAAATTTGAAGGTTCATTATTGTTCCACAAGATGTGTATTTCTTTAAGGGTCAGAGCAAATAACGTGACCTAGTTTTACAGCTGTGAAGCAGTATAGCAGGTGCTGTTAAGTTGTGTTAATTAAGCCGTGTCAGCAATTGGGTATAGTATATAAAGAGCAGCACCTAGCTCTCTCAGGACCCTGGTGGTTGGGTCATGCTTATTGATATATTATAATTAATGTAAAAATGAGTTTTTGTTTTTGTTATTAAAACCTAGCAAAAGTTATTTTTGCGTCCCTTGTAATGTGTGGTCTCCCCAGCACGCTTTCTGCAGCGCAACTAATCTGCAAATAGCCAACAATTATATGTATGTAAATAAGTATGCCTAAGCTTGGAGTCCTCATCAGCCACTCTAGCGTTACCTGACGTGCTTTTCAGTTCTCATGACTTTCACTGACACAGCAGGAGCTGAGGACCTTTCACTGCCCCACCCCCAGGTGTGCTCTGAGCATGGTTGCAATTCAGTCTGTAGTCTCTGTCACACAGATTCTCAACAGCATTTCCTCCCACTAGTCCTGTTTTCTTTTGTTGTTTAAATAGGTGCTTGGGGACTGTGTTGGCTGACCAACCAACTCTTAATCATAGGGACGTGGGTTTGAGTCCCACATTGTGCAAAAATTCCTGCATTGCAGAGGAGTGGACTAGATGTTTCTTGTGGTCCCACCCAATTCTACAATTCTATGAAAGATGCCTATACTTGCAGTACCGAACAAACAGTTCAGTATGACCAGTGTCTTGTAGATTTGCCATCTGAACAAAACAACTGAGCTGTTAATAATAGAGAATTTATTGAGTTACATATGATAGCCATTGACCATGCATTTGCCTATGCTTTTAATGAGAATTCAAATGTTTCCATCTTGCGTCTTATCTATTCACTATATGTTTTCCAACATCTTTAATTGAGCAGAACTTTCAATCACCACACCATTCTTCCTCAGTCTGGTTACAGGAGTTCCACTGGATCACACTAAAGGTACAGTATCATGTTCCCAAGCACATGCGTCAAGGAAGCCCATAGCAGAGCATGAAGTACCCTCTCCCCTGAGCCTGTTTAGCTAGAATGGCAAACTGACCTGCCCACCATAAGTTTGCCTTAACACCACTTGAAAACCAGCCAGATTGGTGGCCCTTGCCGCACCTGTGGCAGAAAGCTGCCAAAGTTATGCATTGTGTGAAATGTAAAAAACAGCCTGCAACGTTTTTCCAGCTCACACTGTGATAAAGATGAATGGTGGCAGTTTTTATTTGTTTTGTAATCTGACTTTAAAAACAAACTGATCTTGTTTTTGAAAGCTGCATTGGGTTCTTTTTCAATGGAGAAAAACAAGATATAAATTATTGAAATAAAAACAAGTATGTTGGAAAGTATTAGGAATCTGAGAACATAAACAACACAGTGCCTATTCAGCATTTCATAAACTGAATGTTGTACACAATCTTTATCACCGAAAGGGAGTGCCAATATCACACAACTGAGGACTAGCGGAGGTTGAAATACAGCTTTTTAAAATGGTTTCACATGAAAGTGGATGACTAAGAGTTGACAATATTTTCCATACACAAAATGGAAGATGGAAATAATAATTACTGTGCTATGCCCTTTTTTCTTTTGTAGGCACCCCATCTTGGTTAGAGATAATGTTAATGCGTCATTCACTGAAACTGAAAAGTATCAAATTATTCTTACATCACCTTGGTATCATTGCTGAGGCACAGCGATATTCTGAGGTAATGTCTGGAAGAGATTGACAAATTATAAAGTGTATTTCGTACACACATTGAACATACTAACTTTACATGTTGCAAAGGCAAGATTCTGCAAGCACCTGCGAGGTTCTTTAGGCTTGCCCACATGACTATTTGGGTTTGTGTGTCTTTTTAAACACTTTCCTCTGTCAACAGCAGATTCCCTTGCAGTATCAAACTGCTTCTGAAGCTTCCCTCAGTTTTAAAAGTCCTGCCACATGGGACAAAGTGTGGCAGAGCTGCTGTTCAAGAAGCAAACCTAAAACACTATGGGTCATACATAACAGAGAATGTATTTTAATTCTGTATTTAGCAGACAACCCAGTAAAAGCAATGTGCAGACTTTACGGCAAGGGTCGGCAAACTAAGGCCCGCAGGCCAGATCCGGCCGAATTGCCTTCTAAATCTGGTCCACGGACGGTATGGGAACCACTGCGTGGATCTGATTGTTCAGGCCGCGCATGCGTTATTTCCCTCTCCCTCACATGGTGCCGGCGCTTCCTCCCTCCCTCCTTCTGGCTTCTCCCCGCCCTGCCTAGAGGAAGGGTGCTGGGCTTTGTTGGTGCCAGCAGCAGCAGCGTTAGCACTCAAGTGGCTGCCACTGCAAGCAGGCTCAATTTGGGCTTTGTTGCTGCCAGCCCCTCTCCGGAGCCCTTTTACGTGCCACTCATCATCCCACCGCTGCCAGCCTGTGCTGCTCACAGGACACAGGTAAGCAGCCACCAGGCTCATCCGGTGCTGTGAAGAAGGGAGGGGAGAGTCAGGGGAGTGTGGCTTACCTCAGTAAAATGTGTCCTGTTATTTAAAATGCATCTCTGGGTTATTTGTGGGGCCTGCCTGGTGCTCTTGCATGAAATGTGTCCTTTTAAAATGCATCTTGGTTTATTTTAAGTATTTTAAGTATTGTATTGTTATGTTTATGTTGATTAAAATTGTTCATTTTAAATACTGTATTGTTTTTCTTGTTTTTCGTGCACTACAAATACAGTATGTGCAGTGTGCATAGGAATTCATTCATTTTTTTCAAAAATATAGTCCGTCCCCCAACAAGGTCTGACAGTGGACTGGCTCCCTGCTGAAAAAGTTTGAGGACCCCTGCTTTATGGCAAGCAAAATTAGAGCATTGCATGCTTTTGCCACTGGACTGATGAGATGGTGCAGCAGGGAGAAAGGCACAATTAGGATGTTTCCTTTTTGGCAACCCCAAACATTCTCTGGGAAGGGGAGAAGGAAAGTTTGGGGTGATCATTTGTGACCATGTATCAAAGGACATAGCTGAAGACAGATGCACCAACACAAATTAGAAGCAGTTGCAAAAGTGCACTGGCATTTACATATGCTAAAGCTTCTAGCATATGCGGAAAATAATCTGACAGTAAATATGCATTACAGCTCTTTAAAGTTACCTCATGCACTTGTATAGCTAAATATACAAACCTGTGCGATAATGCTAAAGAACTTTGACATTTTCCCCTTTAATGTTGTATTTTAATCTTGTTTTTAAGTTGTATTCATTCAACTTGTTTTTATTATTGCTTGTTAGCCGCCCTGAGCCCGGCCTTGGCTGAGGAGGGCGGGGTATAAATAAAATTTATTATTATTTAGGATGCTCAACTTTTTTTCTGTGATGTTGAGTAACAGTATTTGCTGCATGGTGCGCATTAAGATGACCATTTGCCAGAAACTTTGCTGTGCAGTTATCTTCTCTTGTGTAGACATGTTTTAACCTGGCAATGCAATCATGGATCCTTCTTGAGGAAAAGGCACTGCTCTGCTTTACCCCACCTTCATACCTGTTTAGGCAGCTTGCTAGGAGTACTGGTATCAAGTTGCCAGCACTAGCCAAGAGCCCAGCCGCTGGATATTCAGGAGCAAGTTACACATCTTCATATTTTAAAGTAGGGTGGTTATATTCTGCAGACAGTGCTGCTGACAATTATAGACAAAAAGATGAGTGTTGGCTTTCTTTTTAAATTCACACTGTTCCACCCTGAACACAAGCTTCTACACAGCGAAGAACACAAACACCAGAATACAGGGAGCTTAGAAAACTGCCTTTATTTTATTAGTTGTTGGAAACAGGAAATACAGAAGAGAGTTTAGTTTGCTGCAGAACAGCAAGATGTTCACAGGATGGGAATTTGGCCAGCAGATTAACAAGAAACTGCATTTTCAGCTTGGAGCTGGATTCAGCAGGGGTTAACTTAAAGCTTCTGAAACATTCAGTTACCTTGACTGTAAAACAGCTGCTTTTCCCTTGCTCCAAAGGAGGTATTAAGATGAGCTTTCTGGGCATGTTTAAGTCATACAAATGGGTTGGACAATTACAAATGGGGAAAGGGCATCAATCTCCATTTGACTTTATTTTGCAATACACTATTAAAAAACCCAGAACACCTTACACAGAAGTTACAAGCAACAGTATTAGGAAATCCAATTATACAAAAAATACTACATCTAGGCTGGGGTATATAGATTTATTTTTGGTAACATACATTTAAGTGGCACTAATTACACAGTAACTATAAGGTAACTAACATGAAACAACAGAACTGTCACTTTTCATAGCTGGATGGGACTTTGGTCATTTCAGGATAATCACATTTTCCAACCACCAATTTTACACTTCAGAGCCTTTGAGTACAGAATCGGGGGGGGGGGGGGAGGGAAGAAATCAAATGTGAAAATACTGAAGTTACTCAGGACCTCATCCACAGCCATGTCTGTTGTGCCTGAATAAGCTAGAACATGTTAGTTATGAAGTAGTTACAGCCCAATTCTCAGTGTTACCAGCTTTCCCCTCCCCATTTCTAAAAAAAGCAAGAAGTTAGAGAATTGTCTTGAATTAGCGCCTGGCATATCCTGCAAGTGCAGAGAAAGTTTTGTTAAAGGAATGTTGAAGTTAACCCTTGTGTGCACAGATGTATTTGATGCAGACCGTTATAAAAAAATCATGGTTGGCTTCTAAATACTGGTAGCAAGACTCAATTTTAAATCTCTTAAGTAAATTATAGATAAATGAAAAAGGCTGGTAATCATACACTAGGATTAATAAACAGCACTTCAAAAATTTATCGAGTGCAGGGCGCTGCTTCAGCCATCTTCCCCTGGCCGTGCTTTACAAGAGAAGGCACCCAGATTTTTTCTTGCCACGCCGGGCTTGTAAAGCAGCTCTAGTGGCCATTTCAAAAACTTCCCTCACACCGTCTTTGGTCTTTGCACTGCACTCCATGTATCCAAAAGCACCAATGCGGTTTGCCATATCCCTGCCCTCTTCAGGTTTCACTGGCTCCTGTACAAACACAAAAACAATTAACATAGTTCAAAAGGAAGGAAGACGGACCATTTTGGTTTTTATCCTCCCAATTCAGATGCAAGCCCCTGATTCTCTGCTGCTATTATGAAGGGAATAAACTTCTGGCAATGCTCTTCTAGCAAAGTGAGGCCTTCTAAAATTGAAGTGAACACTTAAAAATGGTTTGGTACAGTACCAGTAGGTTTCATAGTGCAGCAGACAGTGCCAGTAAGCCATCAAAAACTTGAATCCTAAAACCTACGTTCTATTCCCTGTGGTTCTCTTCTTCCTTAAAGAGAAAAATTGTGAGATCATTTATTTGCTGCATTATTCCTCAGTATGTGTAGCAGAAAAGGGGGACTAGTTACTGCCCCAGCTACTGCTCAGGTGACAGCTGTTTTGTAAGTTAATGACATGTTGCAACACACATCTTAGTGATTTAAATGAACTTAAGAATTTGTTGGGCTTTTAGAGAAATGTCAGGTATAGACGTGCAGTTTAAAAGGACTATTACATAGGAGTCAAGAAACCTAATTTATTCATATTGCAGGATGTTACCAAGAGGCAGATAAATATCTCTAACAGTGAATCCCTCTGCACCCGTAACACTAGGCTTCCTCACTGTGAGCAAGCATTTTTACTAAAGAAAAGGGCATAATGTTTTAGCATCAAGTAGTCAATAATGTTTGTCCAACATCTTGAATATTCTCCAGTACTGAAAAAAATACTGAGACAATGACCTAAACTTTAGATCCTAAAGCTGCTCCACAAAGCAAGCCTAGGTAGGCACGATGCCGACATGGAACTTTCCATGTGATGATCTTGCTTTAGAAGCAATCATATTACTGCAGCAACGTATGAAATGTCCCTTTGTACCTGTGGCAGTTTTCTTACCACAGCATATTGCTTGCCCAGCTCAGGAAATCTAGTACTGCACTATGGAATTCTGGCGATGGACCAGTATATGCCACTGAACAGTTAGATTTGGCCATCTGGGTAGAGAGACAGACCAGGGGATGTGCCCACGCCATGAAAAATAAAAATACTGTAAACTATTTGCAATTATACAGTTTTATTATACTTTTGTTTAGTTGTCCAGAGGCATAATAGAATGTTGCTATTCCCAACTCAGGAAAGCCAGGCAGACTCTTCTGTACTGTCTCCTGGCAAGATGCAATTACTAGAGCCGAATCTTTGAAGGTTTGGTAGCAGGGATGAAATTCACTTAAGGGGGCTTAAATGTGCTGATGGAGGCGTGGCTGCACTGTTGTCTGGATCAGAGCACAGGAGTGAAGGAGGAGATGCCTAGCTACCTATTTAGCAGGAGCAGTGCAGGTGATTCTTGCACCTTAGGAGTGCTTTGACAATAAAGAACTAAATTTCTAATTGCGTGTCCTCAAGGGGGGGGGGGGGCTGCGTGTGCTGCGGACACGAAGTGGGCTTTAGCCCCCAAAAGCTTATGCTGTAATAAATTTGTCAGTCTTTAAAGTGCTGCTAGTACTTTTCTTTCAGTTGCTTTGCTAAAATTACACTATTATCTACTTTAAAGGGTTGATGTGAAGATAAAAATACTCAAACACTTAAAACTTAAAATGCTATTACAAAAAGGAGGATGGCGTGGGGGATGATTCAGATGAGAACTCGGTATACCAAATACAGGATCATGGATTGCACCTTGTCTGCACATCCATCTAAGGAAAGCTTGCCCTAGCAGACAGCCGCACACTGGATTTGCTGGGGACCTACATGTAAAGTCTACTGTTTGCAGGCATGAAGATCCTGATTGTGTCACATGTTCTTTTCACTGGTCTCCTCCCAACAATTCAAAATTGTTGGCAGGCAGGCAAGAAAAAGACTTTTAATTTTGTTTATTCATTCATCAGTATAGCCATTACAGCTTTCCTCCAGGGATGTCATGGTGGCATTCATGAGTCTATTTCCCCCCATGTCATCCTCACAGCAACCCTGTGAGGTAGGTTAGGTTGAGGGATTGACCCATGGTCACACAGTGAGTTTCATGGATGATTTTAACCCTAGTCTCCCAGGTTCTAGTCTTAATATCCCTCCACCTTCTTCCACATTCTGGAAAAAAATGTGTAAAAATGAAGAAGCTGGGGAAAGGGAATAATCTTTTCCCATAGATCTGGAAATTTATAGTGTCCCTTGTTGACAGTCCTGTGTGGCAACTTTGAGATTAGCTAATTCAGGCTACAATCCTTTACATACTTATCAGGAAGCAATTACCATGGAATTCAGTGGGACTTACTTCTGAGCAATGCACAGTTTCTTTGGCATAAACCCACAATAGAAATTGCGGCAACATGGACCTCTTTTGAACCAAATTAGGAGAGTTTTCTCTTTAAGTCAGGTTTTTGTAAAATATGTAAAATTTTGTGGTTTGTAAAACTGCAGAGGTTGAGTATCTACAGCTTTGCAAGGGAGGAGGATAGGGAGAAAACTGGAACAACTTGGCTGTACCCCTGTGACCACGCCCCATGGCCTCCTAGCAGCCCCACCAGGTCTAGTGGGCACCAGCTGCCCGGGCACACAAATACTATCAAATCTAAATTAACTCACTACATGAAGAGGTCAAAATATAATGTAACACTCAGATTGCCAACTCTGTCATCCATACTCTCTTGGTAGTACAGTGGATGCTCAGGCTGTGAATGTGATCCGTGCGGGATGCACGTTCGCAACCCGCAGCGGTGTGGCTGCGCACACGTGGGTTGTGATTTGGTGGTCCGCAACCCGAAAAAATGCAACCTGAAGCGTCTGTAACCCAAGGTATGAATGTAGATATCTGCTCCTGGTGACCAACATTAGAAAACCCGTCCCTCAAAGTTGTAGAACACCTTCATATGATGGGATCAATTTCTAGCAAGTCACAGAGAGGAACGAGCAGCTGCTCTATGAGGAGAAAATTGAGAAGCACCAGTATAGGAAGTAGCCTACAGTAAGCGTGACTCTTAAGAATTCAAGCTACTTAGCAGGCAGATTCCAAAGCATCTTTTAGGATATACATACTTTAAAATTCAAGTACTTTCTAAGCTGCTGTATTAGTAAAATAAAGATTTTCAGCCTCAGCCCAAGCCCCCAGTAGCACATACAAGAGGAACAGACACTGCATGGAAATGGGAAAAAAGACTTGCCTGCTTCATCTTGGCCAGTTCCCGCCTTGTGTGTTCATCATTCCTCAAATCCTTCTTATTTCCTACCAGGATGATTGGTACGTTGGGGCAAAAGTGTTTCACCTCTGGAGTCCACTTCTCGGGAATGTTTTCTGAAATAAAAATAAATAAAAATCAGAAAATCAATCTTCTGTTCAAGATTAAGGTAACACATGTACAGCAAATTTCCATGGGAGCTCATTTTCCCATATCCCTCACCAGCCTTACTGGCTGGGCTCTCAAAATGCTAGACACCAGTGTTTAAAGAGCCCAAACAAGAGGCCATTTGGGATTTTCCCAGCTGTTAGCAGTTAGTGAGAGCAGTCAGGATCCTCCCCCCTTCCCTAGGTGTGATCCTTGCACTGGTTCCAATGTATTCCAGTTTCCATTTTGGCAGCTCTCAAGTAGCTTATCCTAATGGAATATATTTTCCCTCCAACATTCTCTAATTTGGCTAAGACCAAATCCATAGCAGTTTCCCCACCTTCTGCCACCATTTCTTTGCCACTAGTCTGTTTCAGCTAGTAAACAAGGCAGAAAGGAACATTACGAATCTCAGCCTGCTACCATTCCTTGATTTAAGTCACTTGGCAAGATCTGTAGAAGAACGAAGTCTTAAAATTCTCTTTCTGCTGAACCAATGATGAATTCCCATTAATCACTAAACAGTACATTTTAGAGCAAGTTTAGAGTAGTTATAACTGGATTTATGGAAGAAATACTGCCCTTAGAAATATGTATTTTATATTTTTGCATATTCTCTCAAAAGTATGTTCAGCTAAGTAAAACATATTTCCCCCCCTGTTAAAATTACAGCTACCCTTGGTTAACAAACTATTCCCACGCATATCTGCATTGAAATTCAAGAGCATTTAAAGAGAAACGAACTTGCCTCTTGTGGAATAAAATGTGATCAAGATCAAACTTCATCACATCAGGGAAATTAATGTTTCTCCCAGCTCAGTTTTAGACACAGAAACATTGAATTCTCTAACTGTTTTGTCCTTGATATTAGCCTCCTTTCCTACCTTCACAAAAGCAATCTTTTTATACACTTTGTTCACAGCTATGATTAAGAAATGAGATTCCCTCCCCCAAGAACTAATATTTCATTGAAAACGCAAGTTCTCTGAAGTTTTAGCTTATATATAGTATAGACATCCTGCTAGTAATGCAGTAATTTAGAGGACATGACATGAATTTAGTTTTAAGTACTTACCTAAACTATCAGGACTATCAATTGAAAAACACATAAGTATAACGTCGGTGTCAGGGTATGAAAGAGGCCTAAGTCTATCATAGTCTTCTTGTCCTGCTGTATCCCATAAGGCCAGCTCCACCTACAGGAAGAATAAGGGCATTCAGTCAATAAAAGAAGGTACCTTAATAGATAAGGCTTGTCAGGGTGGTGTTAAAAGTTCTTGTCCTGAGATTTCAGAGCATGTCCCTCTCCATTTAAGCACTATCTCATTTAAAAAGAAATAATACACTGTTCCATATGCTACTTTCAACAGTGGTGAGAAGAGCTGTGCAAGGAGCAAAGGCCTTCTTTATATGGGCCCTGAACAGATTTCCAGAGCTTCGCTTTGAAAAAAGAATATCCACCTATTTGTTTGGCCTCCGCTAGTTAGAAAAAATGGATTTGAGTGTTTAGCTGTATCGCTCAGGAGTTTCACTGTTAGCTAGATTTTATAAAACTGCATTGCCGATTGCAGGTTTTGATTACTACCAAATATGACTGTGATAATAGATGTTTGCTTGAAGTACCTTGAATTAAAGGAAATTGGGGAGAATTAGTATCAATTGTATTTTTATAAACATGAACATAAAAAGGAATTGCAAGTAGGCAAACAAAACTGGGCCTTTTTTCTGGACACCCCCCCATCCTAAATTATGGAACTCGGTGCTGAGTGATATCAGGCAAGCCAATCTCTGATATTTTCAGTCAGCCTAAATTCATTCTGGCTTCTGGAGGTTAATTAAGGATGCTGATCATTGGGTTACAGTTTTAAACGACCATTTTGTCTTATGCTGTTTTACAGTTTTTAGATATAATTGAGTATTTTGAGTTTTATGAATGTTTGACGGAAATATGTTTAATTGTAAACCACTTTAAGTCTTGCCTAAAAGCAGGATAAAAGGTTTAAAAAACAAAACAAAACCCACAAACAGTTTCAGTGCTTTTAATTCTCTGTCCAAAAATTCAGTTTGAACAGTTCCTGAGGAACTTCTATTCTACTGAAAGCCACTAGTGTAGTGTACTGATAAGAAATAGCTTAACAGAAATATCAGTTTACATTTTCCAGATGCATATGATTGAACATTCAGGGGTTTGGATCAATTTGCAAATTATTCAAAGTATTACAGCCAAGATAAAACTGAAGGCCTCTTCTCATTTTACATTTTAATACCCCCCAGGACATATGTTCCCTGCTTCAGTTCATAATAAACACGTATTTAAATCAATGATTTTTTTGGGTGAAAATCTTTAAAGAGCAGGGACCAAAATGGATAAAGGTCCCTAAATTTGTTTACATTGTAGGGAAGAGTTGCAATTTAACTCACAAAGAAGTCATTCCAAGCTGACACGAGGCATGCACCTTTTGTACTTGGGCACCTACACTCATGTACAAAGAAGTGAGGAGGAGCACCAAGACTGAAAACAATTCTGTGAAAATGTCATTCTCACAAAACTGCCACTGGAGTGACAGACTTAAATACAGGGCACGGTAGAAGGAAAGGAAAACTTGGCAGGATTTCTCTGGGGTAAAGAAAAGAGAGACCAAGATTGTATTCATATAACCAGTTTTCCCCTTTACGTAGAAATTGCTAATACTGCTGTGCAGTAGGATAATAAATTCTTCTGCAGTTTAAAAGGAATATCCTGTATTTAAAATCCACGTATAAATGGCACACATACATACTGTTGTTTCTGAAGGCCTTGCAGCTGTTTTGGTGAAGCAATGTAAGGTGTGGGAGTAGAATGGGGAGGGTGATACTGAATTAGTAGTAAGCACTGTATGATTTGTGTATCTGTAAGGCAGAATTTGGGTATGACTGTAGCACTTTGCGAGTCAGGATGTGCCTTGGCAAGTGTGAGGCTGAAGAAGGGATCCTGGACTCTAAAGGTGCTTCAAAGTGACCTGCTATACTTTTGCAGTTTAAGATTTTATTGTTTATTGCAAAATATTATATTTATGTTTAATATTGTACTGCATTATATATTGTAGCCTCTCAAGTTTCATTGCTATATATTGTATTTGTTATTCTGTAAATAGCTTAGGGACTGTCTTAAGTGGTTTATAAATACATTACATTTTAAAAATAAAGAAACTTACAAAATTTAGCTTGGTTTAAAATAAAGTCTGGCGATCAAGAATAAAACAGATTCAGTTCTGCTTTTCATTACTTCTACACACTTTTTTAAAAATGCTGCTATGTGCTGCACTCTGCGCAAAAGAGGCATCCACACAAAATTTTAATTGGCAAAACAGTTTGTTCCAATACTAACCCACTGAATGTACAACATTTTAAGCTGTTTCTAAGATATTCTTTCATTAACTTTAGCAGCATGTAACTGAGAACAGAACAAATACCCTTCAATTTCATCCAAATGATTTGAAAGGGGGGCAATCTAACATTAAGCTAGTCAAACCTTCTATTTAGTGAGAGTGCTATTTACACAGAGTAGCAACCATATATGAACTCTTTAGAGAACCAGGAGGCCACCCCCCAAATGTAAACACATGCCCATAGATTCATCAAGTTTCCTTGGGATGGATTCAGATTTCATGTGAGCAGAATTTTGCTAATGGGATAGTCTCTATGGTGGAAAAGGGAGTGATTTTTTGCAGATTCCTCCTTTCTCCAACAGCTGCTCTGGATGCTTGGGACCTCTCTGTAGAAGGTAGTGTGGGGTGCATGAAAAGTTACCGTATTTTTCGTTCTATAGGACGCACATTTCCCCCTCCAAAAATTAAGGGGAAATGTGTGTGCGTCCTATAGAGCGAATGCAGGCTGCGCCGCTAAGCCCAAAACCAGAACAGGAAGACGGAGCACTGCGGAGCGGTCCGTCTCGCTGCTCTAGCTTGGGGACGGCTGCACGCACAGCCTCTCCAGGGCAGCAGGGTGCCTTCACCCCGCTGTCCTGCAGAAGCTAGCAAGGCTGTTCCCAAGCCAGAACAGCGAGACGGAGGGCTCCGTCTCGCTGCTCTAGCTTGGGGGCGGCTGCGCGCTCAGCCTCTCCAGGGCAGCAGGGTGCCTTCACCCCGCTGTCCTGCAGAAGCTAGCAAGGCTGTTCCCAAGCCAGAACAGCGAGACGGAGGGCTCCGTTTCGCTGCTCTAGCTTGGGGACGGCTGCGCGCAAACCTGTGCAGGGCAGCGGGGCGCTGCGCTCCAAAGGCTTCAGGGATCTTTGAGGCTGGCGGTGGGGGAAAGCAGCGCTTCCCCCCACCGCCAGCCCCACAAGCTCTGGTGAATGTACCTTGAACGCACCTTGTTTTAGAGGGGGAGAACAAGAAAAAAAATTTTTTCCCTGTTCTCCCCCTCCTATGATCTGGTGCGTCCTATGGTCCAGTGCGTCCAATGGAGCGAAAAATACGGTAACTGAAAATTACAACCCCTTTCCTCAGCAGAAACCTACTCAGTTCTCCTAGATGGAAGAAGCCTTTTCATTTGCAGAAGTGAGACTCAGGATTCAATCCATGATATTGATCTCTAACTATAAATTCATTTATGCTAACTATATACTCTGTAGAACAGATGCAGGTGATGTGCTAGTGGCAGAAGTGCAGACTCACCTGTTTTCCATCAACTTCAATATCTGCTACATAGTTTTCAAATACCGTGGGAACATATACTTCAGGGAACTGGTCTTTACTAAATACAATGAGCAGACAGGTCTTGCCGCAGGCACCATCACCCACTATAACCAGCTTTTTCCGAATGGCTGCCATTGCTGCAAAGAGAAACACATTGATGATTAAAAATCTAACAGAAATTATGGTTTTTTATGGCAGTGTGGTAGGGATGCCACAGGCTATTATTCCCTCTTGGCTGGAAAAGCTGACAAGAATGCCGATTCCATAGTTTTCTGCTCACCTGCACTGAATCCCACCCTCCTATACCACGGGGCAGCAAACATTTTCAGCAGGGGGTTGGTCCACTGTCCCTCAGACCTTGTGGGGGGCTGGAATATACTTTGAAAAAAATAATGAACGAATTCCTATGCCCCACAAATAACCCAGTGATGCATTTTAAATAAAAGGACACATTCTACTCATGTGAAAACACGCTGATTCCCGGACTGTCTGCGGACCGGATTTAGAAGGCGACTGGGTCGAATCTGGGCCCCGGGCCTTAGGTTGCCTACCCGTGTCCTATGCTTTTCACACCAACAATGCTAATTTTAAAGTAGTCATGGACAACTCTGATGCTGAGGTGTGCAGTAGCAACCACTCCTGATTCACTCCTTTTGCCATACTGTGACAATTTCTAGACTGTAATTTCTAACTGTGAAGATAGTTCAGTAATTTGTGTAGAGTTTTTGGGATGAGGCAGGCTGTATTTGGAGCCCAAAAGAACTTTAAAACCCCCGGACCTTAAGCTTGAGACTCCAATTGTAAATATATAAAATGGATGTGTACCTCCCCCCACCCAACTAACACTGGTAACGTATTCCCTTACTCCACATCTATCAAGAGCCAACTACACTGCATTTCCCCCACCCAAGATTAAGAGTGGTCTCCCCTTTAAGTTGCTATGGTTTCAGTTACAGCTTCACAACATCTAACATTTTTATTAAGAATCTCATTTCTTTATTTTTTCTTAAAAATACAACTGTTCTATGGTTCAGTGTCCAAGACTTTTGTATAATAAAGAAGAATTAATCTAATTGTATTTTTGATTATATAAAACACATTATTAAGTAAGTAAAAAATACTTATTTTCTTAGAAACTGCAGTAATCCTTAACAAGTAAACTCATTTGTATATCTCATTGTATTGCACTGCCTGTGTCTTCACAGTTTCATAAGATTCTTTTTAGAAGAACAAAACAATTAGCCTGGCAGCCTCAGGAGTGAAATGGAAGAGTGGAAGGTAACCCTGCAGAACATGAATCAGAAACTATTTTCCATGGAAGGGTTACAGTGAAGACATTTCCTGAAATCCTAGCAGTTTCTAATAGTCATCCCAAGAGTGCCATGACGCAGCTCTCTCTGCAGCCCAGTCGACCAACAGGAAATAATATACACATAGCTACCAAACTGTCTAATATGAGAGATTCAGACAGCAAGCTTAAAGCAAGAAGAAAGTGATCCGTTCCTGTGGTCTTGGATCTTTCTGCCTCTGAAAATCCTAAACAATTTAGGGGCAAACTGAACTTTCCTTACTTATGATCACATAATTAGAGATTAATACTGGATTTACACACAACTGAAGTATGCTTTCTGAAAAATCTTTGCACTGCAGAATTACAAGAACAAGACTCAAGCAAAAACCTAGATGCAGAGATGGAGCAGCTTGGGAAGCATCCAGTCATGGCAATACTGAGCCAGATCCTTCTGAGTCACCTAGTGTACTTAGTTCTATGAACCGTCATATGGATTCATAGGCACTGAAGTCAAAGAACCATTGTGCACATATACTACTGCCCTATCCACAAGTAGTGTAATCCTAATCATGCCTACTCAGAATTAAGTCCTACCTATTGAATTCAACAGGGCTTACACTCAGATACAGGGGGACAGGATTGCAGCAAAGGCAAAAATCTGATGTAGTCATACTGGTATCAGACCTACACGACATTGTTGAACTACACAGGATAATTTAGAAATATCCAGTAAAATATACTGAGAAGGAAAAAATAAATTTCAAGTGCCAGGTTCTCATAGCTCATGGTTATGATTTTATGGTGATTTGTAACGGTAAATACAAATGCAGTGCTTAGCCCATTGACAAGTGGAGTCAGTTGCACACTAGATACACTCCAAACCCAGAATGCAGGGTCAAGTGTAAAAATTGTACAGTGCCAGTAATGTAAAGTAAGGACATTTTGAAGCCATGAAGCCCCAGTCTTTCAGATTTTTGGGGGTGAAAAACTAAGATGTTATCACCACGTTGGACACTGCTTTCTTTTTGGGTGAAGACAAAGTAGATGTTGAACAGTTCTGCTTTCTCTCCGTCATCCAAAAGCATTTCTCTGTATTCTCCACGCAGAGGACCTACTAATTCCTTGTTCTTTCTATTGCTTCAAACATAGCCATAAAACCCCTCTTATTATTTTTAACCTCTCTTGTAATTCTGTGCTTGTTTCTGAGCTTTAGCCTGCCTGACCTTCTCCCTGTAAGCACTGGCTACTTATTTATACTTTTCCTTTGCAACCTGCCCCTTCTTACCCACTTCTTAAACATGTCCCCTTTAAATCTCAGCTCATCTGAAAGTTCCTTATGCCCCCACACTGGTTTCTTTAGGTACCTCCTACTATACTTGTTTGTTGGAATTGTTTGTGGTTGTGCCTTCAAACATCTTTTTTAAGAAACTCCATCTATCATGACCCATTTTTTGAGTATCTCAGCCAGTGTAGTTCATTATGCTTTTAGAAATCAAAATTTTAAAAGTCCAGAGTGCATGTCCAACTACACTCAGCTTTCCCTTTCCTCTGTATAATGAATCCCAAAAGGAAATGGTCACTTCCTCTCAAGGTTCCACTACTTCCACTTTACTGACCAGCTCTTCTCTGTTGGTGAGAATGAAGTCCAAGAAAGGCAATCCATTTGTTGCTTTTCCCACTTTCTAGAAAAACGAAGTGACTATTATATCTCTTTTATGAATGTTTGTTAATCTGCTCTATGAAAGCAGCATCCAAAGCCATTACTTAGCCTGAAATTGTTTTTAGTTTTTATGCTCCTTCTAGAAATATGCAGCCAGTCTTAAGCAGTAGGAGGTAAATTATGATTGATCCAAGGAGCTGCTGAATTCTGCTGATACAGAGATTGCTAAGAAACTCAAGACAGGAATCTTTTCGGAAAAGGAAAATTAGAACACTTTTGCAATGGTATTATTTTATCAAATTGGGCCATATCTAGACAATGGATTTCCCCCAAGAATTTGTGATTAGAACACTATGGAGTCCAAGACCTATGGATTAAAAACACATTGAACTGTCCATTCCAACTCTACAATTCTTTGATTCTATTATGCTTTGAACCCTGGTCCTCCATGTCCTGATTTTATATTCTGGCCTGACCACGACACCGCTAGCTCTTTGTATTTTATCCTTTATTCTATTTACCATATTTTTTGCTCTATAAGACTCACTTTTTCCCTCCTAAAAAGTAAGGGGAAATGTGTGTGCGTCTTATGGAGCGAATGCAGGCTGCGCAGCTATCCCAGAAGCCAGAACAGCAAGAGGGATCACTGCTTTCGCTGCACAGTGATCCCTCTTGGTGTTCTGGCTTCTGGGATTCAGAATATTTTTTTTCTTGTTTTCCTCCTCCAAAAACTAGGTGCGTCTTGTGGTCTGGTGCATCTTATAGAGCGAAAAATACGGTATATCCTTCAAGCAAAATACACCAATATTGAAAAATAACAACTTCTCCAGTGTCTGGAAGATCTGTAGTTTCCAAAAACTTTCATTTTTGTTTCATTAACTTCAGAAAATGGAAAATTTGTATGAATTGAAACACACTTGAACTTTCACATGGTTGTTGCTTGATTGATAAATGTTTGAAAATGCATGATTTCATTTGTACATGTCACCATGTTGCAGGAACAAGCAACACACTTGGCAGACTCTCAGACTGCATTCCTGGAACAAATACCTGAAGACATTCTGTGTTCTGCAGCATTTGAAAGTACTTTGGCAATATTAAGTCCCAAGAATGTTGCTTGTTCAGCAACCTGGTCAGAGACAAAAGCAATGCTATAATCAATTACATTCGTACCTTTGAACTTGATATTCAAGAATTTTTCATGTTTTTAAAATGTTGCTTTTAAGTATGTTGCTTCATTCCAATATTAGAGGCCTGTTTCCATTTAGGAACAAACGAAGGTCATGGATACATACATTTCCCATGGCTTGTCTTTTCTGGAACAAGCACACTTGAATACAAAAATAGCCATGAGATCACCACTGTTCTTTACTGCTATTTCTCCTTAAGTGCACCAAGAGCTGCTACTTCTAAGCTACATATAACACAATACAGCATTCTGGAGAAAAGACTTCTGAATTTCTGTGTGGAAGGGTAATGGGTTTTATTTAACCCTAAGAAGATGATTACTCAGCAAATTTCAGTGAAACTAAAAGGGCTGTGTCACTATCACAAAAACTGGGGGGTTTGCATTATTTTATCTATTTGCTAGTTGACTTAAGAAGAAAAAAAAGGCCTGCCTCCAAATTAAACTTCGTGAACCATCAATAATCCCTTGCCAAAACTATTTTCAGACAATGAAAAATCAGTACCCTAAGTTGCTTAGGGAGTTCAGCATGAGAACACACAACTAATATACTGTATTCTTATTCTTGTTTAGAGAATATTCCATCTAGGCCTAGGAGATATCACTGAACCATCTAGAGTGCCACTTCCTTGCCTACAAATTGTCTATTTCTATACAATGATACAAACCAATGCAAGCATTATGAATGTAGCACTGAATACAGTAATTTATAGTTCCTTGAAAAATGAAAGAGAAAATACACATACAGTGGTGCCTCGCAAGACGAAATTAATCCGTTCCGCGAGAGTCTTCGTCTAGCGGTTTTTTCGTCTTGCGAAGCAAGCCCATTGACGGATTAGCGCTATTAGCGCTATTAGCGGTTTAGCGGCTATTAAAGGCTTAAAGGCTTAGGGGATTAGCTGCTAAAAGGCTATTAAAGGCTATTAAAGGCTTAGCAGATTAGATAAAGGGGGAAAAGCGGGAAAAAAATCTCAAGACTCGCAAGGTATTTTCGTCTTGCGAAGCAAGCCCATAGGGGAATTCGTCCTGCGAAGCAACTTCAAAACGGAAAACCCTTTCGTCTAGCGGTTTTTCCGTCTTGCGAGGCATTCGTCTTGTGGGGCACCACTGTACTTTCATGTAACATTTGATAGCAGAGAAGAAAGACCTGGGCAGTACAGACTGAAAGGGAAGCTACAAGTCTGAAGCTCAATGCCCAAAGCTCAGTGCTTTTAAGCCTTAATAGTCTGCAAAAGAACAGTCAGCTTGTCCCACATCACCATTTTCAGCTTGCCAGAACATTTTATCAGAAAGTTGAAGTACAATTTCACACTACTGTGTTTAAGCAACTGAGGATTTTTTTAAGGATTCTTTTTTAACACAGAGATTTCTTTGGGTCAAAGTCTTAAGTTTGCATAAAAATGAATACATAATGGCTTTGGGGGGGGAGTTTATAACTTAAGTATGTGCAGGAATAAAGCCTAATTGTCTCCATTCTGAGATTCTTATCCATCTCATTAACAGGTGTCACATTAGGCATATAAACAGCCACTTGCTTGGTTGCTGTGGAAAGTTAAGCATTGTCTCCAGGTGGCCATGTAGTTTTTGTAAATTTGTTTTAAACCACAAGTGATTAACACAAGTATATGGAGGCAGGGTGACCTAGTAACTTGTAGATTTTCAAGGCTGTGTTGTATTAAAACATCATAAACCAAGGTAATTTTCAGGTTCTTAGTTGACAGTATCCAAGATGTATAATTTTTTTTGCTGCCATAATTCCACATACGTCAATAATGAAATGTCATGAATTAAGCTTCTTTGAGCTTTTTGAATTTTTCAGGTGCGAACTATTTTACACAAATATTTACATGCAAAATTGAAGCAGCAGAGGCATAACTTGCAGACAGCTAAACAACAGAAGTGTGTGTTACGCTTAAGAAAAATGCAGAAATAAATTAGAAGACTAGATTATTAAACATGCAATGGAAGATGCTTCTCTGAGAATTTGTGATACTTGTGCTAGACATATACAATCTGTCCTATACACAGGCAACACAAGGAAACTACCTCAGTCATTAATTTCATACAATGAGCTCTTCCCCTCCTTCCTTCAGATCTATCTGCTTTTTAACCACAAAGAGTAGGCTTTAAGATGTCTTGCAGCCTGTTGCAAACAAGGGGACAATTAAGTTTTAAAAATCTAAAAGCAATATATTTACACCTGCTAGCTTTGCAGAATACTTTTTCTGGTATCCATCGGGTGATAGGAAGAACTAGGGAAAAAAGTTATGCGAGAGTTAAAAAGCTGCTTCCTGTTGTTAAATTAAGTGCATGAGGTAAGCTGTTGCCAGCTGCCAAATGCTACGTTAGCTTTCTAAATTAAAGACTTAAGACAGAACAAAACTTGCTTTCAGTGTGTTATTTTGGTGACTTATGTCAGCTTTTCAATTACAATGAACACAGTGACTTAGGTTTTATAAATCATTCCTTCTTTTCAAGTCCCACACCAAAATATAGAGATCTGACATTAATGACATTTACCTACTGCAAGTTAACATTGTACCTATACTGGCATTAAGTATCAGAATAATTTTTAAATGGTTTCTGCAGTCCTAACTGAACCACTGTTTTCCTCACTTGTGGAAGTTAAGCAAATATGTATTAATAACTTTATGGGCTAGATCCTTATTTCCCATGAGTGAAATTACACTCATGCGCTAATGGATTAAAGGAGATTTCTCCTCTTCCTCTCTGCAGCCCATAAAAATCTGCTCTAGAGGGATGCGGAACTCTCTGATAGAGTGGTGGTGCTTCCAATTGCTCCCCATCAAATGGAGCCAGTGTTTGATGCTTTTTAAATATGGCACAAAATATAAGCCCTGCTGGGAGTGGTTTTACTCAGGAGTTTTTGGGTGCAGCTGAACGCTGCTGAAAGCAGGGCTTACAGACAGCAGGAATCTTTGCAGCTGCAGCTTGAATTCAAGTTTGGGCTGCAACGAAAAAGGGAAGAATTGGGGTGCTTAAGTGCAACCCTGATTCTTTCTTTGAAGTTATATGATATATAGTGTCAGGTTGTTAACAGGTGGGTAAGTCTTGCCCACGTCTCAAAAGTGGCCCGCAGTTGGTGGGCCAGAACAGGATCCTGCCTACTGCTCTGATCAATTTGCCAGTTTGCTCCAACAGGAATTTGTGCTGGATTGGAGTCCCCTCCACAAACCAAAGGAGCCCCTCAGTTGTAGAAGGACATGCCTGGATCCAACCCTATAAAATTAGGACTATCTTCATAATATTAGTATTTCCACCTTGAAAATATATATATTATTTTTACTGAAAATGAAAAATAATTCACATAACAACTGCACAGTTATTAAAGTTAATGATTCCACTTGAGTTAAGTATCTTAATCTGGTAGGCTAGTGCAATAAGCAGGGTGTAACCTTTCCATGTCTGTATATGACCAGAGAGAAGATGAAAGGTCAACTGAAACATCACCCTTGCTTGCCAAATCACAAATGGCTTTTAAACCTACTATAGGTTTCAGAAGTAGTGCCTTTTCTGTAAAGGAGACTATTGTCTGGAAACATCCACCTTTGAAACCAGTTGGACACACAGACCTACTAGTAGAGTGGTTCTTTGGATCTGTATGTGCCTAAAAGCTGCTTTAATGGAACTGGAACTTCACTGCAATCAGTGCCGTAAACTGCATTTCATACCCTCTGTATTGAGGCAATTTCAGCCTCAGTATAAACAGCTTCAATTTTGATAAAACAAGAGCCAAGGATACTTCCTAAGAAAGCTAAATTGGATTTGAGAGATCAGAGCATGCAATAACGCTATAAGCAAATTCACTATCGCCTACAGAAGAAAAAATAAGCAGGACAATAAGAGTCTGCACTGAATGCCTTCTTTACCTGCAGGACGAATGTTTTAGTAAACATTTTCCTAATACATTTTGACTCGGGACCAATATTGAAAATAAAAATAAATAAATAAAATTATCAAATTGCCTTCAATTGCTACTTTACTAAGTCTACTAAACAGAATTATGCTGAAGTAGTAGCAACAAACTGAAGACATCTAATCAAGTGAACTGGGATTGCTATAGGATACAACAAACTTTCAGGTGACTTCAAGTATCTGACAGCCTCATTTTGTAGTCAGCTATAGCTGGTTCCTGAAACACTGCAATTTCTCAGCAGCTAATATGTATTAATTGAGCACTCTAGAGCCCATCACTGGAATAATTTTTCACCGTCCTCCATGCAGACTAATTCACTTCTTTTATTTGATAACTAATCAGAAAATAATTCAAATTATCTTTATTCAACCAAACTCAAAGTGCAGATATAAAAGTGAAAGTCATAATATAGCTGTGTAGATTAATTACCAACCTAAACATTTATACTGAAGGGAGCATAGAAATTGACTAAACACACACACAAATATTGTAGACAATGCTTTAGTATGCCCCTCCTCAAAAGAGAGTCTTCTGTGATACGGAAAAGGGTCTGATCTGACGAGAAGGGTTAAAAACATTACTAAGTTGGAGTTACCACGAGCAAGAGACATTGTCAAGCTGGAGTTATCACGAGGAGATAAGGGAAATTACAGCTATAAGTATGAAGAAGAGCCGCGGAAGGGCTATGGAAGTGATCTGAGGGCCTCGGACATAAGGTCACCGGGTTAGACTGATGGGAATAAGGACTGACAAATCCCGGAACCAGGAGGAAGGGACGTTGGATAAAGACTGGACTTGTCTATATCTTTTTTTTTCTCTTTTTCTTTATTATTAGAATGTTTACAAAGTTGATGAAAGATAGAAAAATGTTGGAAGAAATTACCTGGCTTTAGTAAAGATGTATAAAGAATTATGAAAGAACATTATGATCACAAGAAGCTGGTAAGGTTAAGACTTAAGTTTTAAACTTTAAGGTTTATTTTATTGTAGAAAGATAGGATTAAATTAGTCGAGGGTAATGTAATGATAGAATTTTTTGAAACATGGAAAGGAAAGGATTTGCTGGGATAATTAATAACTAGAATACAAAGGAAGGGAGGAGGAGGAGGTCTAAGAAAGAAGGCAACGATAGTTAAGGGTCTGAAAATAATGAATTTGTTTTGTTTTTTTTCCTTACTCTTTTTTCTGTATTTTCTATTTTCTTGTATTTTTACTTTTTGTATTTTTACTTTTTGTTTTTGTTTTTGTGTAATTTTTGTATCCTTTGAAATTTTAATAAATATCATTAAAAAAACAAAAAACAAAAGAGAGTCTTCTGTGAAGCAAGTTTTGGGAATGCCTCTGCGGCAGTACAGCCAACCAAATGTTTTCTGACAGTAAGGCAAAGGACAATTCAGAAAGAATTACTCTTGAACCATGAGCCAAATTGCAGGACAGCAGCAGAAACATCCTGAAGTGGGTTGCAGCTACCAAGAAGCTGAAGTTTACTCCCAATTAAGTGTGAAAGATAAACACATAAGGTTTCTAATTCATGTAGAGGAACAAAAACAAAAAAACAAAAAAACCCCAAAGTTGACAAACCTTAGAAAAGTGGTTGTGACTATGAGTCATTCCTTGGTGTTGACATTTAAGGAAGGAAGTACATGTCTCTCCCTTCTAGCCTCCTGCAGGTCTTCAGTTTTGCCTGAATCAAAAGTTCCTGGATAATAGATTCTGTATATTTGGGGGCAGGGAAGGGGGAAGAATCAAGATCCAGGAAATGAAGGCATAGACACAAATACAATCCCCACTGAAGGGCATCATATTTCTGGATAGTTCCTGTACCAAGATTATAAAATTATATTCTACCTCATAGTGTAGTTCCATAACACTATGTAAAACATAGAAGACTAATAGGAAAAAGAATGACCAGAAGGTATATTTAAACTTCTTTTGGAAAAGGAAAGTACCAGCTACTACTACTACTAATTTATTATTTGTACCCCATCCATCTGGCCGGGCTTCCCTAGCCACTCTATGAACAGTATGTAGTCAGAACATTTAGCGGGGAAAGGCTTTAAGATAGCAGGGGCTACCCTGTGGCCCACCTGCGCCCTCTAGATGCTACTTGACTACAATTCCCATCATGGCTGATAAATGACTATGCTTGTGGGATTGATGGTTGAGCAATATCTGGAGGGCCACAGGCAAGCCACCTGTAGCTTTAATGGAAGGCTGAATTTCTCTTTTCTTTAGGCTGTTTTAATTAGGTGGTGTACACTCTGCACTCAAAAGTAATTTTGAGTCTCAAATACATTTCTGGATTGAATCAGAACCAGAATGAACAACTTCAGCCGCAACTACTAAAAGTCTGACCCGTTTGCAAATTTAGACTGTTTACCCTTATGTATCTTAGTAAGGAATTGGTTACAACTTCTGAAATCTTAGAACAAAGAAAAACCCATTCCAAACACACTGACTTGGGCTCACCTCCAAATATACATAGAACTGAGTCTGTCTCGGCAAAAATGGCTATATAGAAGTAATGAACTCCTGCTTCCAGAATGTTACTGGCAGACAAAGAGCAGTTTGTGTTGTCACAAAATGCAAGTTGTTTGCCAAGAAAACCCATACTAGTGTGATTCAAGCTAACCAAATACATTTTAAGTATATTTGCTAATTTTGCACATTTTACTCTAAACCAAATATTAGATATTTAATTACTTTGGCAAGTAAAAATGCTGCAGTGGTAGAAGAGTTATAAGCATCAAGGTTGGGGGAAATCCCCCCAAATTGACCAAAGAACCTGCATTGAGTGTAGTTCCAGCTTATGGAAGTTGCTTCTGCTTGATTTTGGGGGGTCCCCCTAAGTGCCACAGCCCATCCCCTTCAGCAGGGCCCTGCTACTCAGTGGAGCATTTTCAGGAGTCTGGAAAAGTCAGCTTCTGCTAGTCCCATTACACACACTTAAGTCTGGATTGTAACTAATATTTCTCTTAAGGATGAACTCAAATAAAATTAGGCAACTAACATAAAACTAACCAACCAACCAACCAACCAACCAAAAGGATTATAATCAGGGGTAGGGAGACAGGCTGATCTCAAGCAATGCTGCAAAGGGAATCTGAACCTAATGGTAGTCATTGGCCTTCTTCACGTATAACGCTAAATCATAGCTGAGCATTATGAAAACAAGTTGGAACAAATCTCAAACTCTGGCTCCCCTTCCTCCCTGGCACAGTCATAAGGAACTCAGATGCTTTTGCTTCAGCTTGTTACATCATCTAAACCTGAACTGTGGCTAATCTTAACTATGGTTTGCTGAAACAAGTCCGCTTTATAAACTGAGGTTTGAAGTTAGCTTGTTTAAACAAACCATAGTTATGATTTGTCTGGGTCTGGAAGACAGAACAAGCAGACAATAGAACAAGCTGAAGTTAACTTAAAATCTAAGCAAAGGTTCTTGCAGATACGCTGAAGGAGATGGGAGTGCACAAGTCAAAGGTTTAGGGTTACATTCAAATGCAGCTACTGAGTGACTATGGATTTTAATATTATGCAAGTGTCTCCCCCCCCTCCACCTCAAGCTTAGAAGCTGTACATATATTTGAAATGAAAAGTTCTGGGATGTCTTTGCCTGAAGCTATTCTAATTCCAAGTTTAGGAATTTGAAGCTCCAATCTGATTTACAATGCATGATGGGTATGATTGAGCTTAAAGCAGCATCTAAATGATCCTACTATTAAATTTACTCTGTATACAGAAATTGAATTTTAATCATCAGCTGTTTCCTAACTGGATGGGTCAGCAATGTGAATAAAATCCTGCAAGCACTCCAGCCAAGCACCTTCATGCCAACTGGAGCCAGGGTCCAGCTGGTAAGCAACACAAGCTTCTTGCTCCAAGGCTACCAGTTTTCATTTACTTACATAAAATCAAATCCCAACCAAGCTTCCAGAAAATGTACCGAAGTATGCTACATAAAGAGTATTGGTGGAATTGTATATCTTAGAAACTGTTTAATAGATGTAAGGTATCAAAGAGATATGAAATATTAAAACACTTCAACTTGTTTACAAGATTCCCCGTATATGAAAGAACTAGCATTTTTGGAGACAGATGTTTTGAAAGAACTTCCAATGCTTGAGAGATATGCAATACTATTATTAACCATTGAAGACCACCTTATGGTTGAAATGCATTCGGCAGATGGGGGGGGGGTTTTCAATCTTCATTGGACCCAACATATTCTGGTAATTTATATTATGCTGAAGTGATTTAAGTAGTCATATATAGAAGTACAGGAACGTAAAGAGTTTTGTTGTTTTTAAGGATAATAAAGTTGCAGAAAAAAATACTAACAGTAGTCTTTCACTTATCTGGTATTTAAGTGAACATTGGCCACCCTTCTGTTGGTGCTCTGGTACTTAAATCAACTTATTAGCCAACCTTAATTTTTTATCACAGTCAGTTCCTCCCAAGTCTTCTGTTTATGTCTGAAGATTTAGGAAAGTGACTGGTAGTATTATACCATTCTGGGCTTTTGGAAAAGATAGAAGCAATGCAAGTCTCTTGTCACTTTTGCTTTTTCACAGCTCAGTACAAAAAAAATCCATATCCCAACTCAGAAGATAAAAAGGCAGGTCAAGCTGAGAAGTTCAAGCTGAGAAGAGTTCCTGATCCTTGGCAAGCAAATTTGTGAAAACTTGCATAAGACTGTAATTTGAAAAGGCAGTTCTAGTCATTTTTCTTTGTTCCTTTTCAGCTTTTATAGGGTTCAGTGCAAATTTATTTCATCATACCTACAGAATTATGAAAGGTAGAAATATTAATGAAAACACCGAGTTAAGGGGAAGGATATCTGTGATAAAAATGAATGTATTACCAAGGATGTCTTTCCTATTTGAATTGATATCTGTGGTCAGGGGGGCAGGACACTTTAAACAATGGCAAAAATATATTTCCAAATTTGTCTGGTGGGGGGACGACCCAGAATTAAATATAAATTGTTAACAGATGCTAAAGAAAGAGGTGGATTCTTCCTGCCAGATCTGAAACTGTACTATGAGGTGTCCTGCCTTTGCTGGTTATGGGAATGGAATACAGACCTACTAGATTTGGAAGGGCATGACAACAGATTTGGGTGGCATGCTTATTTATGGTATGGAAAAACAAAGGTACATAAGGGATTCCTGAACCACATTGTAAGGAAATCAATTTATGAAATATGGGGAAAGTATAAAAACTTGTTGGAAACTAAAACACCATGGTGGCTCTCCCTATTAGAAGTGATATCTATTAAAAATATAAATATGAAAGATGGCTGGGCGACTTATAAAGAATTGTTAATGGAGGTGGAAAACCAATTCAATGAAGTAAGGTATATGTTCAATGGAAACCAGATCAATGAAGTAAGGTATATGTTATCAGACTGGTTACAACACCATCAACTGAATGATATATTCAGGAAAGATAAAGGTGTGTGTTTTGGAAAAGAATTCTCAAGGTCTGAAAAAAGATTTATTAGACAATAATGAAAAACTGTTATAAAAAATGTATAAATCACTGTTGGAATGGGAGACAAAGGACAAGGAAGTTAAAGCGGTTATGATACATTGGGCAAAGGATGTGGGGTAAAATATACCATTAAATCAGTGGGAGAAGTTATGGAAAGAGGATTTAAAATTTACAGCTTGCTGTTCGCTGAAAGAAAATTATATGAAGATGATGTATTGAATGTATTTGAGTCCAACAAAATCAGCAAAAATGTATAAAAGTACATCAAATGTATGCTGGAAGTGTAAGGAAAAGGAAGATACTTTTTACCATATGTGGTGGTCCTGTAGAAAAGTAAAAGACTTATGGGAAATGATATACTGTATAATGAATTGAAAAGATGTTTAAAATAACTTTTGTCAAAAAACCAGAAGCATTTTTACTTGGATTAACAGGGGACAGAATACCAAGGGACTTAAAAAGACTATTTATGTACACAACAACGGCCGCAAGAATATTACTTTCCCAGAAATGGAAAGAGGAAAATGTACCAACAAAAGAAGAATGGATAATTAAGATGATGGATTATGATGAAATGGCAAAGATGACCATGAAGACCAGAGATCAAGATGAGAAAAAGTTTCAGCAAGAATGCAAGATATTTATAGACCGGGGATGTCCAATCAGTAGATCACGACCTACCAGTAGATCCTTGTCTGATCCTGGTAGATCGCGGGATCCTTATTGTGTACAAAAAGTTATGGGGGGAACCTAAAAAACTCTGTGCAATCCTGCCCCTGCAAAAAGCTCAACAACTCTGGGCACTTCACTTCCACCCACCCCACGCACACTCCTCCTTCCAATGACAATGGGTAGATCACTGCCTGTTTTTTGGGAGTTGGACATGCCTGCTATAGACTATTTAAAAGACCACTGTAAATATAGTAAAATGTTAGCAGGTTTGATATAACATTTATGTAATTATATAATTGGGAATTAAGATAAATAAGAGGGAAAACAAAGTTTGGAGAAATAAAATGAGATGCAAGAAATTATGGGGGAGGAAACTGGAATTCAGGACAGGGGTGGGGGGAAATCTATACTATATTCTTGGAAAATCATTGAATATATGAATAATTGTGATTATAAAATCTGAAAAATCAAATATTTTTTTAAAAAAGAAAACACCGAGTCACACTTCATGATTAAACCAATTAGACTGAAACAAAAACAAAGGAAGTCATCTTACAGACTTCAAGTGCTGGAAATGTACTGCCAGTGTCATATCCAAATACTAAGCTTTACAAAATTAGACGGAATCTCAAGATACCAGATTGGCAATTTTTAATGTTGGAAAGGTGAAGTTTGCTACTAAGTTTTTAAAGCAACCAATTATGAAGAGTTTAATCATAAAGGCTACAGGAAAGAACTGTAAACATCTCAACACCTACAGATCAAAAGCTTAGCATTTCTTGAGGTGAAAGTAATATTAATTTGTGGCCAAAATTCATAGGAGTATTAACACTACTTGAGGAACAAGTTTGTATCAACGCTTTACAATGCAGGGCTGGAAAACAAATGCCTTGATGCCCAACTTGCCTGAGTGCAAGTGGACTCAATTCAAGTGGACCACACTGGCACTACACTATGCCTGCAGAATGCCAAACAGTCCTTGCACCAAGCTAAGAATCTTTGATCCATGGAAGATCTCTGCAAACTGGGTGAAGGGGCATTAAAATGACAAATACTATTCAATGTTAGCAAGTCTAAAGTGACCTAGATTAGGGTAAAAACCCTTAACTTGACATATATGCTAATGTGGTCTCAACAGATGGTGAGTGACCAGGAAAGAGATGTTGAGGTCATAGTGGATTTGGTGCATCAACAGTGAAAAAAGTGAATTCCATGTTAGGGATAATTAGGAAAGGGACTGAAAATAAAAATGCCAATATTATAATGCCATTATACAAATCAATGGTGCGGCCACACTTGGAGTACAGTGGTACCTCAGGTTACAGACGCTTCAGGTTACAGACTCTGCTAACCCAGAAATAGTACCTCGGGTTAAGAACACTGCTTCAGGATGAGAACAGAAATTACAAGGCAAAAGTGCAGTGGCCCCATTAGCTAAAGTGGTACCTCAGGTTAAGAACAGTTTCAGGTTAAGAACGGACCTCCAGAACGAATTAAGTTCTTAACCCGCGGTACCACTGTACTCTGTACAGTCCTGGTAAATGCAACTCAGAAAGGATACTGTAGAGTGGGGAAAAGTGCAGAACAGGGTAATCAAAGTCATCAAGGCAGAGGAGCAACTCTCAAGTTGTTAAGCTTTTTTTACAATTTTACCCCAAAGTTGCTGAGCTTTTTTTTAGGATTTTACCCCAGGACATATACTGCCACAGGGGCAGGATTAAATCGACTGGCAGACTGGCTTAGGCCCCCGAAACCAACTTTGGACATGCCTGCTCTAAACAGTTTGGGACCACACTATTCCGGGGACCACCTACATCTGATTGAGCCTGTCTGGGCATTATGATCCGCCTCAGAGGCTCTCTTGTAAGGTCAATTGGTCAGTAGGAACTTTGCAATGCTGGCCCTCAAATTGTGAAACTTACTACACAGTTGTTCCCAACACTACAAACTTTTCAGAGTACTTTAAAAATCTATGTCTGGCTAGTTATTTTTAGGTGGATAGTTATTTTTTAATATCTGCAGAATACTGTGTATTGAGAAGCTAGATGTAAAAAGCTAAGTGCATTAATTGCTATACATTGAAATATATATTTTCTTCTATACTTGTACAGTACACACAGTGCTGGCAAAAACAGTTGAAAACAGCCTAACCCTAACCCTAACTAATTGCACCATGTGTGAATAAGTCAGAAATTAAGTCAGATATTAACTTTCTGAGAAAATTCATTTGGTGATTCCAAGTGAACACACTTCACTTATGATTGTTCCATTTGATTCTATCTCAAAACATCTCGAGTCCAAAATTGCAAAGAAAGAACTAAGAGATAGTTCAGAGAACAAAAGGGAGCTCTCATTCACTGAACTGATAGAGCCTGCCTCCTCTGCAGAAGTTAAGAGGAGTCTTGAGAGGATGATGGTCCCCAAGCATAACCTTCAATGTCCACATGCCTCTTTCTGGTTGTGTAGAAAATATCACCTGCAGAAGTGTGATATGTGGATCCAATATGCGATAAGTTGCAAAAAAAGAAGAAAAAGAGTACTTTCACCTCAAGTGATCTTTAGAGTCTTGTCCCAACTATGCACTCTTTTCTCCTTACACCTTTAACTGTGCAATTAACAGTAGATGCATTATTTCTAATTGTGGGTATTCAACTTTCTCCATTCAGTTCTGCAAAATGAAATAATTGCTCTGTTGGAAGGCATTGAGAATGGACTTTTAAGTATGACCAAATCAAATTTTCTACAACAGTAATCAGTCATAACTCATTTCATGAGAAGCATTACAAACGTCAAAGACATCTGAAGGTGCAATTTGTACTGATTTAGTGAAATTCTAAAGGGTACTAGGGCACTACCAGCGACCAGCTGAGAAAAAATCATATTCAAGGCCAGTTTACCTATGTGAAAGTTTTTCCCCATTCCAAAATATATGTAATTTAGCTACTCTAAATCTTTCTAATTGACAATTAAAAAGCAACTGGGTAGGGATAAAATGTATGCACCCTTCCTGCAAAAAAGTACTGGAGCACAAGAGACTCAAGATAATAAAGACAGGCTTGTAGATCATATGGACAGACCTTGAAACATTTAAACAAGGCAATAATATACATGAAGTATGGGTGGAAATGTTTTACTCAAAGCCATAGATTAGTTTACTGGCTACTTTTCAGGAAAATAAGGAGAGCGCAAATAGCAAGCTTGCAATATTCAATCGAAGGAAGTATGGATGAAAGTAGAGTTTGTGACAGCAATAAAGTAGGCTGGTTCATTGGGCAGAGAAGACAGTGCTTGAGAAGAACTGCTGGGAGAAGGGCACAAATCCTTACTGATCACTGTTACAATTGCAAGTGTTTAAGCAGATTCATTAAATCAAAACAAGCATAATACACTATGCATGTAAAGAATTGAATGGTAATTTTCATGTAGTATTCCAGGTGTGGGAAACCTCTGGTTATCTGGAAGTTGCTGAACTACAGCCCCAGCAAGCATGGCCAATGGTCAGGAAGGATGAGAGATGGAGTCCAGCAGCATCTGGACAGCCAAAGGTTCCCTACACCTATAGTATGCTATTGGAAAGGGAAGAAAAAACCCCCACATTTTCGGTTACTGTACTTTCATTGTTTATCATAACACTTTAAGCCAGACAGAAATTCCTAATTATATAGTGGCAACCAAGCCCAACATACTCTAGCAATTTGTAGGTAATTTGAGTACAACTTCTCAATCTTTCTTACCCTTTGAAACATTTCAAACACAGAATATTGCATAAACGTTTCCTCTTCCTAGCTATGCTTACACAGCCCTCCCACTGCAGTGTTAAACCTACAGCATTACCATAGCAACCCCACCAATCACAACAGTTACTTTAGAGTCCTTAAATATTATTTGACAGGTGGCTATCAGGAAAAGATATCAACCTGCAGATCGTGGAATGGGCTATATAAGAATATGAATGCTGATCACTAATTGTCTGCTACTTCTAGAGTAAATACTGCTACAGGAAGCATTACAGGCCACTGCTACTAATTTGGTTATTTATTCACACCTAGTGGGTTGGATCTTTGGCTGCATTACCAAACAGATCTATTCTTCCAGACTAAAACATAAGACGGGTTAGATACAGAAAAGATTTCAAAACCTGCTGTATAAGAGAGCCAGAACAGCATAACATTGAGTATTTAGGGGGGTTGTTGTTGTTGTTTACTACATTGAGCTGGATTGAATTAACCTGGTAGCCTAAGACCTCTTAGTGCAATGGAGCCCTTCACCTTCTCCCACAATCTGCTCTGAATACCTAGAACCTCTAGAACAGCACACAGGGGAGGAGAGATGTTATACCTGCCAAGCAGTGCCCGCACTGACAGAATGATCATATTACCGTAGTGGGACATTGAATTCCACCCATTATTATTATTTTTGTTGCAAAGATAAATTGCTCCCTATCATTCTAACCAAAAAGGGGTCAACATTATAATTTTATTACTACATTTTTACACCACTCCTTTTCCAAGAGAAGGGCCTCTCCTTTCAGTCTCACATACACCCTGTGAGGTAGGTTTAAGTTGAGAGATAATGACTGACCAACGTCATGCAATGAGCTTCATGGAAGAGTAAACATTTGAACCCATTCAGCATTGGATTATATAAAAACATTCTGCTAAAAAATTTGAGAAGACCTGCCAATTTAGCCATCAACACGCTTAGATGGCCTTGGGCAAGTCACTGTCCTCTTGGCTTGAACTCCATCTGCAGTGTGAGAAACTGATACTGGTCTGCCTTACAGGGCTATCACAAGGATTACTGAAACGTATGTGCTTTGAAGCATCAAAGTATATATTATGGATAGACCCAACATGCTGAAAATACACATTAAGAATAGATCCCAAATAATTAGCAAAAGTTATTTCAAAATAAATTGTAAAGGAAATTTGGGTCTGATTAGTGACTCTTGAGGGTGACTGTACATTTGAGAAAAAAACCTGTTTGGCTTCAGCTGAAATTCGCATCAGGTCACATCAACCCCTTGCATTGTTTGTCTTATGAGGTAATCAGTTAAGTTAATGTAAAGAAGCCTCTACAAACAAACAAAACCAAGCACAAAACTGAAGTTGATGATGTGACAGAATGCTACCGGGATGAAAATCTAAATCAGCAGCAAATCTGGAAGTTAACTGCATGCTTCTAGTACATTATTCAGCAAAACACAACGTTATTCAGTCACACAGCGTGTCTTCTCCATTTGGGCCTCCTATTATGATCTGAGAACACCCACACACTTCTGGAGAAGAAACCCTTACAAAGATTCAGCGCCGGGGCTACACCACTACACAGCCCAGAGGCTCTGCGAAATCTAAAACCCAGCACTGCACATTAGGGCACTTTTCATGGTATTTTCAAGAGTTATTTTTGCTTTAAAAAAAGAACGCCAAGGCCGCCCAGGAGGTAAAAGAGCAGCTCGACAAACAAGAGAGGAAACACCACCCTTCCTCCATCCCAAACAATCGACAGAAACTTATGTTTTAAAGCTAAAGGAGGGCCGCCGTGGGGAGCCCCCGCCTGGCATCCCCGCTGGGCTCACCTGGAGACCCGCCACCCGCTTGGAACAGGCAGTTCCCGAACTCCACCCGAAGGGGGAAGGCGGCGGCTGAGCCACCTCTTCTCGCACCAGGAAAATAAAAGGCTCGGGCGGCCCCGTCACCCACAGACAGCGGGAGGCTCCCCTCCCGCTTCCCCCCCACCCCCACCCCGCCTTAGCTTGTGGCCACGAGCCCCTCGCCCGCCCGCCCACGTAGTGTGTGTGTGTGTGTGGGCACTTCCTACTCCAACCGCCTCACCAGGAAGAGCCGAGGAAATTCCCGCTCCCCCAGTGGCCACTGGCTGTCGGGTGGGGCAGGCCGCACAGGGAGCGGCCACGCAGGGCCAGGAGCCTCTCCGCTCCCGCGTTCCTCGCCGCCCTCGCCCCCTTCCCTCACCCCGCGGCCTCTCCGACTCCTCTACCTGAGAGGGCTCCTCCGCTGCGTCTCCCCGGCGCTGCTTCCTTTCTCCTTCTACGGGCCCAAACTCCGGCAGCGGCTGAGGAGGAACGGAAACCGGCGGGGCGGGTCGAGCCGAGAGGAAAGCGCGTTCACGCTCTCATACAAAAAACGCGACGTGCGCGTTCCCGCCCCTTCGCGTCTCGGCGGCCAATCGGCGGCCGCGGCGCGGGGGCTGCTGGGAGGAGGCGCTATAAAAGGACGCAATCTATTTGTGAACAAGCTCTTAACTTTCCCGACGGCGTCGAAGGAGGAAGCCTGGAGGGGCGGGGGGGGGTGAGGGTGCCGGGACTGGTTGTGCGCATGTTTACGTGCAGCGGAGGTAAAGCAGGAGTCAAGGCCGCGCCTCCTCCTACCTTCACCTGCGTCCAGACGGGCTGAGGTGTTTGGGCTGGGCTAGGCGAGCAGGAAGGAGTTCAGGAAAAACAGGGCCGGGCGGGTGACGGGCACCTGCCGTGGCGCGCCTATCGGGAAAGAGAGCAATCGCCGGATGAGCCCCTTCCTCCGAGAATCTGTGCTTTGCTTTTTCTGAGTCTACTGTTGCCCCACAACGGGGGTGGGTGGGGGGAAAGAAACAAATTGCACCACGGCGAGAGGGAAGGGAGTTCTTCAAAGGTCGGGCGTTCCTCTTCCTTTGCCTTTTGTTCTTGTTTGGTCTTAAATCACTACAGAAACCTGCAACCCCTTCTGTCGATGATGATGATAGTAATATTAATAATAATTTATTATTTATACCCCAGTCACTCTGGGTGGCTTCCAACAGAATATTAATAGTAATAATAAAAAGTGATAAAACATCAAACTTCCCTAAAAGATAACTGCAGAATGGTTGCCTGCCACAAGGGATGTTGGCCTTGTTGTCCTCGCCCATCTTTGAAACACTGCAAAAAGCTTAGTCCTGGACCCCTCTCTCCGCCTGGCAACTTGTCCTGTCCCCTCTCCCACGGAATATAAAGCGAATTCACCAAAGTTATTTACTGTCAGAGCCATAGGAAACTGTCTTAGAGAAATTCAGACCATTGCCTGTACCAGGAATCAGGATGAGCAACTTAGGCCCCGGGCCAAGTGGGCTCTTCCTTGTACTACATCTCTCTCGAACCCCACTTGGCACTCTCCTTGAATGCCTTTTCCTTGACTGGAATGTGTCCCTGAACTTTGATAATGTCTCCAGCTTGCCTTGATGAAAGAGAGAGGTGTGTGCATGTGTAAAGTGTCTTACTTTAGAAAGGTAAAATTCACATATGTGTGTCTGTCCACTTTTGCATGTTTACCCCCAGAAAGTTGAATAAGAGGAATGCAGTCCTTGGCCTCAAAATAGTTCCCCAATCCTTACCTTCACCTGCTGCTAGCAGCTCCTTAGGGCAGGCGTCCCCAAACTCGGCCCTGCAGCTGTTTTGGGACTACAATTCCCATCACCCCTGACCACTGGTCCTGTTAGCTAGGGATGATGGGGAGTTGTACACTCAAAACAGCTGGAGGGCTGAGTTTGGGGATGCCTGCCTTAGGGTTTGGGGCAGGGATTATCCAGACCTACCTGGAGATGGTGGGGACTGAATCCAGAACCTTCTGCATGAAAAGCAGGTTGTACACCACTGAAATATAGACAGTTTTAACATTTCTTTCAACAGCCACCCCACTGAAATACCTTTTCTAGAATTTGAGAGAAAATATTATATGCTATTACACAAGCAAGGTGTCTCTGCAATGCTTGCTCGAAATAATGATTATAGTTATCAAGTGGGAGTTTATAATAAAAGCAGCACTGGCTTTTTACAGCCTTTGATGATCTTCTTTGAAAAGACACACAGCAGGAATCAAGTTTTGTACACCAAACAATAAACGTTAATATCAACTTTGGCTTGCGGCTATAATGTATATTTCATTTATTATAAAATGTTCTCTGTGCATGTTTATTTAAGCTCTTCAGCTCTACTGCACACACAGCTTTGAAGATCAAGCTGGTTAGAATTTGTGTATAATATGAAAGTGATAGGAAATGAGGGAAAGTGTTAACAAAAAATGAATTAGTGTTTGGCCCTTATGTCTTATGCCTTTTAATTTTATTAGCTATTTGTATATATGCTTCAGCTGGGGAAACCAGCAAAACTATGAGTAAAATTTAGTAAGCTAATTATTTGCAGTTAATTTCAAGCAGAATCTATTTTCTGACAGAAAATATAGAAAAATAAGCCCCAAATCTTGTAACTTACCCTGCCCTTCTATTTGCAAACATTGCCTGTGGAATGTGTCCCTAAACACCCATAATGGTTCTTGCATGTCTGGATGGATGATAGGGTATGTGTGAGTGTATGTTTACCCTTTCTACCTTATTGTACAAAGGGTAAAATATCTTATTGGTTACTCTGCCCACTTTTGCCTCTGCCCCTTCTGGCACATTGCCCAGGAGGGAATGTGGCCCTCAAGAGTGACAATGGTTCCTGAACTCTGCTGAAAATGATTCCCAGGATATATTTTACTTAAGAGGGTAAAAGTGAAATTGCTGCAACTTGCTCAGGGGAACAATTTGGTATTCCTATCTTGGATACAGAGCAACAATTCTCATGGCAATAAAAATACAGTGGTACCTCTGGTTACGAACTTAATTCATTCCAGGGGTCCGTTCTTAAGTTGAAACCATTCTTATCCTGAGGCGTGCTTTCGCTAATGGCGCCTCCCACTGTGCGCGTGCCTCCTGCTCACGTCCCGGGGCAAAGTTCGCAACCAGGAGCAACTACTGTACTTCCGGGTTAGCAGAGCTCGTAACCCGAAGTGTGCGCAACCAGAAGCGTTCTTATCCAGAGGTACCACTGTAGTGACAGAAAGTGTAAAATGGTTCATTGGGTTCATAATGAAAATAACTACTGATAGGGGAGGGAGTATATTAAAAGATGTCCTGCTTCCAACTCTATACAGTGGTACCTCAGGTTACAGATGCTTCAGGATACAGATGCTTCAGGTTACAGACTCCGCTAACCCAGAAATAGTACCTCAGGATGAGAGCAGAAATTGCGTGGTGGTGGCGCGGCAGCAGCGGGAGGCCCCATTAGCTAAAGTGGTACCTCAGGTTAAGAAGTTTCAGGTTAAGAACAGACCTCCTGAATGAATTAAGTTCTTAACCCGAGGTACCCACTGTACACCTCCACTGAAATTGGCAGCACTGGTTGAGTGGTAGACTTGCTACATTAAATGGAAAACTACAGTGGGGGTGATGGTTTGATTAATTCAGACAAAGAGCTTGAAATTCATTGTAAGACACTCTCACAGTAGTTTGATCAGTTTAAATTTATTGATCTAACTCTGTTCCTTGTGGGGGAAAGGTCTGTTAAACTGCTCTGGAAACTAGACCTGTGAGGGGAACAGGCACTTCCTAACTCGGCACCCTTAACTACAGTTCTCAAGATTTTTTGTGGTATGCTACTGCTTTAAGTGTATAGTGCAAATGGGGCTTTAGTTCCCATAGATGCTCTTCTTAAATGTATTATAGAACTGGCCCCATGGAGACGTTTCTTATTGTTTCATTTGGCTGTATACCATATACAGAAACTACTTCCTAGAAAAACCACTGGATGGCACCAGCACCTCATCATTTAAAAGGCCATGGATCATGCAGTACTTCCCCCACCCCACGCTGCAATGATGCACCTTTTGAGCTTACTAATGTTTCATGGTTCTCCCCAGTGGATGATTAAAAGAAAGCTAATTGCTTCATAATTCAACATATTCTCATGACTGTTCTCCAGAGCCTTACAGTAAACCTCTCCCTATGGTGAAGACTCTGCTCAAGTCAAACATGGACATATAATTTAGCAAGATATCAAACAGTGAATGCTACTGCATTTCTATATCAGAGGTCCAAAATTATATGCAAACGGCCGTCTTTAGCAGATGCAGCGTCGGGGTGCAAATATCTGCCCAGCGCCCCCAAATTACCACAGATAGTGGGGGGTGGGGTGGCTGTAGCTGCGCACTGCCAGCCATCGGGGGGGATGGGACACAACTATCCCCCATGCCACTGCAGGAGAGCGATGCTCACAGAGGCTCAGGAGTGAAGTTGCTCCCCTTCCAAGCCTCCGCAGGAGGAGAGCACAGCTTCTTTCCCAAGTCTCCTTGGGAGGAGAGCGATCCCCGCAGAGGCTTGGGAGGGAAGCTGCACGCCTGTCAGCCTTATGGTTGGCGGGGCGCAGCTGGCGGACGTGCAGAGAAGGGGAGGCCGCTGGCAAAGCCATGTAGCTCCCCCACTTTCTGGGGGTGCCCCTGAGAGGCCGGCGCCCTGGCGCGCCGCACCACTAAGCCCTATGGGAAAGACGGCTGTATGCAAACGAATCAAAAGAAATTTTGATGTGGACTTCTGGTTTGCCGCTGCAAGGGGAGAAGGAAGCTGGCACCGCTATCGCAATGACCCGGCTGCTGCTTTTTGGGAGTAGTTCAGAGGCAACAAGCACCCTGAAGGAGGTTCTGGGGACGACCGGGACATTGAGAGGTCCTGTGGCAACCAAAGCGAGTTCCCAACAGGCACGCTCATATCTATTTGGTGTATTGACTGGAGAACAAAAAGGGAGTCTTCTCCAGAAATGGTTGCTGCCCTGCATGGGAACAAGCTGTTTGAAGAAATCAAGGTAACAATAAAAGTCTGCCATCAGAAATAAAGGAAGGGGGTAGGGTGGTCAAGTTGAAAAGCTTAAGTGACTGATGACTTAAAATTTGGCTGGCATGCATGTCTTTGGTATGGGAAAGCAAAAATTATTATAAGAGTTTTATGAACCACGTTCTTGGGAAGAATTTGTATAGAGTCTGGGAAAAATATAAAAATCTTCTAGAAATAAAAACATTTTTATGGTTATCCCCTTTGGAGCAATTACAATTAAGAGGACAGATAGTGGGTGCCTTACAGGGGGCGAACTCAGACTGAAACCTATGGAGAACTTAAGGGGCCAAGTTATGGATTGGTTACAATAACACCAAATATATGTTTAAGGTAGACAAAAGAAGGATAAACTCCTGTCTAAAATGTATAATTTTTTATTAGAATGGGAAACAAAAGATGAGTTAATTATAGCACCAATGACACACTGGGCAATAGATACAGGACACAATATAGATTGCAACCTCTGGGAGAAATGTTGGAAAAGTGATTTGAAATTTACCATGTTATTCTCTGAAAGAGAACTATTTGAAAATGATTCATAGATGTTATTTAACTCCGAGTAGGTTGGCTAAGATTCATAAAGCAGAACAAGATGTGTTGGAAATGTAATGAAATGGGAGGAACCTTTTTTTATATGTGGTGGACATGTCAAAAGGTAAAATAATATTGGGAAATGATTTATGATGAGTTGAAAAAAAATGCTTAAATTTACCTTCCCAAAAAAGCCAGTCCTTTTTGTTGGGAATAACCCAGACAGAAATCCCCAGGAGCCAGAAAAGTTTGTTTATGTATGCAACAACAGCAGCCCATGTTGTTACCCAAAAATGGAAATTATCAGATTTGCCCTTTTCAAGCAAAAGTACCTGTTTTCAGATCACCGCCCTATGACATTTTGTAAATGCGGTCACACAAAGAGAATTTACCTAGATGATGTAATTGATCATATAGTTATATACAGAATAATGTAGTGTTATAAGTAACCTGGTCCAGAATTTGTTGTTTTAGAAAAGTTTTATGTATTTAACAACAGTGGCCCGTGTTCTGTTAGCCCCAAAATGGAAAGTGAGCGAGGTTCTTGTAAAGAATCAGGGTTTGTCTTCCTGTTCTTGAACTTCTTGGGAAACATCTGGGTTGACTTCTCTTAGAAACTGGATGCTGAAATTGATGGACCCTTGGCCTGTTCCAACAGGTCTTATCCATTCTTGGCCAGGGTGGAGAAGAGGGGGACAACGCAACTGAAGCAGGCCCGATGTTGTCTCTGCCTGCCTTCCTCGCTTTCCTTCTTCACAGGGCAGATGGGCTGGCGAAGGTGCACAGATTTCTCTAGATGTGGGTTAGCTTAGCATATGGCCTCCAGCTGTTGCTAGACTCCAACCCATCAGCATGGGCACCGGTCAGGTTCCTCCCACTGCTCTGATGCATTAGGTCACCCGAAAACTATGAACTTGTCCCTCTGACTTTCTGATAATACCTCTTTCAGCTGGGCCAGAAACGTAGTTTCAAGAGGCAGGAGACAGGTGTCCTTGCTCCCTCATAGGATATATGAAGCACAAACAGAAATTCTATTGCAGAAGCCTGTTATGTTGAATACTTGGCAGTACCAAGTTCAGGATAGTGTGACGTAAAGCAATGCTTCAGCCTGCCCTTTTACAACCCTCTATATTAACTTTTAACTATTTAAGAGTAAGGTGATGTACATCCTGTGCAATTTATCCAGTTTTAGTCAAAGAATTGATCAGATTCGCCTCCTTGACCTCTAAAGCCTTAAAGATTCAGTAAATAAATACCACAGGCAAATGCTTGAGTAAACAGTGTTAATGCTCCCTCCTCCCAAACTATGATTTCTCTCAACTCTGTAAAAAATGGTTATTGCCAAATTTAAGCTTCGAGGCCAAATGGGAGTTGACAGTTTCCCCTTAGGAGAGATGACTCAATACTGAGAAAAGCATCCAAGTCTGGAAAAAAGATAGTAAGAACTTACTGGAAGTGAAAACTGGGCCTGCCCTTGTCTTAGTAATTTAATTGCAGTAGAAAATGCCTCTGGTAGTTGACTTAAGAAACAGCATCATCTCTCTGAATATCCCATTTCACTCATGATCGTTTTATTTCAGTTCACCTTTATGCTACAATACCTCCTTACTGCCCAGTAGCTGAAGAAAAAGATGAAGTGTCCAGAATAGAAGCAATGTGCACATGGATTTTGTCAAAAAACTTCTTTTAAGCCTGACTGAGATCTCATTGAGGTAGATGTACATTATCAACAAGGCAGAGATAAGGCCTCTCATAAAAGCAATCTTTTTATAGCACCCATGACCTGTACAGTGGTACCTCAGGTTAAGTACTTAATTTGTTCCAGAGGTCCGTTTTTAACCTGAAACTGTTCTTAACCTGAAGCATCACTTTAGCTAATGGGGCCTCCTGCTGCTGCCGCGCCGCCGGAGCACGATTTCTGTTCTCATCCTGAAGCAAAGTTCTTAATCCGAGGTAATATTTCTGGGTTAGCGGAGTCTATAACCTGAAGCATATGTAGCCTGAGATATCACTGTATTAGTAAGAGGAAGTGGCTACAAATTTCCTTAAACAGTTCTGAACTGTTATTGTATAAAGCAAACAGAACTAGAACATGAATGTTTCAGGAAGCTTTTGGAGGTGTGGAAATGATAAATATTGACTCTTACTTTATAATCTACAATGTAATCAGATTATTCTCATGCATCAGTCACCATCCCACACTTTCTGGTGCATTTTCCTGTCTCTTTCCTTACTGGAAGACCCCTGATTTTTTTAAAAAAGTTTGCTGTTATGTAATTGAATCGCTCCAACAAAATATTGACAACCTGGAGGGAAACTTAGAATTTGTGGGTCAGGTATGAAAACTCAAAATTCTTAAGGTCATACCAACAATTTCTGAAGCCACAGATTTCTGCTTTGCTGATCACCCTTCCCCTTTAGGGAAAATACATGGGATCAACTAAAATTTAGGACATTCTTCAAGATACTCACTGTCCTTGAGGGCTATTTATCAATTGTCTTTCTGCTTCACGGTGCATAGATATTTTCACTGCTTACTTAAAACTGGGAAGTAGCAGCTTAAAATCCCTGTTCAGCCATGAAGATCACTTGATGCCCTTGAGCCAATCACTGTAACTCAACCCAACATACATCAGGATAGGATGCTGAGAGTGACACAGCACCATTTCCATGTATGCTGCCCTGAACTCCTTTAAGGGAGGGCAGGATAACATAAACAGCATCAGTGATAACAAACGGTAATTCACTTGTGGGCCTGTGATAAGTAGGAATTGCTTCCAAGAGACATAGGAAAAAAGGAAAAAAGGAATATTGTGACTCTTTAAATATTAAGCATTGTCATAGCTTAAGGTTTAGTTGGACTACAGCCCACTTCATCAGATACATGGCTATCCTGAGTTGGAGGTGGGAAACTAAGCAGTGATGTCAGCAGGAAGAGAATGCAGATAATTCCAGTATGGGTATCAGTAATAATGGCTATATTCTACCTCCAGGATCACCAAGGAGCATCAGTATAAGTCACTGAGGAACAACAGCTGGAAAGGTTGCTTGCCCTCATGTCTTGATTGAAGGATTTACTGGGCATCTATCTGGCTGGCTACTTGCAAGCAGAACACTAGACTAGATAGGCTTTTGGTCTGATTCAGCAAGGCTGTCCTTATGTTATACCCAAACGTTCTGGTTTTATCATATCTAGAATCCTCGCCTGGAGGGGCTGTGACCCTCCCTCCCAGATGTACAGTTAGCAATTTGTGCCATTATAGCCTCTTAGTGCAGCAACAGAGTGATCATTCTTAATACTGTGTAACATTTTAACGGATGGGGCACATACAACATTTATTCAAAATAAATACAATTATGAATTTTAAGTACAAGTTCATTCATTGATTGATTTATGTCTTGGGTAAGCTTGCAACTTAACTTTGGAGTTAAGGTGGAGATATTCAGCAAAAGCTTTTTACCAGATTTCCCTGCGAGTCAAAACACCAGGGTAACTCCAACTCAGAAGGTCCCTTCTGCCTGAATCTCTTTAAGGAAACAAGTGGACATTTGCTTCAGATAAGCAATATTTTTTAATCCCCATTTTATGGATTGAATCCTTAAAACTTTGGGGGCAAACCCACTTTAAGCCTAGACTCAGCAGTAACTACAAATGATAGTTGAATTTTGCTATTCCATCAGGAAATCAGAAGTCTAACTCTGGAAGAACAATATCCATATGCTCTATAAAACCGTCCTTGAAGGCAGGAAACAAAAAATTCAGAGACAAATCGCACCAACAGTTTGGGGGTGGGCAGAAATGTCTAGGACAAAAATCAAAGTAAAATACAGATCCAAATATTGCAAGTTCCCTCTAAAAATATTCATCTCTCAAACACAGTACACTTTAACTCAAGGAGAAAAGGGTGACAATTGAATGCCAGATATGTGAGACAACATTTGCTTTTGTGAAGCTGCAGAATGCTTGAAATTAGTTTGAACACTTTAGGCATGTTAAGAGATTGAGGAACTTGGTGTTCAAGTAAGAAACATGAATATCTGCAGGCTTAGGGACAGGCTATCAATTTTGCATGATTACATAAAAACAACAGAATCTGTTCACCTTCAGCAGGACATTCCTTGAGACAAAAAACATGTAAACAGTTCCCAAAAAGTATCATCCTAAAAAGGGGGGGAAATACCCCAAATCAGGGAGAAGAATGGAGAAATTCAGCGTTAACTGAGCATTAAGTGCTGCCACCAAAGATGAGGATCAAGAGCTAACAGATCTAGCAGACATATCTGGCAAAGACATGACCTTGCTCCCTGATGTTAGAAGATCAATTACATAAATTCTTTTCTTGCGTATTCCACCCAATCACTCAAGACACCAATGCAACTTGACAGTTGCAAATAATAATTCTCTTCTTACATGAAGGTTTCCATGTCACAGATGCTAACATAGCAGCATTTTACTGAGGAGACGCTTCTCAAGCCATATTCTCTTCAGATGTAGAATTCCCCACTGTCAAAGTTACAGGAGCCAAGGCTTCCTTGGCTTACCAGGATTAAAATACAGTACTCCAAGATAGCAGAGAGAGAAGGCATTCTGGAACAGAAACTACTCAGTCCTCTTCTCCCCTAAAGTCTAGTAGCACAGCAAAGCCATTCTTCCATGTTCAATCTGCGGGGTTGGGGGGGTGGGAAGAGTCAGATGAACACAAAGCCAGGGGGAGTGCAGCTGCTGTGCCACTGTGGAGTTGTCCTGGCTCACTGAGGTCCATGCTGTTCTGTCTGCTGTAGAAGATAATTCCTGGCCTCTGATTATCTATGTCTAAGCTAGAGACATCCATAGTTACTTAAGGAAGTTGTCTAGTTTAGTCTGACTGATGCCAGAAGCGGCTGCTGTTGGTTGCTTAGAAACACTTCTTTTCTTGCACCTCAAAGCCAGGGGGCGAATCTCTGTTGATATACTCTGAAATGAGACACGTCAAGGAAAATAGTGGCCAAATATTTAAAAGAAAGGTTTTACATTCCCATACATATCCGACATGTATAAATCATTATATCTGGGGGCTAAATTATTTTCTCTCCCCCTGAGTCCCTCCTTCAGGGTCATTTTTTCCCAACCTCCCAAGTGAGAGAAGAAAGGTCAGGTTTTAGTTGATCACGGAGTCAAATGTTTTTGATTCCCATCGCCCAGTCAAAGGCTGACCAAGAGATGGTAGCAGACAGATCCCTCTCCTAGTAGTGTTTTACTGCTACATAAGCTTCAAAACAATAACCATCAACAGCTCATTACAAAGACAGGCTCTTGATGACAAATATTGGATTACTGACCTCTTAACTCTGCACAAGGGGAGGGAAAGGAACATTAAGTTGAATGTGAACACAGATATGCTAGAAACAACAATGGTATCTAGAAACACTCATGGTATCCTCTGAAAAATGTAGCATTTGCTGCAAATGTGTCTTGAAATACTCTGCCAGCTGCAAAAACTGGAAAAAACCCCCAACTTATATAGGTTTTCCAGTTTTCAGGGAACGAAAGTGTATATATTTACCTAATTTAAACAGTGAATTTCTTTCATCTCTACAGCAGAAGTAAACTCAGCCTGATAGATTCACAAGTGGGATTTGAACAAGATCCTGATCCAGATTTCCTGGGGCCACTTCTTTCCCCAGTACCGCCGTACCTTGAAAGTTGAATGAAATCTGTTACGGAAGTCCGTTTGGCTGCCAAAGCATTCGACTTCCAAAGCACAACTTCTGATTGGCTGCAGGAAGCTCCTGCAGCCAATTGGAAGCCGCGGAAGCCCTGTCGGATGTTTGGCTTCCAAAAGAATGTTCGAAAACCGGAACAGTCACTTCCGAGTTTCAATCGTCCAGGAGCCAAAACATTTGAGAACTAGGCTGTTTGAAAACCAAGGAATGACTGTAAATGTAGAACACTGTAGCCAAGAACTCATACAATGTATATTCTGATTGATTCTAGAGGGATATATTCCCCAAATATATTTCATTATTTCGGCTTCTCCTCACTTTGAATTTAAGCCAGAATGTCACTGTTCCAACTGGAACATTGCCTGATGGCTTAGTAAATGCCACTGTTTCTTCTTAGTCTTTTGTGTCATTGATCACCATAGATTCAGTGCCACTGGATATCAGCATAGCTTCTGCAGGACAGATCTTAGGAAAGGATACAGGCTGAATGAATTTGGTTCTGCCTCCTAAGCCATCATACCCAGTTCTCACCTACAAGGAAGAGAATCCAGTAGTTAAAAATGCAAAAGCATATGACTCCCATGGAGGAAGTTGTTATGAAATAGAAAAAGGATTGGAGTGGGTAAAAGGGCACATAACACACTAGAGGATTTGGTGATCAGAATATGCTAAGTATGTGCTGCATGATCAGGTGTCTAAGCAGGTCCACTAGCAATAAAAAGCACAGAGCATATTGAATTTGTAAGATTTGTAGACGAGGACATGAGAAGGCATGTCCAGGAACAGGGTTTTGCTGGCTGCTGGTTGGCAGATTAAGCAGGAACACTCCACACTGCAAAACTCTGATGCACATCCCACTTGTACTCACTATTCCTGTGTTCCTTTGTGGTACAAGCATGTTGCTTGCAGGTGGCCTCTTGGACATAACAGAGTTTCTAATGAAAGCAGGCAGAAGATCTTCCAGATGCTCATCATCTGTGTCAGCTGAGCAGCTCTGAACCGTATTTGAAGAAGTAGGAGAGTTAAACTAAAATACTCATATTTGCAACCAAACACAAGCAGCACTAATAGAATCCATGTAATCCATCTACAGTATTGTGCGAAAGGAAATGGTTGTTTCTGCAAACGCAGATTTTTAAAACATTCTTAGAGAGGAATGGAAGTTTGAAAGTCACTGGGCTCTGGTGCCAGCTGATAGATCAACAGATGACAACACAGTACGGACACCCTGCCCCAGATAATTCAGAATACATAGCAGTGGGAAGCTGACTCTCGCACACCTCTCAGGGTTAACTGTAATATTTACTATTTTCTATAACACAGAAAAATGTATTACTTTAAAATCCATGCAGAATTTGGCTGTCTAGAGAAAAGATGGCTTTCAAAATAGCTCTAAAGACAGTGGATTGAAGAGGTTATAGTTGCTACTCAGGTTATCCGTTACAATACCTCCACTGTTTCTTTCAGAACTCTTGATAAACTTGTCACAGGTGCACTGGAAAAAACAAACAAACCCACACACAATTTAGATTACACACCACAAAGTAGTAAATTGCTCAATATATCCCTTTAGAGTTGGAGGCACCAGTTTGAATTCATACATGAATTTTCACAATGTGGCCCAGATCATAAGCCAACACCTAAAACAGGCTTTGCCAACCTGGTAGCCTATGGACTATGACTCCCAGCAGCTGTTAGCAGTGGACATACTACAAAAGTATAGGCTTCTCAATTAAAATAATAATAAAATGCAACTATAATGTTCTCTTCTCCTCCCTTCTCTCTGTTCTGACCACTAAGATAAAAGCCTCTGGTCTGATCAACAGGCAAACGTGGTAGATCTTTCATTACTTTTGCCTCACTGCCATTGTTATCATTTCGCTGAAGCCCTAACTCAGGGATGGGGAACCTTTTTCAGCCAGACGGCCGTATTCTTTCTAGGGGCCACCATGCCAGTGGTGGGTGGGGCCAGAAAAAGTGGGCAAAGTAACAAATGTAATTATTACCTTTGTACACTACACTAGTTTGTATATATCCTTCTCTTATCTTCCATCCAGACAAAAGCAAGAGGCATTATCAGAGTGCAAGGGCACATTCCAGCCAGGCAGAACGGCACAAGGAGGATGTGAAGCAGGTCTGGTGAGGGTGTGTGGCTGAGGAGAGTCCCAAGGGCCAGAGAGAGGCTTGGAGAGCCACATTTGACCCCTGCACCTGAGGTTCCCATCCCTACCCTACCCCAAAGTCTTTATATAAGTAGGAAAGTCATTCTTCATTATCTCTAGGATTCAACAGGAGCAGAGATAAAGCACTTGTTAGAAGTAACACAAATGAGGGGTGCTTATTTAAGAAATCTACAAACTAAAGTTTCCTTATTACGCAAATTATGTAGCTTGGGTTTGTGCTCTCCCTTCCTCTTCCTGAAGTGGTTGTCTGTCTGTCTTAGATTGCAAGCATGCAGGTTAGGAATTACCCTGTTAGAGTAGCACCTAGTTATTGAGACTTTTCAATGAGATATTTGAGAAAGATCATGGACAAAACTTTGGGGGCAAAGTCTCACTTTACTCTCACAACAGGTAAGATATGTTGTGACAGTCTTCTGCAGTGAACAAAAGCTTTAAAATGAGATATTTCCATCAAAAGCAATGAGAACAAAATGTGATCTTTGTTGTACAATTTGTTATTTCTTCAGCTTGTAAACTGCCTTCTGTATAGTAATATAGAAAGGCAGTATACAAATTAAAAGTATTAAGATGGCTGGAAAATTGCTTACAGTGCATGCAGAAGTGAGAATACCAGACAGATCAAGAGCACAACATACACCCAGTAAAAAGGGAAGCAACTGTGACTCACAACTTTTTATCCAGTTTAAGTTTTTTTGCAGGAGCAGAGATGCTCTTGTGAGGTGGATGCTTTGGTGTCTGTACATCAAAGGTATCATTCTTTGGTGTCTGTACATCAAAAGTATCATTCAGGTCAATCTCATCACTGTGAGCTGGTCGATGGAGCTTTGGGGTTAACAATTCTAAAGGAGCAGGGCTGTAAGGCAAAATTGTACAAATATCACAACACAACATTACACTGTCAGACAGGTAACTGTCTCAGTTTCCAGCCCACACCACATGCTGTACCATCTAAATACTAGCTTCCTATTGGTACTCATTCCTGATGGTGGAAGGCAATGACAGTATATAATACGGATACAGTAGAACTAAATTCAGAGAGAGAACTTCCTTCTGCTTTCTAGCAACATGTGCAAAGTGTTCAAAATTACCAAAATGACTGGCAGGTTGCCTGGGGTCTTCACATCCCATTCATGTTAGTGTACTGTAAAACTGGCCTGTTACAGGAAGCCCTACATTTATATAGGAAGGTTAGGTTACTGTTTGATATAATCTTCTTCTTTCTTCTTTGGCGATCACTCGTAGCCGAGTAAGATTGTCTTCCATAAACACGGTTTTAATAGTGAGTCCGTAAGTGACTGTGGAGGCCAATTCTGGATTCACACATCCTTCCATAGTGGGGACATTGGTTTCCTGGTGGGAGTTGATCACGGTGTGGATTTGCCAAGCATGCCTTCTTCTTAAGACATTTCTCCCTTGCGTCCTGAGTTTGAGTGTCTTCAAAACCCATGGCATCTTTGGTAAAGGCTGTTCTCCAACTGGAGCGCTCGCAGGCCAGTGTTTCCCAGTTGTCAGTGTTTATACTACATTTTTAAAGATTTGCCTTGAGACAGTCTTTAAACCTCTATTGTTGACCACCAGCATTACGCTTTCCATTTTTAAGTCTGGAATAGAGTAGTTGCTTTGGAAGACGATCTTCAGGCATCCGCACAACATGACCAGTCTAACAAAGTTGATGTTGAAGAATCATTGCTTCAAGACTGGTGATCTTTGCTTTTTCCAGTACCCTGATATTAGTTCGCCTGTCTTCCCAAGTGATGTGTAAAATTTTTCGTAGACAGCGTTGATGGAATCTTTTGAGGAGTTGGAGATGACAGGTGGTGGGAAAGACCCTGGAGAACCACTCCCAGTCACAGTAGGCAGTACTGGGCTAGTTGGACAAATAGCCTGACTATATGTAAGGCATCTTATGATGTACTTTTGGACAGCTCAGGAAGGTGTGAAATGCTTATATTGGACAAAATCTTTGGTACAGTAACTCTGCTACATCAATAGACACTGAATTTCTCTAAACCAACCTTTCAGAGACAAGCCGGCCAAGTGCTTCATTGCTTAATGATGACACTTTAATGGTATCTTGCATCACTCTTATCTTCTTTTTCAAACTCTGTGGAAAGAAAGAGCAGCAATTAATACATGTCAGAAATCCTACCAAAAGCCAAGATTTCTACATCCCCTCTTGCAAAGATACAGGCATCTTGAAGTTGAGGATGCCTCCCAGCCATTTTTAATCAGGGTAGATTTTAGAACAGTATTTGGACTATACACTACAAAGGCTGTAGGGCCACAATAATTATCAGCAGGTTAAAAGAAGGTTCTCACCATTATCTCATTATCTGCATTTCTCAGATCAGCCTGGGTGCTCTTCACCTCTTCTGTTGTTTTCTCCAACTCTAGAACTGTCTTCTGTAACTATAGATTTAAAACTATGTTGGAAGTCTAGTACATGATGGGATACAACAGTACATCAAGCTTCTAAGTGCTCAAAAAAACTACAGTGGTTTATGTTTTACAAATGCACATTCTTAGACTTCAGGATAAAATAATTTACTCTATTGTAAATAAAGATGTCCTAAATGGAAACAGATTCTTATTCTTTCAAGGCTCCTGCAGAGGGAGCTCCAATGTGGCTCATCTCTTCAGGTGTCAATGAGAAGCTGCTGAGGGCAGCGGTACAGTGTTACCTCAGGTTACATATGCTTCAGGTTACAGACTCTGCTAACCCAGAAATAGTACCTCGGGTTTAGAACTTTGCTTCAGGATGAGAACAGAAATCGTGCTCTGGTGGTGCGGCAGCAGCAGCAGGCCCCATTAGCTAAAGTGGTGCTTCAGGTTAAGAACAGACCTCCGGAACGAATTAAATACTTAACCCGAGATACCACTGTACTAGTTTGCTCAAAGTAATTCAGTGTGCTTGTAAGTAGGCATTTATAATAAAGGTACAATAAACTCTTGCCATTCCCAGTATATTCTCAAGAGAGAAACCCTCTCCCACCCTTCCTCCCTACACCTGTGTTTACAGTACAAATTAAGACCCTTCCTGATATTAATCCAGAGGGATTTTCAAGAGACAGTTGTGCATTTTGACTTTAAAACTATAAACTGTCCTTGTGCAGTTATATATGTATAACACGATGCTTTATTAGGAGTTTTTTTCAATTCTTGTTATGCAGAAGCAGAAAGAATACTGAGGCAGACTAATAAATGTTATGCAGACATATTGAGGAATCTTAGGGAACCTACAGCTGAACTTCTCAGCTTAAGATAGCGGCCAACATGGTCAATGTAAGTGCTGGGACAGGAATTGTGTTAAACAAATACATACCTAATTAAAACGTATTTTGCTTTATTTCGGTAGCGTTACTGATGAAGAGCTGCACATAAATACCTCTGTAACGTGTCTGCAAGAGCACCAACACATCTTTTACCTTGTGATTAGCAGAAAACAACTCCTTTCTCAGCTTCTCTTTTGTATCGTTTGATGCTTTCTGAGACTCCTTCAGATTTTCATATTCCCTGGAGAGGGCCCAAATTAGTCCATCTGTTGAACATGCTTTCAAGCAAACAGCTCTTAGATAAAGCCAATAACCAAATTTAGACTGAAGATTTTCGTTTCACAGCTTAAGTGCCTGCAGAAGTTTCTGTTATATATACAAGAACTTCCAGGGAGAAGACAGCACTGAACAAGCCAACACTGACTTGAACAGTGTTAAAACACTGATACACTACAGCGTAGGCGAGAAAACATGCTTTCAGGGGAACAGCACTACTTGGTTTGGGCCAGGACAAGCAGCAGAATGGCAGAAGAGAATATTCCATGTCAAAATGCATAGGATGTTTAAACAATCTTGAGTCGTGTGCAGTATTTTACATTCTCATTAATGAAATGAGATGCAACAATTCAATTTTTATTTTTAAGTTCAAGGTTCTAAAAGCAATTTAATGCTATTATAAAACAGTGCTGAAGTTACTGATTACAATGCAGGTACACTTCACGCTGGTAGCTCATTATTAAAAGTTGTGATTACCCATTTGCTATCTGACATTGCCTGCACAAGCTGTGAATTATAAACGGTATAAATAAAAAGGCCTCTAGTGCACACAGTAGGGACTGGCGACTACAGCATACTTAATGTCACAGCAGTGTAAAGCACTCTGCTCAGCACCAGGGAGATATTCAGGGGCCATGCTGCCTTACTCAGAATCATGACAATAATTCATCCCCTCCGTTCTCATCAAACAATCACCTCCTGAGCACTCTGGCAAAGCTCTGAAGGTGGTTTCCATAGCAATGGATGTGTCACTAATGCAACAATAGCATACTTGCAGTGTTGAAATCTTCCATCTATGCCACCTCAATTATATTCACCAAGGCTTAGCATTGCAACTAGCGTTCTGCCAGAGCACCTATTGTGATTAACTTTTCCACCGATTCCTTTAGGGGGTACCACACAAACCCAATCCAAGTCAATAAGCTACTGCATTTAATACACCTACTTTTTCAGTGAGATACAATAGACGGCAAGCTGTTCCACTGCGGCCTGACCTGTTCCCATTTCACGGATCATCTTTTCTACCTCGGGACGTTGACTTTGCAGCAGTGTCTCAATCCTGGTACGAAGGAAGGTAGATTACAGGTGGGTTGTTGCTTTTTGTTCAGTGGCAGCTTGTCCATGTTATAAAAACACAGAAACAGTTAATCCTGGAAGAGACGCATCCTGTATTTCACACTAGCAATGATTTCCCCCCCAACATAGCTGGATTCATATGCACACTAGTGTGCTTCAGTTGAATGGGAATTATACTGCTGCATTCCCCCCTCCACCCCAAATGATCTTACTGTATTTTATGTAAACCACTTGGTGATTTCACATATTAGATGGTATGTAAATATTATAAATAACAAAATCAGGAGTTACCAGTATTAAATTTCCTCTAGCAAACAAACTCAGAAACATGGCCATTTGTAAGAAAGTTGAGCATCAATTATTATCAGACAAGCACATGATAAAGGGGCAAGGCTCATGTTGGAAACACTTACCGTATTTACTCGAATGTAATGGGCCATTGAATCTAATTTTTGTGATGTAATTTGGCAAAGAAAGGTGCACATTACATTCCTTCTTCCATCTGATCCCTCTTCCCTTCTCTCTGATTAGCTGGTGCAAGGCAGAGCAGAACCTTTGACCCTCAAGGGTGTCCGGAATGGAAAGGAGAGGCGGATACAGGCGGAAGGAAGGAAGGAAGGAAGGAAAAAGAGGAAGGACGGAACAAAGAAGGAGAGTAGCCGTGATCTGGGCTGGAGAGCGAGAAAGAGTAAGAGGGAGAGATGAAGGAGTTGAGAAGGAGGAGCAGAGCAGTAAGGACTGCCACTGGGTTCAGGGAGCAGAAGACCAGGAAACAGGGTGGCCAAGGCTCTACACACATGCAGGCTGCCAGCTCCTTCTTACTGCTGCTGCTTACTTCACTCCCCCCCTCCCGCCACCTTAAGCCAAAAAGGAAGGGAGAGTATCCCCTGACAAATCACTGCAAATCTTTTGCCCTCCCCAGAAAGATTAAATTCAAGAGGAAGGCTGGGTCACGGGAGACCTAAGACACTGCATGCTAGTGTGCCCTGAAATCCTAAGAACTGTATTTTCTTGAATGTAATGCGCACTCGAATCTAATGCACACCCTAATTTTTGCAACATATTTGGCAAAACAGGTGTGCATTACAGGAGTAAATACAATAAGTGTTTCTACTGCAAAGTTACAGACTCAGAGTTGGAAGAGGCCTCAAAGGTCTTCTGGTCCAATGATGTCTTCTAGAAATGTGAGGTTGCTGAGCAGTCTGCTAACAGAACCAGAAGATGTATGTATAGAGCCAAAGCTTGTTTTCTCACCCCTCCAATGTTTTCAGTCTGTTTCTCAGCCTTCGGGCCTCCTCTTTTGCACTCTTCGCATCATCTTGCTGTTGCTCCAGATACTTCATTTGTTTCTGAGGAAAAAAGCACTATTTTTGTTTAAGAGGAATCCCCATGGAAGCAAAATTTGGACTTAACATCAAGCCATTTCCAAAGCTCTTGCTACTTCAATAGCCCACAGTCTACATTTCAGGTGTCTGGCATATCCATGGATCATAACTTATCTAATAATAATATTTACAGATTGAGGTCATTGCTTACAAATGAGAGAAGTACTTAATTCCAGGAAAAAAACATTCCCCCTTAAATACTTCTTGTTTCCACTCTTGCAATGCATTTTTTTTAAGTGCCACATGAATGCTTCATGGCAACTTGTTTATGATCTGTAGATAACTGTATCATGCATGTGGTCTAATTTAAGTGCAACATGATAGAAACAAACTTGTACAATATCATGATTTCTCTTTTGTGAGCAGGAAAATATCTCACAAATTCCTTCCTTTCATTTTACTCTGCTCTCATGAGACCACCACTGAAAGTCTACCCCACTTTAACCATCATCATATTGTAACAGCTTCTATACTTATATTAAAATGCACAGCTTCCTTGAATATAGAGTGACCTGCACAGGATCAATGCAGTGTGTGTTTAGGAAGCTTCCTCAGCAGATTTAAAGAAAATAAACCTCCTTCAATACACTTGTGATTTCTAGGCTTTGATTGGGTTGGTCAGCTTGGCACAAACTTCAAAGGATGCTGCCTACTTTCCCTCTGAACTGAAAGCTAGGGAAGAAGCAATGCTGTTTGATCATACTTCAGAGAAAAGACTGGTCAAAGACCAGAATATCTACAAGATGATATTAAGCTTTACTCCATACAGAAGGTGAAATATTCTAGATGTATTTGCCAACATACTACTTCCCTACCTCATGTACTTACAGAAATGAATGCCTAAAATGCTGGCTGGCTGATGAGAGCTCACTCAGTCTTCGTTAATCCCCAGTTTTGACAACTCTTCCCAAAGCTTCCATTTTAGCTTTTTAACTCCTCAGCAGCATCTAGCTGGTAATGCTAATGCATTTAAGGGCCAGAACAGGAAGGGCACAGTGGATTTAGCTTCTGCTGTTGCTAGAGAGGCTTTCTCCAGCACAGCCAAGAAAGAAAAGAAAAGCACACCCGTTTGGCACTTGCCACACATTGATAGCATGCTTGGAGACAGCTTCAGTTGCAATTCTGTTTTTCAGAATTGGGAAGAAATTCTAAGCTCTAGACAGAAAATGCATACAAAGTTTGAAAGCTGTCTCCAAATCTGGGGTGGGGTGCGGTTGCCTCAGATTATATAATTAATAGGCTTAGCCCCAGTGTCTTAGAGCAGCTGCAGGGTCTGCATGATTAGAAAAAGCACCGAATAAAGTACACTTCACTGAAACATCAACTGTCCTGGGAGAAGTCAGAATATGGAAGAGCAATGAAAAGATAGCATGGATGATTTGTGTATCTCAGCTTCCTTCTGATCATGTCACGTTAAAAGTGCAGCCTAAAATGCGACATCTGTTGAGCACCAAGAGAAACAACCCTTTTCCGCTTGCCAACTCATGAAACTGCATTCATATCAACAGAGATCTAAAAGGCAGAAACAAGTCGTTATAACCCATCTAACTCACATCATTTCCAGAAACGCATCTTGACATGGAAGTTCTCACTTAAAACAGCCAAACTGTGTTTTCAGCTTAGCCTCTTTTCTCAAGGCATAATATTTGAGAAAATATTATAGTCTCTTTTCTCAAGGCATAATATTTGACCCATGGACCTATCACTCATGAGGACATCATATCAGGAATTATGGTAAAAATCAATTTACTTGGGCATTATTTTTGGATGGGATGGAAGAGGATGTGGCTAGTAGTCTAAAACCAAATCAACAAACATTTGTCTTCAGCAGATGCCAAGGTCGTATTCCTTAAAAAAAATAAATGAAAATTTTTGGCATAAAATACCATTAAAATCAGCCTAGTCTGCAGAACAAGAATAAAAAACCAAGATAGAGAAAAGAGAGGGAATAACTATAAGGTTCTTTATCACATCTATATCCTATCATTTATCCACACACACAGAGGTGGACCCTCCCAAATCCCACTTGGTTGTATTCCTAAGCAATGCGGGAGGAGATATTCATTCTCAAAACAGACCAGACTCACTACAGCTACTTTTACATGCTAGTGCAGAACACTGGTGACGTACATACTTTCTTCCCATTTCAACCCCTCGATAAGCACGAATGTCACTTTTTTATAGGGACAGTTTAGCACAGGGTAGAGAAATGCATTTGGCCGGAAGGCCAGTTTCTGATCCCCTACCGCCTCTAGGCCCGTTTGACGTCAGGCTATGAAACTCTTTGATGCCCTGACAATGGGCTCTTTGCAAGAGGCTTGTAAGGAGTACAGTGCTGTGCTTTGAAGTCCCAATGATCTGTCGACTGTTGGCACTTCAGAAGCACTGCATGTGGGGCTTCTGATTTATAGTGCTTCTGAAGCACCATAAATCCCAATTGTTGGGCCTTGTGCCCAGAGTTTCTAAAGCATTTCAGAAGTCCTTATGGCCCAGCTGTCTAGTTACTTGATCACATCTAACATCATACATGACATCAGGTGATTGGGCCAAGCCAGCCTCACCTGCCAAGCAGCCTGTTTTCCCAAACCTGAGCGAACACCAAACCAGCAAAATCAAGAAAGTGTTACATCCTGCATTTGGGCTTTTATAAGATAAAGGCAAAGGGAAGCAAATGCCAAAACCTTAGATTTAGAATCATCTGGTACTCCACGATGGAAGTCTCACCTGCCTGGTTTATACTTGCTTCATCTTTTGTCTCCCCTGCTAAGTCTAAAAGGACTTTTTACCTTAGGATGCTGGATGTTGTACATTAAAACTTTCAAGTCATACCATGAGATGTATTTAAGATACAGGACAATCACATCCTATGTGGTGGCTCATTTTCAAGGGTTCAATGTATACATGGAAGTACATATACTCAAACTGCCTCCATGCAAGCCAGTGCACTGAGCACGCATTGGGCCCCCCAACCAAGGCAGAGAGCTTAAAAACTCTTTCTGCACTGGGAAAACCTGGCATGAAAGGGGGTTGTAAGCACTTCACCTTACTTGGATTTAAGTCCCACCATTCCAATCAGCTCACCTTCAACTGTGTATGGTTGAAATCAGGAAGGTTAAATGATTTTACAGTACGATGTCATCTTATACGCAAACACACAATCTCACACTTCTTCTTCTTTTTACCTTCAGATATATGGTAACCAGAAGAGAATCTTATCATATTACAGTACAGACCCAGACCATTTTGAACATACCTTGAGAGTAGCACACAACATTGTCATCTGAGTCACAGATTTCTGGAGTGATTCAATGGTGGCATTACGCAAATCCAGGGTCTCCCTTAGTGAATTCACAATACTTTGGATATCCCGTTTCTCCTTCTCTGAAACAAAAAACAAAACAAAACACAATTACAGTGCTTTAAACAAATCTCCCCAAGTTCTTTAGGTCTTTGGACTTGGGGCAGGAACGTGACGAACAACAAGCAAAGCAAGGGGAACTTTCAAAGGCATAAAACAGGGGTGGCTAACCTGTGGCCCTCCAGTTGCTGTTAGGGCTCCAACTATTATCAGCTCCAGCCACTGTGGCCAATGATCATGAATGACAGGAGCTGTAGTCCAGCAACTTCTGGAGGGATCCAATTTAGCCACCCTTGGTCTAGAAATTGCTTGGAACTATTGGATGGCCATTACTGAATCTGTTCTGCGAGAACCATGTGCCACTTCAAATAATCCTTGTTACAAGCTCCACTAAGCTTCAAGGTTTCTTTAAGTTTAGAACAAGAGTAACAGCGTGCTCTCTTCAGAACCTGTTCAGCTGGCAATGCCAATATGGTAGCCATCAGCTCCCACCCTCCCAAGCATCAAAACAAGCTCCGGTACAATTAAGTACTGTGCAGGGAGTCAGCATTATTCATAAACATAACATTTACAAAACCATGAAATTTTGATGTCTGACTTTAAAAGACTCTGTATTCTGTTTTTGGTGTGAACCCTTGTGTGCTGGGTACATGCTTAGGCAAGATTTCAGCTGTTCCTGTGACAACGATGACACACAGAACAATTATGTTACTGTATTGTTACATTCCTATTCTAACTTATTTACTTTCACCACACTTTGCGCCCTGAGCAAGAAATTTAAATGTAACATACTTCGTTTAATTCCTGGAACAAAACACATTGTCCCAGTTTGTGCATCTGCAAAAGTTACAGGACCATCAAGACTTCATAAAAGACACATTTATATTAGAGATATGGCAGGCCTGCAAAACTGATTAGGCAGATAATCACCTTTTATTCCCCTCCAAAGAGCACCTAAAGTGTGTCAAAGCTTCAATGTGTTTCTTAACCAAGCAAGGTACAGTGCTACAAGCCACCCTCAGGTTCAATATAGCAGTTGCTCCTGTCTCAGTATGCAAGCTATGAGGGAAGTTGTTCATCTCAGGGAGAGATGTAGCTTATTTTTGGCTCCTTAATTTGTAATTGTCGAGGAAGGCAAACAGTCCAATGGGAAAAGACAGCTCATTAGAAACAGAAGAACCCTCCCTGGTTGCTCATTTAAAATCTCTTCATTTTACTGTATTCTCATGTTTTGGAATTTCTGTCATTCATTTTGAGTGACATTTTCCCTTCACTGCCTATGACTCACAGCTGCCTACAGACAATGCTTTAAAAGCCATCAACAAAGTCTCCAAGGCTTTCACTTAACTGTCTCCATAAAGCATTTCTAAAATTAAAGTTATAATGCTCTTTAAAGCAATGGGGAAATGGAATCACATGAGCAACCAGACACATGGACCATCATTCAGATAGCTGACAAAATCCTCTCCCCTCCTCCGTTTCCTACTTCTATTTGGCTTCTCAATTATATGCAACACCTCTGCAATTTTTCACTACAAAACCACTGACATTAGGCAGGTACAAGTTTCGTAACAAGGAGGCATTTACCTTAAGTTTATCTGAATAGTCTCACTGAAGTTTTTCACCAAGCTCAGCTGTGTCATGCCAAATCCCTGTGGCTGAGCAGAGTCTTTAAACTCTGGTCAACAAGTGACCCAAAGCATTTCATGTATATATGTGTTTGGAGTGGAGTGAGTGGGAAGTATCTTAACTCTTCAGTTTTAAACACAGCTTTAAGTCATCATGCAAGGCTTGTTAATACTTAAAAAATAAAATAAAAGGGTAAAGGACCCCTGACAGTTAAGTCCAGTCGCGGATGACACTGGGGTTGCAGCGCTCATCTCGCTTTACTGGCTGAGGGAGCTGATGTTTGCCTGCAGACAGTTTTTCCGGGTCATGTGGCCAGCATGACTAAGCCGTTTCTGGCGAAACCAGAGCAGCGCATGGAAACGCCGTTTACCTTCCCGGGGGAGCAGTACCTATTTATCTACTTGCACTTTGACGTGCTTTCGAACTGCTAGGTTGGCAGGAGCTGGGACAGAGAAATGGGAGCTCACCCCGTCGCGGGGATTCGAACCGCCGACCTTCTGACCGGCAAGCCCTAGGCTCTGTGGTTTAGACCACAGCGCCAACCGTATCTCAGTAAAGTCTTCAGTAAAGTTAATACTTTACTGGGACACATAAATACTTTACTAAAGGGCAAACCTCTTCCTCTTCTATTTTTCAACTCACCTTTCATGGCTAACTGGGCTTTCATCCTATCCAGTTCATTCTGAAATATAACACATAAAAAAACAAATTAGGTGGCAGCACAACATACAAGCCCACATCAGAGATTTAAAAGGTGTGTCAGAGTGATTTTAGGATATCTACCCAAACACTATTCACACTCACACGGACCAAGTTATACAGAAAATAGTCACAACTGTCGAAGCTTTATTAATAACCTATATCCTAGGATTATTTTAGAAGTGGGCAGAGGGCTGGAGCTCAGAACTGAAAAACATCAAGAGCGATTGTCTTACCACTATTTCTCACACTGCTTTTGTCAAACAGCTTTAGAAATCTCAAATGGGAAAAACAACAACGAAGAAGTATTTCAACACTATTTTAACTTAACAAGCCAGCCAAGCACAGATCCTGCCAGAAAGAATTTGAGTCCCAAATATTTTTAACTAATATTTGTAATCAATGGATAATTAGCTGGAGTGCAATAGTGTTACAAAACTAGTGTTTGGACAGAGTCCAACAAGCAATTTATGAATGCATCTGGATAGAGGCACAATGAGTCAAACCAAAAGCTTGTTTAATGCTCATTCAAATGAGCTTGGAAATTGATAGCGACACAGAACAGCAGCTGGATGAAAGGGCAGCAATGAACTGGCTGGCACCAAGTAGGTTGAGGAGGTGCCAAATGAACACCCAAAGGAGCTATGTAACAGCTGGCAGTATTTAATACTGAAAAAATAAAATGCATGGCATATAGCCAGAATTTACAGTACTTAATGATGCCAACATGGATCTACTTCATGCTCATATTTCTACTTTAAAAAGAAAAAGGAAAAGCTGATTTATCAGGTGGGGGGGTGGAATCTGATGAGAGTCTGCAAACCCTAGAAAGCATAAAGGCTGAATTAGGCCTGCAGGACATAGCAGACAATAAGCTGGGCATTGAGTAAAATGTAGTATGACAGCACCCTCACCCCCCACCAAACACAGCATGTTACTGAAACTATTCATGCAAAGACATCATGTCTATATTAATTTAAGAAAATAATTAATTGAATAAGGTCACCAAACTAACAGCATGTCATTCATGGTGCACTGCAGTATATTGTATGGATTATTAGAATCTCATGGCAAATATGTTGTTGAAGTAAAATGGTTAGGAAACTAAATAAATAAATCAGAAGGCATTGATTCAATAGAAAACACAAGCTGACAACATAATACGGAGTGAAATATGATTGTACACACACAGCTTGTATGGGCAGGGTAGAAGCCCAAGTATCCCTCTTCCCTTATTTGACAGCAATACCAGCAATATGTACACTAAGGCTTCCTTTCTCTTCCACTGAAGTAAAGAAGAGATGTGTTTTATAGGAATCTCAATGATGCAGCTCAGTAGACTGCCTGGAGGTTGATAAGGGAAGCTTAGGGCAGAGATGAAGAGGGCTTATGCCTGCCCTCCATTTGCATGGAGGTATATTAAAATGGGAGGGACGCAGGTGGTGCCGTGTGTTAAACCACAGAGCCTAGGGCTTTCCGATCAGAAGGTCGGCGGTTCAAATCCCCGTGACGGGGTGAGCTCCTGTTGCTCGGTCCCTGCTCCTGCCAACCTAGCAGTTCGAAAGCATGAAGTGCATGTAGATAAATAGGTACCGCTCCAGCGGGAAGGTAAATGGCGTTTCTGTGCGCTGCTCTGGTTCGCCAGAAGTGGCTTAGTCATGCTGGCCACATGATCCGGAAGCTGTACGCCGGCTCCCTCGGCCAATAAAGCAAGATGAGCGCCACAACCCCAGAGTTGGCCACGACTGGACCTAACGGTCAGGGGTCCCTTTCCCTTTATATCAAAATGGGACAAGAGGAAGGGCTGATCCTAGAATAAAACATGTAGGAGAAAGTGTTGCCAAGTTTGATGTGACAGAAGAAAGGGAATGAGGTCTCTACCAAGTCAACTGGGATCCAGAAAGTGCAACGAAAGAGGCAGCCCAGGGTTCATTTCACGTTCGGGAAGCATATCAGGGAAAGGAAATCAGCTATGTGGAATTATGAAGAAACCTGGTGCGAATGCTAAGTTTGGAAGCAGAGAAAGGAAGCAGTGAAGGTAGAAGGAGCCTTTATGGTGGTACCCCAGCCCATAACTAATTTAGAATGTGGATCATTTTTATTTAAGGGAAACTGGGCAACGCATGGGCTATTTGTACATACATTAATGGTTAAAAAATTTATGCCAGTGACAAGTTGGGGGGGCAATGAGAGACTTGGGGCACCTTAAAGGGTCTCAAATAAGTGGACTTTAGCCCACAAAAAACTTATACCATACTAAATTTGTCAGTCTAAGGTGTCACAACAGACCAATTGCTGCAACAGACCAACACATCTACCCCTCTAAATATTGGAGCAAGATAGTTGACCCCCCTCAATTCCATGGACTTGTAGCATCCACAATACAAAACTAACATTAGTGCTATATATGCTAATAACTATTAGCAGCTGCCAACTTATAGGCAAGAATGTTCATGTTATAACAGGAAGCAAACCAAGAGATGGTGTTTCTCTTTATTGCCATGCCATCCTACTCTGAAAAAAAAATGTGGTTTTCAGTATTTTGCAGCTCAAGAGTAACACCTGGCAAACCACTGCTGCTTCATTCAAGTGAACTAATGCTTTCTATGGCTCTCTAGGTGTGCTAGCATAAGCCATTTTCTTTTAGAAGTGTTTCAGTATTCACTTTGCCGATTGGCTGAACTGTTACTTAAGGTACTCAAGATATGTTGTTGCTATGACAGGAACACATTTAATTCTCAGTCATCCTTCTCTGTAATAACTTTCCTTTGTTGAATAGTGCACCTACTGAATAATATGCTTAAAGAAATCCTAGTAAATATAAAGAGAGCTTTTATGTGCATCAAGTTATTTTTGAATCTATGCAACTACCTTGTTTATTGACCACATTTATCAGGTTGCTTTTAGTCTCTTTTCTGTGAATATGACAGCTTTATTTCTGATGGAACTGTTACCTATATCAGGGAATTAGGCACACAGACACAAAACTTGTTGTCATGGAAATTCTAATTATGACAACCATAGCACATGCTAACTTTAAACACAAGAGGGTAGAAGAGTCCTATTATATCAAGGTCAATGGAGACTTTTTAAATGACTAAGATACAGAGGAAATAGCATTTTGCCAAGGATAAATTATTGTTGAGAGTACACAGCGCTTTAGCGCCATGATTTTGCATTCAGGATTTCTCATTGCCAGCACAGTAGTGATCTCAAACACGTTAAGGCTGCAATCCCACAGACATTCACCTTAGAGTAGGTTCCATTGGTTCTAACCTAATTGGGTTTATTTCAAAGTAAACACATATAGGATTGCACTATAATTGATGTACCTTCCCAGATGAAGCTTGTCTTAAATATTTATTCGTAACACAGTATGTATCATAAGATTATAGCCTATGTTTTTCCAAGTCTTGTAACATTATTATATATCCTACACCCATACACACTGTGCAATCTAATTTTTGTATTATTTTTTAAATGTCTCTTTCTCTTATTGTGGATCAAAAGATCTCACAGAGCAAGCTAACTGATAACACTGAGGAACAGTAAAAATGTAACTATGTGCCGAGTTGTCAGATGAAGACTATAAACAGACCGTATTCTTTTAACAGCTTCCACCCAATGAGCATTGCAAAGACTGCAAACTATCATCTCTTCGCTCGTTCCTACAGGCAACTAGAACAACATTCCATTCAGCCTCCAGACTTTAACATAGCTGTGTTACTCCTGATCTGCACAATATCCGAGGATAATAGGAAGAGGCTAACAAAAACAAACATAATTAAGAAGGCCATGCTCTTTGAAAGGAGTCTGAATGGCAGAAAATTGGAAGAAATTGATATAATTCCTTTCATGTCAACTTGCCCTTAAAATGAAAGCATTTTTAAACCCGAAGATCTGAGGTCATGTAGAGTCTAACTGAGGTGGGCCTCCAGAAGCAGAAACAAGTGCAGAAGCAGATTCACCTTTGATCCTATGCCTAGCCAATGACAGCAAATATTTACAGGGAAGATTTTTTTTTAAACATAGATGATGGGAGCAAGCTGTTGCACATACATACCTGTAGACTTTCTGCATCCAGTCCTGTCTGTTCCTCCAGGGCAACATCAAAGAACAGTTTGTTGATTATGTGTCTTTTGCCAACCTACACGTAACATGTGAAAGAATAAGGACATGACTGTGAAAAAGGAGGTGCCAGTTGCAATAAGATGGGAAATGATGTTTCAAGACAATATAAACATTGAGATTTCAGAAGACACATCTAATCTAATACACCCACACCCACACACCCCTTGACCTTGAATCAGGATGATTGCTTGTGTTTACTAGAAACCATCTTCTATAGCACAGGGCTTGGAGGAAAGACAGTTCTGTTGGGCATCAGGCACAGCAAGGGATATTAATGTGACCTGTCTAGCATATTGCAATGTAGCATATGATGCACTTCACATCGCTACTGCCGCTATGAAATTCTTTGGCTCAGAATTCCAGTAACAGACTTTCCAAGTGTGGAGCCATTATTCCAGCACAAAATTTTGGAATTTTGACAAAACAATTCAAGCACCTTGGAAGCAAGTGCAATTTGTTCTCTGGCAGCTTTAGCTCAGCAGCTGAGGCTAAGCTCACGCTGTGCCAAATCCAAGTACGTGCTGCTTGCTTTATGAGGAAAAAAATATTACCGAAATTGAATTTCATAGCTCTCTCCACCTCCCCCATGCAGCTACCGCTTTGTGTTTTAAGTATTATATACAGTCATGACACCAGCTAATTGCATAGTTACAGCTACATAAGATGTTATTTCACGATAGCTCCATGGTAACCCAAAGATGCGAGAGGCGGCGAAGAACAGAGGGAATCAACAAGTCAGAAGAGCAACAAGGGCTAAGACCTGGCAAGGACTGAAAAAGACAAATAAGAAGGCAACATGCAGCTTGGCACCTGCACACTGGTGTTCCTTTGAAGCTAATAAATAACATTGTAACAGCCAAATACCAAAGGTCTCGACTCTAATTATTGCCGTATTAACAGGGTACACCACACTTATGGCCACCATCCCAAAAGCTCATTTACATATAACAGCTCATGTATACGCGGCAGGACTTTTGATTTTTCCTTGTATCTGCAGCATCCCCATTCCTATTTCCATTATCCACAAAGGGATGTTCAAGAAACAGAAGTCAAAAACTAACTGCAGCTACTTGTACAGCTAGCTAGCTAGTGGCTTAGATTTAGTAATTTCAAAGAGAAGGGGCTCAGAAGAAGAATCTGAAGAAAGCTATTCATACTCAAGACTATCTGCAATGGAAGACCTTCCTCTATCATGGGCTCATTGAGGTCCAGCTGCTTAGTCGCACTCCCAGAGGACATAAATGGAAGCTGCTGCTTAGTAGGCAAAAACCAAAGAGCAACACCAAGGATCAGAGCAGGAAATGCCACCCGAATAACCCTGGCACCATGGAGACACCGTGTTATTTCTAATCCTGATACCAGACCTGAATGTGATTTTTATTGCGAGAATATTTTCTAAGCTGCTTTGAGAGTGTCTCAATGCTATAAAGTCAGATTAAAATATTCTAAAACAGATAAATAAATCTCACCGAAATTAACTGAAAATCAATCAATCAACCAATCACAGCTAACTTGTCCTATTGATTTTAGTGGGCCCCAAACATAATCAACTTTCTCCAGATTTGGACCTCTGTGCTGAGGCCATCAAAATCCTCTGCCAATAAAAGATGAATTCTAAATCAGTTGAATGCTGAACTTACAGTACTTAAAGTGAAAGCAATGAACCTTCTAACTGAAGAGATATGATCTAGCTTACACTTCCCAGTACATGCTAAGCTTTGGTAAAAGCAAAGCAATGGTAAGATTCAATCCAATAGCATAGAGAGAGAGAGAGAGAGAGAGAGCGCGCGCGCAGGAGTGCCCCCCCATAAAACCTTTATAGTAATTTCATGACCTTATGCTTCAAGGAAGTAAGGTTGATGGGCCCCTTCTCCAGAGTTACCTTCTCTCATTTGGGTAGTCTTTCGTTCTCTTCTGACCACACCCCTCCACCCAGTCTGGGCAGGTCATTACTGAAACAGAACTCCTCAGCCTTGGAAGGCAAAGTACTCATATGGTAAAGACGATGAAATATGACAGATTATTTCAGTGAGCATAGGCTGAAGACTCACCTGGATTCTGCACTGTGGACAAGTCCGACTAGGTGCTGTGTCAAACCACTGGATGAGGCTAGAGGGGAAGAGATGACAAAGTGATTGTTGACAAATGGTGCTTCTTAACATGAACCACACAGGTAGTGATGTTAAATTCTCGAGAATAATCTTTTGGAGAATATTCTCGAGAATATTCTCAATTAATGAGAATATTAGAGAATTCTCATTTAAAATAGGAGAATATTCATTTTAATGCATTGAAAATGATATAATTAGTTAACATACATGTTTATTCATGGGTAAACTTGTTCAGATGGCAACCAGAAACTGTACAGATACTTTTATTCAATGGGGCAATGCAGTGAATTCACATTCTTTGATTTTTTGCACCAAACTTGAAATTGAAAATTGGCATGTTAAGGTTTGATACAAGTAAATTCAGTAATAGGCTATCTTGTGCTTCTAATAGCTCTAACACTTAATAACTGTGTTGGTGACTAAAACATAGCTTGATAAACAAATCTATATGCATGCATATAAAAAAGAAGCCATTAACATTAAATGTATTATCATTATATGATAACATATTTCAGTATGTCAGTCTCAGGTAAATGACACCTTGTACCATTGAATGGCACTGCAAAAACCAGTTTTTTTGGCATTAAATAAAAACATACAAATGTCAACTGTTTAAATCAAGGCCACCTCACATGCTGTTACACATAATTGTATAGGCCTAGATACTTTAGGTTTATAAAGCATTAAAGCTACTTTCTGTAAAAAAATAATAAGCACACTGTATGGCCAAGGGTATAAAATTGCTAAAAATAAGGTCACACCAAAATAGAAAAAAGGCTATTACATATACAGTAGTTGAAATACAAATGAATTCAAATGTTCATCAAATTAAATGAATAGCATTTTGTTTTAAAAATGTTTTCTGTAGCTCACATTTCAGAACTGTCAATGGTGAATGACACAATGCCCAGTAATGTAACTGGTTCAAAAAAATCATTATTCATTACTTACACTGGCAATATCATAGCTTGACTTATTATTTGCTATGTTTTTTAAATGTGGGTTGTAAAATTGGTTCTTACATTAGAATTTACAGTTTGTAGAGAATATTATCTGGAGAATATGCTCACCTCACTACACGCAGGTATTATCAGTTACAAACAAAACTCATCTAGTCTTGAGACAGACAGTTTTAGAATTAATTCTGCCACAAGGCCAACACCCTGTAATACACAGGGCTGCAATCCTGTGCACACTTACTACCCTGAGATTTATTTCCATGCAAGTTTCACACATTTCAACTCCCATTTAAAATAAAGCAGTTTTGCTGAAATTTCAGTTTGCAACATCACAGTGCTGAACATCTTAAGTATTATTGCCGTTGCCATTGGGACAGTATTTAGCTTGGTAGACAATGAGTGGTACAAGGCATGCAGGCTCGCTTGTGATATGATTATAAAGTGATACAAATCGTGATAAATGAATAGGATATGGATATGTCTTAGGAATATATAGAGTTTGTCTTGAAACACTCATTTGGACATATCTTCAATATAGGAAATACAGTGGTACCTCGGGTTAAGAACTTAATTCATTCTGGAGGTCCGTTCTTAACCTGAAACTGTTCTTAACCTGAGGTACTACTTTAGCTAATAGGGCCTCCTGTTGCTGCGCGATTTCTGTTCTAATCATGAAGCAAAGTTCTTAACCCGATGTTCTATTTCTGGGTTAGCGGAGTCTGTAACCTGAAGCATCTGTAACCCGAGGCACCACTGTAGCACAAAATATGCACACAGTGCATTAAGCTAGAAATGGCTCAGTACCACTGTGAACCTGGTCCTTCAGTCCTCAAATATTTTGACAGGCATCCGTGACACAGAAGGAAAAGCAGGACACAACAAACTGAGGAAATGAGTTACAGACCTATTTTATCAGGCAGAGAAAAATTATTGTCCTACTCCTAACCAGCACACTGTTTCTATAACTGCAGTTTCTTGATGATCAACATATCCATCCCCCCTCCTAAACCACAAAGACACCAGCCAACAACAAAAAAACTTGCCTTAATGCTTCTTTCTATTGTACCTACAACTATAATATCAGCCTGCCTGGGCCCTTAGATATGGAGGAACAGGCCCTTTTCATTGTCTCACCATCCTGCGGTGGCATGAGATATGGCACCCTTTGTGGAGGTGCCCCTATTATAGAATAGCCTACTCCTCTGAAGTATGGCAGGCACCAATATTGCTGACAATTGGGAGCCAGCTAGAAACTTCTATTTGCCCAGATGTTTGCTCATTGTTATAACACATTGTGTTTTCATGTTGGATTTTTCAAATTCTGTATATTTTACTTACACTTACTCTTATTTTTGCTCCCTTTGTAACCTGCCTTGGAATCATTTGAACAAGGGCAGGTTAAAAATGCTCTTAATGAATAAATAGTAAAAAATAAGATGTTTCCAAGTATTATTTCACAAATAAGATGTAATGAAAAGTTGATGTGTAAAAAAAAAAAAGAGAGTTGCTTAGGTTCTTAAATAACTTTCCTCCACCAATTTTGCCATTTGTTTATACAGTACTCACCATAAATGGTGGAAAGTATGTCCACAGTGAATAGCTGCCACATCCCTCTCATTATCAAAGAAATCTGAGCAGATGGTACAATGGGCACGGATAGGCATCCTTTACAACTGCAAGATCAAGGAAAAGATGCAAAAACTCAGATGTGGAACAGCCTCTCTGCAAAAAGAAACACTAAACTTAAAAGAGGTTCTGCCCAGTAAGAAAACAGTCACAAGGGCATATCCTGAATGCTGCTTCCCTTTCCCCACCTGTACACTGAAGAACTGAATTTGCACTTGCTGAGTGTGGTGTAGTGGTTAGGAGCGGTAGACTTGTAATCTGGTGAACTGGGTTCATGTCTCCGCTCCTCCACATGCAGCTGCTGGGTGACCTTGGGCTAGTCACACTTCTTTGAAGTCTCTCAGCCCCACTCACTTCACAGAGTGTTTCTTGTGGGGGAGAAAAGGGAAAGGAGATTGTAAGCTGCTTTGAGACTCCTTCAAGTATAGTGGTGCCTCGCAAGACGAAATTAATCCGTTCCGCGAGTATCTTCGTCTAGCGGTTTTTTCGTCTTGCGAAGCAACCCTATTAGCGGCTTAGCGCTATTAGTGGTTTAGCGGCTATTAAAGGCTTAGCAGCTTAGCGGATTAGCTGCTAAAAGGCTATTAAAGGCTTAGCGGCTTAGAAAAAGGGGGGGGGAAGCGGAAAAAAAAATCTCAAGACTCGCAAGACATTTTCGTCTTGCGAAGCAAGCCCATAGGGAAATTCGTCCTGCGAAGCGCATTGAAAACGGAAAACCCTTTCGTCTAGCGGGTTTTCCGTCTTGCGAGGCATTCGTCTTGCGGGGCACCACTGTAGTGATAAAGCGGGATATCAAATCCAAACTCTTCTTCTTCTTCTCTGTGCCCTACACAGGTTACTGGAAACTTAGACAAAAATAACAGCAGCAAAATCCAGAGGGCAAAGTATTCCTTCCTGCATTTCTGGTTTTGCTCTATAGTCCCAAACAGCCAACGAAAACACTTTACACTCCCCTCCAAAGCTCTTTCACTGTCACAGCCAGTTACTTAACTGGGTAACACCAACTGTAATATGGGATGTTCAGTACGTCAACTACCACTAGCCAGCAAGATATAGGTCAGATATTCATTACAAACAAAGTATTCGCAAAACATTAGGACAAAATACTGCCCCTTATCAAAAGGAAGATTCAACAAGCACAGACCGCTTTCAGAATTTGATGAAAGCTGCGAACCCTTCCTCAGATTCCCCTTCCCTGAAGACCGTTTTCAAAACAACAGGAAGGAAATGAAGAGGGTAAATAAATGATAATAATAATAATCCCTCCCCCCCCAACTCCACAAACCTGCTGAATCCCACGGGTTAAGAACCCCTCCTTTAAATCTCTACCTTGGGCTAGTCAGTGTCTCCAAGAATAACTAACCTCACGAGCCTAAGTGGTGGGGAAAGAAGCTTTGGTTGCGGGGACTGAACAGAAGAAGAATAAAAATGTGCAATTAGGCAGCTTCCCAAACTCACAAAGCCTCTGCCTATAAAAGACTGGCAGAGAAAGAGGGAGCCCAGGGGCCAGTCCTCTCGGCCAGCTCCAGGGAGATGGAGCGAGACTTCTCTCGAGGTGACCCGCGAAGCTTCCCCGCCCGTCTCGAGCTCTTGTCCTCCGGCTTCCTTCCCCCGCCCTGAACCCGGGAAGCTTCCCTGGAAGGAGCGCTCTCTCCCTGCAGCCGCCGCTATCAGGCCCAACAATGAACCTCTCGGTTTCCAGTTCAAGCCTCACTTGGTTGCCGGATTCAAATTTGGTTCCTATCTCAGTGATTTCCGGAAGGGAACGGAAATGACGTTCTTAATTAAGGCGCGGGAGCAAAACAAGGAAAAAGGCCCCCCCTCGTGTGTTTCATAAAGTTTCCGACACTGCGGCTGCCCCTTTTGAGGGGCGGGGCTAATAAGTGACCGCGCCCCTCCCGGAGCGCGCGGCTAGAGGGGAAATAGGGGCTGCAAAAGGCAGAGCCGTCCTGCATCGGGGCTGCGCTCTTAGAATTAGAAAGGGATAGGGCATCTGTAATCGGACTTTTTATTACATTTAGTTCTAGAAAAAGCCGCCTTGAACATGGACGTAGCCAGGATTTATGTTGGGGGGTGGGCAGAGCCTCAATTGAGTATTTTTATTATTTGCCCCCTGCCCCACCTTGGCTACGCCTATGGTCTTGAGTCCCGTCAGGGCGAAAGGCGGGGTATTAAAAATATACGTAATAATCTAAATTGACAGAGGCAATTAGAGATCAATCCAAACATAAATTTCAAGAAGAATGGGGAAAATATAGTGAGTATCTGAAAAAGCAGTTCATTCAAATTAATACCTGGACTTATCTTGACTAATTTGCGCAAAACAAATTATGGTGTAAGAATGTAAGATAAAGAGCAAAATAGAGAAGAGGAATTGAGAAAGAAACAGTTTACTAAGTATACAACCAGACCTGCGTTGAGGATGAAGGAAGTCAAATAGAAATGAATAAGAATGAATTAGGGATGTATCTGTAACATCTGCTTTGCATTTGTAGTTGTATCTTTTTGTTAGTTTGTTTTGTGAGTGTTGTCTGTGTTGGTGTCGGTATACTAGATCGTTTAGTCGTGTCCAACTCTTCGTGACCCCATGGACCAGACTCCATGGACAAAGACAACAGGCGGGCACACACACACACACACACATATGAACTTTTTGTACAAGGATTTTGTACAAGGATTGGGGAAATGTTACAGAAGTCATAAGATTTGATGGCATGATGCCCATCATACACATGAGGTTGCTTCTGGCTACAGGCTATTTACCGGTATTTCCTTACCTTACAGGGAATTCAGACGCTCCTCCTGCCACACCAAGCTTCTTCAGAGAGAGTGGCCGGACATCCATAGTCCTGGATGGGTGCAGTCACGGACCATTACGACTGCTATATTCAATATGGGATGTAGCTTATATGCAGTTTTGCCTAAGGGATGCAATTCTTATATGGATGTGGTAATCGAAAATGGGCTGGGCAGGGGATGAGCTGGAAAACCTGCAATGATTGCCCTTTCTGCATAGCTATTAAAAGGTGTAGGAATAATGTCCTGTTGTGAATCCAGTGTCTACTGCTGCTTGAGGGGACTATTATTTTTTGAAGTTACAACTCTCAGAATTAATAAAATAGGACGTATTGCAAATTAAGTGTGCACAGAATTGGACCCTTGCATCCTAACCATGGTTATTTGGAAAAAGTTCATGGGTTGCATCTAATGTTAGAACAGACTCCTTGAAATTAACAGATTTGACAGTTTAAGTGCATTAATTCCAGTGTTCTTATTCAAAGTAGAATTGGATACAACCCATGGTGGTATTTGTTGCCATTTGGGTAAGTATGCTTAGGATTGCATCTGTGCAATTCTAAGCATGCTTGGTTAGAAGTACCACTAAATACAGTGAGTGGAATTCAGTGCTAGGTGGGGTATCTGTGTATAGAACACGGTTTTCCTGCAATGAGACTTCCCCAAATCTGTCTTGGAGGTGTTGGGGAGGAGGGGAAAGGCCTGTTGTACAAGGTGACCTCGTTCAATGCATATGACAATTTAGTTGAATCCAGTGTAATGAGATTTACTTCCTAGGTAGTGTTTCAGATTAGACCCCTTGAATGCTGTGTTTCTAACTTCTGACTAAGCATTCCTTGGGTCAGGCAAGCTGAATGTTGAACAACAACAACAACAAAACAATTAAAAATATATGTTACTGAAGAAATGCAGTTATTTATCATACTTCTTTCGTTGTCTTCTTTAACCTCACATGAAGACATTTCCACACCCAACCTCCCAGATTTGCCTAAGCCAGTTTTCGGCACATTTCCCTTCAGATTTGGGAATGGCTCTGGGGGCTTTTAACTGAGTGTATTTTGGTGCTTTCTTTTTCGCTGCAATTTCCCCAGTGGAGCAGCACCTCAAGTTGTAAATGAATCCAGGGACTGCTGGCGCTGTTGCTTATTTTCAAAGCATGGAAACAGTAAGTTCACATCCCATCTGTGTCATATCTAATAACAACAATGTACAAATCTTAGGAAAATCTACAGTTTGACATAGCAGGGTTTCTCACAGAAGAACTCATTGTACAATTTCTATAATAAGACTCCCTTGTTGGGCTTTGCTAAACAGAAATAATATGGTATCTAGAAACAAAGGCAAAACAATTTGGTAGGTTTTAGCTGGTGAAGACATTTCTGTGGGAATTAAAAATTCAACACCATTTGTGCTTCATTAAATGCAACTGCAGGCTGTCACACATTGCGTAAAGGTCTTAAACTTGTCATTTTGGTTGTGAAACCTGGAAAAGAAAACTTTTCTGGTGATATTTGACACTGCAAATGGATTATTTCCAGCCTTCTGTTATGTGCAGGATAAAGAGATTAACTTAGCTTTGTAGAGATATATAAAATATTTACTAGCTTACACAACTGTATGCAGCTGGATGACATGACGGGTCTGGCAACACTTGCATAATTGGTTGGGATAGATGTCACATGTATTGCTCAGAGGACTTTTGAGCCCCCTGTTATATAGAATAGTTTTAAATGCACCTGTACCACCTTCTGAAAATCAGTTAAGGACCAGGTATGAAGGTGGATTTACAGTTGCATTTATACCGTCTTCTATTTCCTGCATCACCCGAGAACAGATGTATTCTGCCTTGAAATATATAACCTTCCAGCCCTCCATTCCCCCCATACAGTTGTACATATTTGGGAATGACCTTTTCATATTTTAAGCTTGCCTACTTGCATTGAAGTGTCTCTTTTGTCACCACTGAGAAGATCAAAAAGCCCTGCTGAATCAGATGAGGCCCATTAGTCCAGTATTCTGTTTCGTCCAATGGCCCAAGAGATGCTTCAAAGAATTCCACAGGCTTGGCAGAAACTAAAGATAGCAGCCCTTCTTCGGTGTTTGTCCCTCTGTTACTGATCGTCAGAGGCATGTTGCTTCTGTGGTTCCAGTAGGTACAATGGCTAATAGTTGTTGGTAGATTTATCATTCAATGAATTGGCTAAATCCCCTTTGAAAGCTGCCTAAGTCAGTGACCATCCAATTATTGTGCCAGCAAATTCCATAAATTAATTGCATGCTTGTGAAATTTGTGTGTTCTGAGTCTACTGTCAATTTTAATTGCATGACTCCATGTTCTAGTGTTATGAGTGAAAGAAAAATCTTCATTTCCCCCCATGCAATGTATTTTATGACTCTGTCATGCCTACCTTTTGTCATATTTTCTAAGCTCATGGTGGCATTGCAGTTGAGTAGTCACAGGGCTGCACGGACGAGCATTTGGGGAACTTAACTGGGGTAATGTTTTCTGCATTTGCTGGCGTGGTGCTATTTAAAACAAAGCATAACTTTTTATGTGCATTAACTGAAGTTGTGTACGATTCCCAAGTGAACATTAAAGTGCTTCAAAATGTTTGTGTGTTTTTGACCTCAGCTTTACCATGATAGCTTGTTCCACTTTCCTGTCATCTCTAATCTGGAAAACCATTTTCTCCTGCAAATTGTAACAGAATTCCCTAGCAGAGGTTCTGCTAAGGATACATTTCTGGGGAGGGTATGTGGTGGGACATGAAATTGCATCTCCTTGTTCCTCTTGCAGTGCCACGAGCTAGTATACAAATACGGAGGCAAGAAAGCTGTTGTAAATTGTAAAGCACAAAGTGACAAGATTCTGGTTGCTGCTATTAGTTGACTGGTTGGGCTTCCTGATCTAGTAACTACTCCTGGAAGGCCATAGGTTCCCCATACATGCCATAAATGAGATAAGGAATCAATGAACATGTGTGTAGTCTCTGCACGGGTGTAGGTGGCCATGTTGAGCATCTTGAGGACATCAGTAAGTTAGGATTGAAGAATGCAAGATTGTGCAACAGGGCCTCTTCCCCAGGCTGAAACAGGAATTTTATGTAGGGCCTTGACGGTGGGGAGTGGAAGGTGGAAAAGAAAACAAAGACATGTCTACTCTTAACATATTATACTGGCCTCATATTAGGCTTAATTGACAGGGTTTCCTCCCAGTTCCAAAGCGGAGGGCTTAAATTGGTTTTAAAGCAGGTATAAAATCATGGCATAGTTGTGTCCCCCTTCCTATCGCAGGCCGCTTTCCAAATTATATCTATATTGTATAAAGATGGACTAGCATTATTCACAGCCCTGGCATTAGTTGGAAAATGACAGCCCCTAGCAGGATTGTGTGTACAGTGAAGACACAGAGACAGACAATGCACTAGCAGGTGCTCTCTCAGTTTACCCTTAGAAGGGACTTTATTATTTTTTTTCCAGTGGTACAGTGCGGCAATTACACAGGAATTTCTGGGTGGTTGTAGTTTAAATAAAACAATTTCATAGACTAAACTCAAACTTACAAACATGCAGCTGCTTGTGAGGGAGGAGAAAGGCTAAGAAATGCTGGAGTCAGTAACTGAGGCAGGCAGGTGACTGAGAAGGCCTTGAAGTCTACTATGTAGGCTGTTCACAACAAGAGCCAGGCTTCTCTGTGTGCCTTATGTGGAACTGAACCTGGGATATCAAGACCCAGTTATGGGAAATGAGGGTGCTTGTGGTTCATGTGGAGGGTTTGACAGGGGCTCTGCCTTCAACAGGTGTGCGACAGACAGGGAACTCTTCTGTCAGCTTCAAGATGCAGGGATGGATAAAGCATAGCCGTATGATTTCAGCATACTATGCTGTTGGTAAAAGGCAATGGACCTCCTTCAGGAAAGAAAGTGGCAATTTGATTCAAACTTCATGTTGGACACAGCTGAGGTGGGGCCTTCTCTCCCCAAGTGTGTAGTGTATGTGGGATTTTACAATAATTAATAGCTCTGCATGAATCTCAAGCTTCTGTGCTAATTGGCATATAACCTGGGTGCTCCTATTTGAGTTGTGCTTAACTTGTGTCAAGTTAATCATTCACAACATTTCTATGCCGTTCCATAAAATAAAGTTATCTGAGCTGCTTACGAGAAGCTAAGGTACTTTCACGCAAAAAGAAACAGCTCCTTCCTAACCTCGGTCTGTCCCAAAGCCATAACTTCTGTTTAAAATAGTTCAATGGGATTTACTTTCAGGTAAGTGAATATATGATTGACACTTGACCTGGGAGTGGGTTCCACTGAACTCGGAGAAGGCCTGTACTGTCAATCTAATGCTTAAATGGGCAAAAAATATCTATGCACTTGTAGCAATTTTAGTACTTGCCTGATCTAGAGCATTCTTGTTTATACTAGTCTATATTTTTTTTTTTAAAAAAAACCTGAATAGATGAAGTATATTGCACATTTTTGAGTTAGCAAAAACAAGTACTGGTAAATGCATTCAATTCTAACTCTATGCAGGGGCTTGCCTTGAGAGTAATTCAGAAAAGGGGGTTGCCATGGTGCGGCCCACGAACTCAGTGGCATCCCTGTGGCCTTTCCCTGACATCCATGAAGCCTCTGAGCCCCCCTCCTCACTATTTCCTTTGTCATGAGGTGGTAATAGCTATTACGGGTACCTTTTTCTCCCTTGAAAAGTACCGTGTTTTCTTGAGTCTAATGTGCCATCGAATCCAATGTGCACCTCAATTTTCAGAACCTTGAAACCAAAGAAAGTATTTGCCGGCGAATGTAAATGTGCCATCGAATCTGATGCACACCTTAATTTTCGCAGCGTAATTTGGCCAAAGAAGGTGAGCATTAGATTTGAGTAAAGACAGTACATGAATACGGATTTTTGTATTTCACCAGCAGAAATAAACACCTGACTACACCATTTAATCTTCAAAACGGTTGCACACAGGACATATTAGGAGCAGGCCTGCCTTAGGTGCCATTTTCAGTTGTGATTAGAGAACCAGAGTGGCCCAGGAGAAGCAGGCCCTCCAATACAACAGAACTACTTTGTTTAAAGACAAAGGAGCTGGTGCGAACCACCGCAACAGCAGCACAGCTGCTATTCTAACAACCTAGTCACAACATGCCATTTTAGAATGAACACTGGACGCCTCAGGAGCCTGGTGTTTTCGTGCTCTGAAGAGGTGACTACATAATATATAGGTCTACCTTTATAGTGCTGTACATAGGTTGCACATACAGTAGTAGCTTCAAGGCGAGACATGAATGTGCACAGAACAGTCCAGAAAGTACATACTTCAAATCATAGACTGCCTTCTGTTTATCATGCGCACGTGACAATCACAAACCATACTAGGGGTGTTGTATTAATCTCACACATACCTTGTTTATTTTATCTGCTGCACACACTAAATACACGCAGTCCGCAGCATTTCTTTTCCCAGAGCCAAGCTTTTCTACTACTGTGAGGAACCATTTTGGCTGCTCATACCGGCAGCCATATGCAGGCCTCACACTCTCCTTTGGACAAAACACCTGTGGAGAGGGGCTCAGGAACCAACTTGAAGCAGGAACAAAAATTTCTAGTCCTTGACTACTTAGGGGTGTATAGTGGCAGATTAATAGATAGAAACCGGTGAGACTTCTCAACTTGAGGGCTGCTCCTTCTGCGACATAAACCCCTTCTGATCCCAGCAGTCCTTTGTGTTGTTAAAAAATATTACTCTGGAGTTAAGCTTTCGAATATAATCAAGGTGCTAATAGTTCTCTTCCTTTTAAGGAATGTAGCCTATGGCTGTAAGAAGTCTGTGTTTCTAGATCACAAAGCAATTGACAAAAAAAAATTACCTGCTATCTGTGCCAGAATTTTTTTTTTTTGGGGGGGGGGGGGAAATCAGGCTTTTGTTTGGGGGTACATATATATAGTTCACATGCAAGCACCAAAATGTAATAAGTACAACAGGAGCTACAGTCTTGCTTTCTCCATCAAGGAGTCAGTATCGATTATATTTGAAGGACCCAATCTGGCCTAATATATGCTACTGGCACCCCAGCCCAGCATTCAGTTTCCATGCAAGATGTCCTGCTCAGGCCTACATGCCTAAAGTCTTAGGTGTGTATGCCACCTATGGTTAGGCTGTCCTCACGTAGGTAGCAGGAGTCGGCTGGTGCCTTGACTCCATTCATAGGGTTAGACTGAACTGTACTTGAAAAGTCCAAACCCAGATCCAGAATCTGCCCAAATATCTGGATTAAAGAGGAGCCTGTTAGGTGTATTGTATCACACACCATGCAGCGCAGTTGAAATCTTTTCATTATAGCTAATGAAAGTTGTCCTGTCAGACAGGAATGAAAATACAGAATGGCCCATTGGCAGCTTCATGGAGCTATGCTATGTATTTAAATGTGCCAAACAATCCCATAGTTGTAGGCCATGCAAACTGAACCTAAACTGGAACTGTTAGTTCGGCAGTGGCCTGGCTTTGCACACAGGAGTCTGCAGCCAAACAGCTGAATGGTGACACAGAGAGAGCGTGATTTGAGGAGGAAAAGGTTGGCTGTGGGGCTCAACCCCCACCCGCTGCTTCTCTTCTGCAGCATCCTCTCTCAGTTGGTTTTCTCTTATCTGCAAACAATGTGTTGCAGAAAACACATCTGGGTGAAGCAGCTGGGGAATAAAGTAACATACCTCCCCTACTTCTCCCCGTAAAACCACATTCTCTCTGAACACCGCTTCGGATATGAAATATTAATCCAGGTTCCTATGCCTATCTGTTAAGAATATAGAGTTCTGCCTTATGTGTCAGAATATTGATCCATCTAGCTCAATATTGTCTACACTGACTGGCAGTGGTTCTCTAGGGTTTCCGGCCAGGAATCTTTCCTAGCCATACCTGGGGATTGAACATGCAACCTTCTGCATGCAATGCATGTATTCTACCACTAAGCCTCTGCCACATCCCCCTTGGAGTTGAGTCCAACAACATCCGTAGGATCACAAGTTCTCTATCCTTGTGTTGCTGAATTTTGATTTTATGTCTCCCTACTTGTAAGCCATATTGAACTCAGTGGGACTTAACAATAAACATGCATAGGATTGTGCTATTTGTCTGCTTTTATATATGCTATAGCACAGTCCTTGATTACCTGATTTCTCAGTTTTGTTCGCAACCTTTCCTTGAAAGAGTTTTGAAACAACTGTTCATAAACATTTTGTGTGTGGCTCTGGTCCTCTTTTATAGCATGCCAACCAAATCCTGTAAGAAATATAGAATTACTAAATTTCCTAGTGTGTAAAGTACATTTATCTTCACAGTATGTCTGGAAGCAGAGAGACATTTTCATCTCTGTTTTATGGGAGGGGGGATGGCAGTACAGAATAATGACAAAAATGGTGACTGCAAAGTTTATTACATAGGCTCAGGAATGCTAGCTATTGAAATAAAGTGTGTATTTCAGGGTGACGGAGAACATTCTTTCATTTTACTGAAAGATGAGCTTCTTGCCTACTGCAGATAGGGAAGGAAGCACATGATCGAGCTGTTAGTGTGCACACACTTTCTGCTGATCCTATTCTACAAATTGCTTACTACTTTACTCTACCCTCTTGCAACCCTAACTGGCTTTTGAAGTCTATTCCACCTTAAATGCTAGGTTCCCTCCCAGCTGAATGCCTTAAATAGTGTCAGAGAGGGAATTTGGATAGGTATACAGCTTTTTCACTTTTGCATAATGCGTTATACCTGCAAAAATCCCCTCTTCTACCCATTAAAGGTACAGAAGCAGATGGTCTTTTCATCTGGTCACTTAACCTTGCAGGAACCTTGCAGTAAAGTTGCAGGAATGTAAATACCTAAACAAGGCTTCAACAGATTTCCACTAAGATAAATCTCCTGCAGAATCCATCTACAGGATTTTGCCACAGTGTAGGATTCACCTGTCTGCTCTACAGTGTTGCTCTGGAGATCATTTGCTCATTTGCTTCTTCTGTCACATTGTTTTCCAACAACTACTGTTGATAATTTAGAGGTCTCTCTGCAAGGTTCTCATAACTAATAATAATAATAGTAGTAGTAGTAATAATAATATTCTGCCCTGAGTGCTTAGAATCATGGAGTTGGAAGAGACCCTGAGGGTCATCTAATCCAACCCACTGCAATGCAGGAGTCTCAACATGTTGTCTTGGGATAATGCAGCAAGTGTTAAATAAATAAATAAATAAATAAATAAATAAATAAATAAATAACAGCTTCCCACCTGTCTTTTATCTTCCTTGCCCCTGCTTGTTCACAGTTGGCTTGTTTTCCAGATTAGGGTTGTCTCCTGTCCCCAGGGAAAATTGCTTCTGCACAAATATATGGATAGCTACACCCCAGTTGTATTGACAGTTCAGTATCGACAGTTCAGTGAAAAGTCAAGCAAATGCACACACACTCTCACATGGATTTTGCATTAGCTTTGTTCACACACAACCATATGTTGGACATAGAGGTAAATTGCTACAGAAGATCTTGCCAGCAGCTGAACAGATGAATTCCACATGCATCTCCAATGAGTATGACTAATTTGAGAGCTCTGCCATGACAGTGTGTGGCCCTCTTTATCCTCCAACCTGACCTGGACCTGCGTCCCATTCCCCATACCTCCATGGTATATAACAAACCAGTCGGCTGAAAAGTATGGCTACTGTGTCTGATCTGATTGCTCCAGCTTCTCCCAACCAGCCTCAGGGAGTCAAGTAGCAAGTCAAGTGACCGAGAGAGAGTAGTAAGAAAACAAATCGAGAAATGGGACAAAGAAAAGGAAAGCAACAGAGGAAAAGAGGGAGCGGGGAAGAGAGAGAAAGAGAGAAAAAGAGAGAATTTCATGCAATGGGCTAGGCCTCTACAACCACTTGTTGTTTACCTGGGCCCAACGGGGTCTCTCTGGACTCTGTCACATAAAAAATAGAAACTCTGCTGGCACCTAGCTGGAGAAACATAGAAGTCAAACAAACTGACAGCCACACGCAGAGGGGTTGGTTGGGAAGCCAGGACAGTTGGGGGGTTGGGGGTACCATGCCAGTGACTATTTACAAAGAGAAATACAACAAAGAGAGGTACAGCCCTGCCCTTGCCCTTGCCCTGCTCCCCTCTGACTCAGCCAGTCTCCTCATTCCAGGACTCTGGGGTGGCACTGGGGGCAGCAGTTTCTCCCCCGTTACACGTGGTTGGGGCTGCCGGTGTTGTCGCCGGAGTTTCTGCCGTAGTTGCTGGAGCTGTTGATGTCGTTTCTTCTGGGCTCGCTGCTGCTCCTGCAGCAGCAGCAGCTGGCGCTGCCATTGTAGTTGCTGGGGCTGCTTCGGCTGTTGTGGTTGAAGCCGTGCTGTCTGCCTCCGCTTTTGCCTGTGGGGCGCTGGTGGTCTCTGTTGGGGAAGCACTGTCTGTCGTGGCAGCGGCAGGAGTTGCTGGTTTCGCTGCATCCGTGTGCTCCGGCGCTCGGAGTCTCTTCATCATTGTGGTCACTCGAACGGCTTTCTGCAGGTTGGCGAGAGAAAGGGGGTTGTTCGTTGGTAACGATTCATGGCCTCTCACAGTTTTATTGCGGGGAGAAAGAATAGGAGCAACACCTCCATCCTGCTTCCTTTGCACCCCACCCTCTATAATTTGATGGCACTAATTCCAAATCTTATGAAACCCTTGGCTTGTGTGTGTCTGTACACACACACACACAAAATTATATATAATTATAGCATGTTCACACTGGAGAATCTCAGCTTTATTTATAAGTGTGCTTTCAGTTCTTGTGACTGCAGACAAAACTTGAGAAGAGACACTGTCTATAACGGCAGCTCAAGACTAAAGCATGAGAAAGCAAGCAGCTAGGCCCCAAAATGTACTGTGAGCTTTATTTCATTTCATGATGACTGATCCAATTGTATGACTTCTTGACCATATTACTGAAGGCTAGCAGTATTCAGAAATGGAAGTTAACCAATTTACTCTTTTTCTTTTTAGTCCACAAAATCTTCTGAATTATAGAAAAACTAGAGGTGGTCCCTGAATGCTACTCCTCCCCTGCCTCAAATAAAAAAAAATGTTGGGGCAGGGGATAACATCCAATTTACATTTTAGCGATGGCAATGTTTTCTGTGGGAATGTCCCTGAGAAAGGTCAAGTCTTTCTGAGTATACCAGTTGTATACTTCCCAAAAGCCCGTGTATGTTGCCTCCTGCTTCCCTGCCCAATTTTTTTTTAAAAAAGTACATTTGGGCAGGAGAAGGCAGAGGTGGTGGTGGGTGGTCTAGTCCTCAGTGAAGCATCCTTTCTCACTGAGAAGTAAAAATTCCAGAATATCCAGTGGGAAACTGACTCTTCATGTGCCATTACCATCAAGGAAGAAGAACCCAAGTGGGATACACAACTTTCCTCATCCAAATCGCTAAAGTTTCTTTTTAAAGATAGATAGAACATTGTACCATATATATAAAAGTCATAAGCCATAGAGTTAATAAATATTATTAATAGAGGAGTTAAAGGCAAAATTTCACGGAAGATTAAGATGTCAAAGAATAAAAAGGTTTATAAAAAATAATTAAGGTACAGATGAATATTACATGAAAATTAATAATGTAAAATGCAATTAATACAAAGTACTTATAAAGTATTAAAGTTATTCAAAATATTAACATCTTATCAGTATTTGAGATAATATAGATTCTTCAGGTTCTACCAATATATTCTTCAGCACAACACAAACATATTACTCGCAAAAGTCTATACAATATTCATGAAATCAAAGTCTCCTGATCAATATTTTGGTAGTAAGGCCTCTTCCAATAGTTAGTTAATAGATTACAACTTTGGCAGAAATTATTAATTGCTTCCTGCCATTCCTTAAGTCTAACAAAGTGTCAGTTTAACTGAGGGTAAAATTAGACAAGGTCCATTCATGTAATTAGCATTCACCCCAATGGGTGCATCCCACTTTCCATGCAAATTGCAGCTGCATCCTGACTGGGACTGCAACAGGGGGCGAAAAGTTATGATGTGGATGGGGCCCATGCCTGCAATTTATTGTTGAAAAGCCATTCAGTTACTAATTGTGTGACGGGTGTGTTCAAGGCCACTTAGCAAACTTCATGGCTGAAAGGGGATTTGAGTCTGGGTTTTCCCTTTTGAAATCGTTCTAGCCATCCTCAACACTCTAGTTGCTCTACCACTACTATAAATGTAGTGAGGAATAGACAATGGCATTTCTGTTTCCTACCAAACTGCAGTGAGGCTAGCCTTAATTCTTTGCATATTTGTGCGGCCTTATGCAAATAAAACCAATGCCCATAAGGGTTGACAAAGTAGGGGAGATTTGGAGACAGACTGGGAAAGTCCGGGATGTGTCCCCTCTCTTGAGGCGATCTCAAACTTCCTCAAGTGCAAAAGAGGATTCTTGCTGGCAGCACCAAGTACGTGGGACCTTACCTTCCATTTTGCCCTGGCAAAGTTTTTCTCAATCTGAGCACATACTCCATCCTTTATGTTCTTGTCCGAAGCTGCATTGCCAGAAATCCTGAGAACAGAAAAAATATGACAATGAGTTGTGTCTCTTGGCAATTACCCTTCCTTAGCCTAACTTCCTTCCTTAGCTTTGCTCACGGGCCTGTACTGTTGGGGCATAAATGGGAAGGCAGCTTTCTACGCCAGCAATTACCATGAATGCCCTGGCCTCTGCTCAAACCAATCTAGATTTTCAGTGCTTATAACATCTGAAACACCTTGTTTCTTCTCCCTTCACCAGCTTCTGCTTATTTTATTCAATAGCAGAAGCTGGCCAACATGGTGCCCTCTAGATGATGTGCTTGGACTAATATCCCCACTGCCCCTGACCATTGGCTGTGGTGGCTGGAACCAGTAGGAGTTGTACTCCAAAGACCTGGAGGTTGGCTACCCCTACTTAGGATTTTCAGTGTCTTTTCTAGGGCATGAAGACAATTTAAGAGTATAAAGACCTTACACACCTTACCTCTCTGCATTTCCTCACATTCTCCTTGGTCCTAAGTCCTTCTTTTGATAGGAAACCCTTATTTTACCAGGAACAGCTATTTGGCACTCACCATTCATGAGAAATAGCCTCCTCTGCTGTAATCCTCTGGTCTTGGTCTACCTCCATTAGACGGGCCACCAAGTCCTTGGCTGGAGAAACAAAGAAGAAAAGGATGTAGTGTCTCCTCTCACTACCATTCATCAGATGAAACTGGAAGTCTCCTGTGATTTTTCTTGCCTAATACCTAATTCGGTTCTTTACGAGGGAGGTACTAGGGGCACAGCGGGACGCGGGTGGCACTGTGGGTTAAACCACAGAGCCTTAGGACTTGCCAATCAGAAGGTCGGTGGTTCAAATCCCCGCAACGGGGTGAGCTCCCGTTGCTCGGTCCCTGCTCCTGCCAACCTAGCAGTTCGAAAGCACATCAAAGTGCAAGTAGATAAATAGGTACCGCTCTGGCGGGAAGGTAAACGGCGTTTCCGTGCGCTGCTCTGGTTTGTCAGATGCGGCTTAGTCATGCTGGCCACATGACCCAGAAGCTGTACACTGGCTCCCTTGGCCAGTAAAGCAAGATGAGCGCCGCAACCCCAGAGTCGGCCACGACTGGACCTAATGGTCAGGGGTCCTTTACTAGGGGCACATATCAGCCAAGGAAGAGATCACAGTTACCTCCCCTAGAATAGCACTGACATTTATTGAGACGTACATGACTGGGAGAATCAGGTAGGAGTTTATTGTTGCAGGGCATCTGCTAGGTGGGAATGCTGTCGATTGGATAAAAGAACCGTTGAGACTGTATTTCCCTTCATGGTTTGTGGGTGTACCTCCTACAAGTAACAGCATGCGTTTTCCTTCTCTCCAGTATTCATAGAACCTTACCTGCCTGAGAGATGTCATCCCAGTAGGGAGGATCAAACTCATAGTCGCCTGCCAGGATCTTACGGAACAGGTTCTTATCATGGTTTTCATAATCATCCTCATCCATTTCCTCATAGAATGGTGGGTTTCCTGACAACCTGTAGCACAGCGGTAGGAGGAGAAATTAGCTATAGGAAGGAGATCAGCTGCAAGAGATTTATTTATTGAAAAGGTTTATAAGCTGCCTTTTAGGGCAACAAGGTGTCTTCCTATAAAACTGAATAACAACAGACATATTGCTAAAAACGAAACGAAAACATTATACGATACCAAAAATAAAAACCATAAAATCACCATAATAAAGACCACATAAAACAAGCTAAGCCTTTTTGTCGTTGGCATCTGTCAGCCTTCAGAGACATTGGAGTGCGTCTGCAGGGATGAAATCAAACTGCTGCCTTAAAAACCTTATAAAGACTGCAGGACACTGCAACATATTTTATGAAAAAGTCATCTGAAATAGATGAATTTTTAATGTCTGCTTAAAGCCTGCAAATGCACCCCTCAACTTAAAACTCATGGGGCTACTACCAAAAAGGCCCTGTCATGCCTGCAAATCTAACTGATCGCACTGACAGTCATATGAAATGATAGGTGTACAGTTTTGCCACTGAGTGAAGCCTCTGACCATATACAATCTTTTGCCCTTTTGCCGTTGCAAGAGCTGAGAATGGTTCTTCTCCTGTAGATAGCTTTTAGTTCCTTCTCTTTAGCCACCAGCCTCCTCATATCCTGTTTTCTAACCCTCCTCCATCTCCCCCCCCCCGGTCACCAGTAAGATAGGCTGAGGACTCCAGTATTCTTCATTGCTCCTTACTTACAGAATATACATGATCACACCAATAGCCCAGCAGTCCACAGGCCGTCCATACCGCTGGCGCCCGACCACCTCAGGAGCTGCAAGGACAAGAACAGATGGCAAGTGCTGCTCCCATGAACATATAGGGCAATGAAACACAACTCCAGGACATAGGATTTCATAAACTTTGCCTTGATCGGAGTGGAAATCAACACTGATAAAATATGACCTGGTGCAGTCATCTTTGGGACTATACTACTTCTGAAAGCAGCTGCAAGGACTGTGTATGTGAACCTATAACACTTCCCTGCAAACAGAACTAGTGCGCCCTGACAGACAACGTCCCATGTGCTGCAGGTTTAGAGAGGTAGAACTGGGTTGTTGTTCTTTTAATAAGAGATGAAACTGTCCCCAAAGATCTCAACATTTCAGGAGCATTTAACACCCATGTTATGAGTGAGCCACCCTGGAAACACCCCTCACATCTTCCAGGGAGCCACATTCACTCCCCTCTCGCTTGGGGAATTGCACTACATGTCTCATCAGACAGCAGTTATGGCTTTGAATGAATGAGTGTCTCTTGTGTGAGAATTGTGGAGAGCAGGAATGTTATTTTCGATGGAATATGAAATTAGCTGTGGCTGGTTCTGCCTTTTCCATCATGAAACCTTACAAGCTAATCTCAAAGGCGCGAGTTTCCTGGAGAAATCAGCACCTACTGCATTTCATCTGCATTGGCGTCTGAGATGGCAAGTCCCTGGTGGATTTTATACTATATGGGTATAATTCCCCCCACCCCCATTGGGTCCTTCCATGAAAACATCATCTGGTTGTGCTGACTGTGCCATCTCTTACCTAGATACTCAGGGGTCCCACAGGGTTCCTTGATGAGCCCATTCTCCAGCTTGGCCAGGTGAAAGTCACTGATCACAATCTTGGAGTTCTTCAGGCGGTTGTAATACACTAGATTCTCTAGCTGCAGGGACACAGCAGGAAAGGGGTGGGGGAAGAGATGAATGAGAAAGGAATTCCCCCGGCAAAACTGCTGAATGGCTCCCTCCAGCCCACAGTGCTGTGCCACACAGAGGGCCCTTCCAGATGAGAGCCATCAAGCACTGATCCTGTATATTTTAAGGCGCCTAGTTAAAAGCCTTCTTAAACAATCAGCTTTTAGCTTCTTCATTTTGCCTACCATTTGCTATGTTAAGGTTTTTCCCTTGCTGATTGCTTGATTCTATGAATCACTGCTGCTGTTGGAATTTTTTATGACATCTTTTATTTGAATTCTCTTTTAAGGACAGAATACACACACACACACACACACACACACACACACACACACGCGTAAATTATTCTGGGCAAAGCAAGGTATTAGGTATTTAGGATGGGTCTGCTTCTATTTCTGTATATAGAATCATGAATGGGACTTGCCAGTAAGTCACAGAAAACAGTGAGAAAGAACGGAATAGGAAGGGCAGCATTATTATATTTGCTTATGTCTGCTTCTTGGAGGAAGCAAGAGCCCATGAGGATGGGATGGATAATTGGCTCAGACGTTTGTGCAGCAAAGGCTAGCAGCAGGATTGACGGACTTGCCTTGAGGTTCCTATGTACAATCTTGAGTGAATGCAGGTATGCCACAGCCTCCAGCACCTGCCTGATGACATTACTGGTGTCACGCTCAGAGTAGTAACCCTGGTCCAAGATCCAATCAAATACCTCTCGGCCAGTAGCCCTGCAGATGAGAGAAGAGAGACAAAGTGGCAAGGGAAGTCGTGAAATTGTGTAACCTGCAAGGCAAGGGTTGCCACACCATGGACAGAGAAGCACGTTCACCACAATTTTGCTAAACCATGACTGAATTTTTTTACACATCACTTGGGAAGACAGGCGAACTAATGCCAGTGTACTGGAAGAAGCAAAGATCACCAGTGTTGAAGCAATGATTCCTCAACATCAACATCGTTGGACTGGTCATGTTGTTTGGATGCCTGATTATCGTCTTCCAAAGCAACTACTCTTTTCTGAACTTAAAAATGGGAAGCATAATGCTGGTGGTCAACAAAAGAGGTTCAAATACTCTCTCAAGGTAAATCTAAAAAAATGTAGTATAAACACAGACAACTGGGAAACACTGGCCTATGAGTGCTCCAGTTGGAGAACAGCCTTTACCAAAGGTGTCATAGGCTTTGAAGATGCTCAAACTCAGGACGCAAGGGAGAAATGTGCTAAGAGGAAGGCACGCTTGGCAAACCCTCACCACAATCAACTCCTGCCTAAAAACCTATGTCCCCACTGTGGAAGGACGTGTGGATCCAGAATTGGCCTCCACAGTCACTTACGGACTCACTATTAAAATTGTTTTTATGGAAGACAGTCTTAGTCAGCTACGAGTGATTGCCAAAGAAGAAGAAGAAAGAAGCTAAACCATGACGAGTATAAAATGGAGCTGAAGAAGATCCACTCTACTTCCCCGTGGGGAGGAGTTGCGGTGGACCCCGTGGCTGCCCACTCTCCTCCAGGGGTGGGGGACTTAGTCCCCCGTTGCCTGGGGGATCCCGACCAGCCAATCCGCTGGCCGGGGGGGGGCATGGCCGGGACTATTTAAACAGAGGCACCAGCCGGAGAGCTTCCTCTTTAGCTCGCTTCCTCAATCAAATTGGCACTGGCCATTTGGTTTTCGCCTACCTCGTAGCAATCATAACAACTTTGTTAGGGTTGCGGTTAGGCATTGTTTGACCTTGTGATGGGGGAGGTGAGGTGTGGCCATCACCTGCCCCTCCAAGCTTAAGAGTATTCCATTAAAGGAATCCGGGGGTGTTGATCTTGTCTGAAGCCCGGGGTGGGGCTAGGGCCATGACACGACCCCGACGGGAAAACCAGAGGGAGATCAAGTTGGTATGCATCGACGGGGCTCCCCCTTCTGGTGGTTTACCCTTATCGGACTCCCTGCGCATCGGGCAGGAGTCAGGTCCATTCAATGCCTTAGCCAATACTGCTCACATTCTGTTATCAATAAAGTTGTGGCCAAAATTTGCCCAATAACATTAATCTAATATCTGTGTCCTTTTGTGTGTTATTTCTCAACGAGGGGGTGGCTTCGTGGTCTCGACACGCAACTGCCTTTACTGGGGGTCAGGCCACTGATCCATCTAGGCCAGTATTGTCGACACTGAGTGGCAGCAGCTCTCTAGGGTTTCAGAGGGCGGCCTTTCCTAGCCTTACCTAGAGATGCCGGGGATTGGACCTGGGACCTTCTACATGCAAAGCAGATGTTTTACAACTGTTTCCTCAAATGAACAGAAATTCATGAATGGTGTGGAGAACAAGTGAAGAGTAAATTCATGCCCTCCATCTTTCACTTTATGGATGGTCTCCTGAAGAAGCTTCTAATCACTCTTTGGGAAGGCACCCTGTGAAGTGCCGACAAGACGGTTTGCAGCTGAGCAGGCACAGTAGAGCAGTCCAAGGCCCCAACAGAGCAAAAGGGAGAGGCCACTATGGATGCAACATCTTGGGAGTTCTGGGTAACAACTACTTACAGCTCCAAGAAGAGGAAGTACTCTTTCCGGGTAACATACACATCCACCAACTGCAGAATATTGGGGTGTTTCACCCTGTAGGGAAAGGAAAGGAAGAGAAAAGCTAGGGGTTGGAAGAGACCTGCTGGCGTATGGCATAGATCCTGTCACCAAAGTATTTCTTGCAGGTACCTGCTCAACTTTTACTTGAAAACTTCCAAGGGGAATGCTGTCACCTTTATTTGTAACGTATTCCAGTCGTTTGCTGCTTCCATAATTTGGAAGTACATTGCAACCTAAATCTTGTTCCTTATCATTTAAATCTGAGTCCCTGTTCTTCCCTCAGTGGATGTGGTAAATAAGGATTCTTTAATGGATAGATCATGAATAGGAAAACTCCGGCCCTCCAGATGTTTGGGACTACAATTCCCATCATCCCTGACCACTGGTCCTGTTAGCTAGGGATGATGGGAATTGTAGCCCCAAACTTCTGGAGGGCCGGAGTTTGCCTATACCTGGGATAGATTAACAATCTCTTTTTGAGACAGAATGCACCGCATTCCTTCAGCACTGAATTAGCCTTCAAAAGCCTCCATCATTCCTGAAGCTCTCCCCTAAATATTTTTTTCTGTTTGTCAGCATCCTTCATGGATCATCAGTGGCCACAGTACTCCAGATACTTCCCATGGGCACCCATGGTAGTTTCTCACTGAGAGTAGCAGGCAAAGCCCCCCCCCCATTTCTGACTGCAACGACGGCAGGGCCCACTAAAGGCAAGGTTCCTTGGAAGGAAGTATATCCCTCATTCTGATAAAGGTTCCCTATCACTCATACAGAGTGACCTGCAAAGTTTGTCATTTGCAGAGCAGAGCCATTGAAAGCAATAAACTTAAGTTATTGGGCTTCAGTGGGCAAGAGTCACCTAATGAACCCCATTAGCAGAAGCCCTGCACAAGGGCTCTTGCTTGTGCAATGGGACTTGCCCCCATTCCTGGTTCGGTGTGTGTGTGTGTGTGTGTGTGTGTCTGTCAGAAGCCTCAGGACGGTGGGGGGGGGGTCATTCTATCTGGCAAGCTGATATTCCTGCACAGATGGAGCTTTTGTAATAGTGTGATGTTGAATTCCACCCAGTGAGTTTACTCTAACACTGTATATCACCTATAGGTAGGATAAGCTATCTGGCACATGATCTGGGATCAGATGTTCCAGTGTACAATGCCAATAGTTGTTTTTTTTAAAAGAGCTATTAACACTGTGTAAAGATGAGCTTTCAAATAGGAATAGGCGTTCTGCTGTTTGTTGTTTTTGCTGTGAGTTGTGTTGTGCTTCCCTGCCAGTTTTGCTCTTGTCATGGCACTAGTAGAGCTTGTTTGTTTTCTCTGCCCAAACATCTGTCTGGTATTTAATCTTTAAGGTGTTTTTACATATTTTTTTTTACATTTAAGAACCTATTTCAAGAATTGGCTTTGTGTGGCTTTGTGACTCCATTTGAGGACTCTGCTTTGAGGAGGGGAGAGTGAGGAATGTGGCTTTGCGTTTGACGCATGGGCTGGCCAATCAATGCACATCCAGTTCCTCCTGAAAATATTGGCAATGCCTGGGTCAATGTAGGAGCCGTTCTGGAAAATCAGAGAAAGTCCAGATAATTTCTTGCTGTAGTGGATGTGGACACACTATGATTATCTACCACAATTAGTAAAAAGATAGCAACACAGCAGCTGAAAAAAGCAGAGACCAATGTATCAATCAGCGTGGACATTCACAACTCACATTTTCAGGATGATGATCTCATTCTTTGCTGCCTTCCGCACTTTGCGCCCATCTCTTTTCAGAAACTTCTTGCATGTATAGAGCTTCCCTGTTGATTTCTCCTTGGCACGGAATATCTCACAGAACTCCTCTCTGGTGAAAGAACACCCACCTTCAGATTTAAGCAGTCCATGCCCAGCAGCTGGAGCAGCCCAAGAGGGACCACGTATACCTTAACTTCATGAGTCACCCACCCTCTCAAGAGTGATATATACATCTATTTACCATATTGTCTAACAGATGCATGCCAAATTCAAGCACTCTATCCCAGGTCCCACCAAAATGTGATTGGTCTTGGAGAAGTCCAGGCATGGGGTAGGGGTAGGATGAAAGCTAAGGAGCAGCAACCTTCCTATAAGCCTGTGCTAACATAAGAAATTGTGAGCTTGGCCAAATGGTTCACACTACTTCCTTTCATGTTCAGTGGAGGAATATAGGAAGCTGCCTTTTACTGAGTCAGACCCATTGGCCCATGGAGCTCTGTATTGTCTATGCTAACTGGCAGCTGCTCTCCAGGGTTTCCTCCCAGTACAACCAGGAGACACCAGGGGTTGAACCCGGGACCTTCTGCATGCAAAGCAGTTGCTCTGTCACTGAGCTACAGCCCTTTTCATCCATGGCTGGTGTGAGGCCGCTAGAGTCTCTTGATGCACCAGGACCAGGTCTTCTCAGAATTGGGTTGTTTGGCAATGCAGCCCAAAGACGGTGCAAAGGCTAAATACTGGCACTAGACCTAAAATCAACAAGTACCTGGGGGGAAGCTGAAAAGAACCTTGACGAGAGAGTGCAAGCAAAGCCTTTTAGTACCCAAATATGTTGGCCCTGGATAATATCTTCTGAAAAAAGTATGTGAGCTGCAAGCCAGGAAATCCCTAGTTCAAGTCTCAACTTAAACTCACCATGATGCTAGTAGCCTCATGTTTATAATGCGTGCACATATAAAGGAGCAGGATTCAATCAACAAGCTCTGCCCCTACCATATGTACATACATTTGCCCACATGTGTATAAATTTATAAACTGTACATGTAGAGATTTGTATAAGTGGCAGGGGATAAACACAGTCTCAACTTCTGTGTATGCGTCTGCATCCATAGGTACTTCAAAAATGTACAAAAATATGTGCCTAGAGCTTGCCACTATGATTCCACTCCCTCCTAAACACATTTGTTGTATGCATGTGGGATTGTGTGAGCAGCCTGTATGCCATTTTGGGCAAGGCACTGCCTTTTCAACATGAGTCCTCACCTCCTGGTCTGCAATGGGTGGTTATTGGCTTAATCCACAAAGCCTAACCAGCAGAACTATGTGCTGTCTAAGTACGGAAAATTACTATTACTGTGTGCACTAAGTGACCCATTACAGGAGATATGGGTGGCCACTGAAAATAGCCCTCTCTCCCCATATTGTTTAGCTGCACTTAATGTGTAGTGCAAGCTCAAATTGTGTGTTTTCCTATTCCCTGCCAGCAACAAAGATGTGGGGAAGGAGAGAGGGGAGAACGTGATGTGGGGAGCTGCCTTGGTCAGCAATCCTACGTCTGCAATAAGCAGCAGTTTAGATACCTGTTTGTTGAATTCTATTAAGAAAAAAGAACCCCTTCAGTTTCCATGTTCACTTAAGCTCCAAAATGCCAGTGAATTGCTGCTGTTCAGGGCCATGGCCTAAACAGACAAATTATTTAGGCAATATGGATATGGTATTGTATATCTTACATTGTGGTTTCATTCAAGCTTTACCACTCCCGTGGACCTGGATGGCTCTTAGTGACAGAGGGGCAGACCTAAGTCTCAGCTTGTCTGTTGACTGCAGTTGACAAATGGAGTCATTGCAACGGAAACTACCCTTTCACATGACAAGTACCCCACTGGCAACCAATGCCATTTGTATAGGATGCATAGAGTTGGAAGGAGCTTTGAAAGCAAGGAGGAGAAAAGACTTACGTTTTGATGACCTGCCCTAGGTCATATCTGTCAGTCACCTCAGATGGCTGGTTATAATCCTTCTTATCGCCCAGGGTAACGCATCCAAACGGCATTGCCAAGTTTGGTGCTGAAATATAAGAGAATAAAAAGCTTTAGGTCATCACCCTTGGATTCAGGTAGTTTCAGGCATAGTGATCAGGGATATTTGAAGGTCTACCAGCCACTGCACCACAGAGCAGTCGTGCATTTCACTCTCATTATAACCAAGTCGATGGGGAAGCCACAATCAAGGAACTATCACCTACTTAGGTCAGAATAAGGGACTTCAGTCACTCGGGTGCAGTTGCAATATCCACAATGAGCTGCTGTTTGTTCATCCATTTATAGCCAGTCATTTCAAACACTTTTTCTGGCTGTGTTAGAGCCAGACTTGATATGGCATTGGAGTTCTGTGAATGGGATATCCTGTTTGTTTGTTTTTTAGTTGAAAGCAGTGGTGGGAGGTCCCTCTTTGGAACACGGCCGCGATGCGGAAGGATTTTCACCTTTTCACCTGCATCATCTTTTCTGCCAATTAAAATCCGGCCATCTTGTCCTCCACTTATTTTGTGTGTGGCTGCCCCAACCGATTAGTGAAACACTAAAACGATGCCCCTTTAAATGTATTGTGGAAGGGCAGATTATTGCTCTGTTTCTGTTCTTATTTTTATTATGTATTTTGTGTTCTTATATTGTAATTGTATGATGTAAACTGCCCTGAGATCTACGGGTATAGGGCACTATGCAAATCTAATAAAAATAAAAGAATTACTATTATTATTCTAATTATTACTGGCTCCATATATGCCAAAGTTTATGTAATGATATGCAATTGAGCTAGATATGCATATAGAGCTAAGGAAAATATATGGCTTTTTCTCACAGGAGTAATAATAATTGTACACCACCCATCTGACTGGGTTGCCCCCCAGCCACTCTGGGTGGCTTCAAGCATATACAAAAACAATAAAACATTGAACATTAAAAATTTCCTAATACATGGCTGACTTCAGATGTCTTCTAAAGGTTGTAAAGTTTGCAATTATTCTATATATGAGACTCATAAAAACACAATAGCTCATAATAACGCACATAACCCATTTCAAAAGATATTCGACAGGAATGCATTTTAGACTTTTGCAATCCATGCTGCATATTCCATATGCTGACAGTGGAATATGTGTCAGTGACCATCCTGTAGCCCAGTACTGGCAAAAATGCCAGTTCATAAAAATAAATTCTGTAGTTTAAAATGGTACAGAACCTGAACAATTATTACGAAACTAATATCTTGTGGTTATACAGTGTGGAATCCATATAGCAAATATTAATGTGGGTAGTTGCTAAGAGAGTCGTGTTACTATTTTTTTTCCTGATCAGAAACACCTCCTACCTTTAAAAACAAAACACGTCTTTCTGTAATTGGCCAAGAGCCACAAAAATATTCCATGGAGAGAAACCATATGACAGATTCATATGTCTGATGATCCTCTGCATCTATGATAGTTGATCAGCCTAGCAAAATTGGCTCTGCTCCATTAAACAAATGTTAATGGACACATACAGTAGATTCACTTTCTCTATTAGAGGTAGAAAACTAGTCTCATTTCCCCCCCAAAAAACACTACAGAGAAGGATTTAGGAATACTCCAGCATGCAGTTGGTACCTACTCACAGAAAGGCTCACCTTAAATTGAGTATTGCATTGCTTTAGATTTAGTCCCGCTTTTCTCACACATGAGAACTGCCATGGACCCTATCTTCATAATACTGCTCAAAAAGACTTGTGGAAGCTCAGATGAAAGACTGCAGTAGAGGATGAGCAACTACTTTCTGTTTGCCCATAGTCCCTTAGGTCAAACCTAATGGGCTGAATCCATCACACACATGATGGAACCCTGCTGCCACTCGCAGTTACTCAGCATGTGTCTATTTGCCGCAAGTGGTAATGTGCATACAACTTTCCTACATGGAAGTAATATCCATCCACGTGCGGAGCAGCCCCGAATAAAAATGTTTTGCAAGCATCATGCACAAATATATATATGAATGCTGGGTGGGTGGGGGAACAGCTGCTGCCCCTCCCATCTGTGGTGTCATAGGCCTCGTCTTGTGTATGAATCTCGAGATTCTGGAAATACAGCTTGACAAAAAAATGAAGCACAAGATAATATACCCAGGTCAATGCTGGGATTACTCATCAGGCAGCTCCTTGCCTTTGGGTTGTCACACAGTGATAGTGACAGGTGTATCATTAACACATCTCCAGCAAGTGTAATTAGCCAGCAGTGCATTGAACTATAGTGCAATAAGCTCAGAGCAGAAACCCCAGTAATCACGCTCCTATCCATCACAAATCGACAACTGCCATATTCAGTTTCCTTCTTTTTAAAAGAGCTCTCAGTTCCGAAAGTGTACCGAAATCACACGATCCTCACAAAACAAAAGCAAACCTTTCCTCGCCCTCCCAATGGCATAGAAATGCTGAAAAATCCAATTCTTAACATGCTCAGCCAAGCAAAATCAATCAGGCTCCCCACCGTGCTGACAATCTCGATACCACATTCGTACTTGTAACTTTTGGCAGAACTGGTAGAAGAAGAGGGGAAAGGGGATGGGTGGAGGTGCCTGTAATCCAGAGGTTTATCACAACCCCCAGGTTCTCCATCTCAAATAACTGCAGTAGTGACTGACATTCCACAAAGTGATGCTGCTCAAAGCTCAAGGTATCTTTCAGAATGTGTTGCCTTCTGCACCCGGTAAGCTATGAACCGGGGTGGTGCTTTCAGGAGGGAGAGTTTCCAGGTAGGTTTTGAGCCTACCCACAATACCAGAAGCAAACATGTTAAGTATTGGGGAAATGAGGGTCCCAAACCAGGATCAAACTGTGGTGTGGACTCCTGATTTGATTGCAATGTATGGTTTGTGCAAACCATCATTTGCCACATTTGGATGACATGGCAAACTATGGTTTTCTGTCAATAAGAAGCAGAAGCGTATAAACTCTCCACATGCATGAAGGCGGAGGGAGCACATATGACTGAAGGTATCCATGGTTCTTAATGACAAATCATTACTTTGACCTGACTTCTGAATGCAGCCAGGGAGTGGTGGCTGGGCAAGAACACTGACCAATTTCCTCTCCACCAGGCAGTCATGGGGCAACAAGAGGACTTTGTTTACTCTCCATGTTGTCACACAGCCAAATCTGATTGGCTATGTGGTGCTGTGATATCCTCATCTTAACTGCGTGATCCAGGTTGGGCTTACACAAGCACTGAGCAAGCACTAAAATGCATGAAAAAAATGAAGGTGGGTTTTGTTTTGTTTTTGTGCACACTTTCTTTTCCCCAACCCTTAGCATGATACTTTATGGCTTACACACCTCCCCACAAACGACAACTCTGGTGGCGGATACCAAAGCGCTTGCTTTTCATTTTTGATTGGGAGACCCTTACATCGAAAGCAGATGTAACAGTATGACGAAACAGCGCTCTGCTGTTACTGGAAACCTTCCATCAAAATCCTTGAGTTGATGCCTCTCTGTTTTGGTGGAATTTGCACAACTGAAAAACAAAAGGGGGGAAGTCTGTAGCAGGAATCTTCAAACTTGACTATCCCAAGAGCTCATTTCTCCCTGCAATGCAGTGTTTCTTACTCTAAGGTAGGGTGGGGAAGTCTGTGGCCAAACACTGTTGGATTTTGATTTTCACCAGTCCCAGCCAGCCTGAGCAATGTCCAGGGATGATGGAAGCTGTAGCTAGCCTGGCAACATCTGGAAGACAACACCCTGCCCCTGTTCTAAGGAATTCTGTTGCCCTCACCGCCCCTGGAAGCCCATTTTCTGCAGCCTTGTCATCTCCAGCAGCCCTCACTCCTTTGTGACTATGCTTTTGAAGCAGGAAGGGCCCTTGTCACTTTGATAAGCTTCCACTGGGAGCTTGCTGTTGTCCTGTTTCTCTTGCAATGAAAACTGAAGCAATTAGTTAAAGGGGTCCAGGGTGGTGTCGGAGATTGCCACTTCCTTCTCTAAGCTGCCATTCTTTCATTCCACAGCAAGCGGATGGATAGTAGGCTGCAGAAAGCTACGCAGATGGCTCGCGCCTAAAGGCCTGCATGCAGAGGTATTGTGGCACAATGGCAAAGAGAACCGGATGTGAACCAATACGTTCCTACATCAAAACTGAGTCACGAGGTAGACGTCAGAAAGCCACTATCAGCCTCATCAGCCCCTCCCCTGCAATATGGGGACTATGACACTGACCTACCGGTACCTTATGCAAAGTTGATGTGAGAATTACTGAATAAATGCATGTGAAATGCCTTGGACACTTTCATTAACTCCACGTCAATGCCATATTACGCAATACTGGCCCAGTTTTCTACTCACTCTACTGTAGTGAGACTCCATACATGTAAGGTACATAGTTACATGGGACCTATGAACACCTGTTCTAATGTGGAGGCTGAGTAGCTCCCACTGATTGCTACCACCACTGAGTTTGGGCTGTGTATTGGGATTGTGTCTTGCAGTGTCCATTCCACATGAGAAAAGAGGTTAAAAAATAGGTTCTTTAATTTGTACTCTTCTGTGAGGCATAATTGGGCTGCAATCTCAATACTGACCAGCATCCACTCAGTGGGGATAACTTTATGAATTTTATGACCCATCTCATCCAACAGCTCAAAAGGAAGGTGAATTGGAAGAAGGATGGCGACAGCCGGAAGAAAAGTTTACTTATATATTTACCAAACTTACACCCTGCCTTCCTCCAAGGTGTTAAAAGTGCAGAGTGCATGGTTCTCCCTTATTAATTTTATCCTCAGAACAACCCTGTGAGGTTGGTTAGGCTGAGAGTTGGGGTGAAAGTCAGCAGCTGGCCAAGGTCAGCAAGTGAGTTTCATGGCTCAGGGAGGATTTGAATCTGGGTCTCCCTGGTATACGTCCACTACGCCACACTGAGAGCGAGCCCAGCATCTTGCTATGAAAAATACATTGTGGGCTACGTTAGCGATTAACTACTGCTCAGTGTTTCTGCTTGCAGTTATTGTGGCATTTGTACAGCCTCCCCTAAACTTTGGTCCCTAGACATTGTTGGATTACAGCTAAACATGGACTACAGCATGACCTATGATTGGGGATGATGAAAGCTAAAGATCAAAAACATCTGGTGACACAGTTGCGGAAGACTGCTTTAGTATTTGTGCTTCCAGAGCACATCTTTGATTGCTTACTGTTTATTTGATTGCTTGTCTGTTGCTTAATCTTGCTGTGTTTGTTTTATATCCTTAGCTGCCTTGGGGACTCATGGGTGAATATGTGGGACAGAAGCATTTTTAATAACATAAACAACATGAAATAAATAATGCTAAGCATGATAGACTCCTGGACACTGAACTGGGACATGAACCATTACACAAAATGCTTATTTATATAGGTATGATTTGTGCCACAGCTCCAGCTTTGGCTTCTGTTTACAGAGCCTGGAATATATGAAATGGGAATAGACAGAAGCGCTGACATCCCCATCTAGAATTAAGTACTGTGTGGATAGCTCTCTTCAGCTGATTTCTCAATATTCAGCATGAAGGCTACTAGCTGAATGAGCTAACTGCCCCCAGTGAAAAATATTGCAAAACAGATTAAACATTTGCACCAGGTGTTTGAGCTCAGATGGCCCTTGCACTCTTTTGCTTTGTGTTTCTTACTGCCAAGAGAGAAAGATGCATGTGTGACCAGTCAGCCAGGGTTGCTAGCTCCTACTGGCGTGTAAAAGCACACTTTTCAGGGGACAGGAATGGGTAAGAGAATGGATAAACCACACACCAAAAGTTAATATTGTTGGGCATAGGATAGGAAAGGATGTGTACTTGAATCTCCTCCTTGCTTAAGAACTTGTAGCGTTTGTGTTGCATCAGAGGCCCCCACCCCATCCTCTCATCCCAGCCATAGAGGATTTAAAGGTAAGGTAAAGGACCCCTGGATGGTTAAGTCCAGTCAAAGGTGACTGGGGTTGCGTCTCTCATCTCGCTTTCAGGCCGAGGAAGCCGGCACTTGTCCACAGACAGCTTTCCGGGTCATGTGGCCAGCATGACTAAACTGCTTCTGGCACAACGGAACAATGTGATGGAAGCCAGAGCACACGGAAACACCGTTTACCTTCCTGCCACAGCGGTACCTATTTATCTACTTGCACTGGTGTGCTTTCAAATTGCTAGGTTGGCAGGAGCTGGGACAGAGCAATGGGAGCTCACTCTGTCCTGGGGATTCGAACCGTCAACCTTTTGATCGGCAAGCCCAAGAGGCTCAGTGCTTTAGACCACAGAACCACGCGGGTCCCTAGAGGATTTATAGGGACTTGACTCACAGGGTTGTCGAAAGGCTTGTGAACCCTTTTGCACATGCCTGTTATGCATCCCATCATTGTCTGCTGTGGGGCCATTGAGCATGTGAGCCATGGCCTTCTGTGTTGTGGGGCCCAGGCATTGGAACATAGGGGCACAGAAAGCTCCTTACACTGAGTCAGACCCGTGGAGCCATCTAGCTCAGTACTGCCTACACTGACTGGCAGCATCTCTCCAGGGTTTCCGGCAGGTCTCTCCCAGCACTACCTGGGGTTGATTGAACCTGGGGTTTCCTGCATGCAAGGCAGATGTTTTGCTACTGAGCTACACATCTTCCCCAAACTCCCTCCCTTTAGAGCTGTGATTGGCTCCCTCATTCTCCTCCAAAGAAATGGTGAAGATCAGGCTTTTAATAACAAGGGTTTCATTTTGTTATTCTGGTGCCTATGCTATTTTTTTGGTCTTTCAAATACAGTTGGGTTTTTTTTTGTTACTCTTGGATCCCTATGCAGTAGGTATATTTCATACTTTAGGCATACATTTTGTATGCTACTTTGGGGACCTTTTGGTCCAAAGACGGCATGCAGTCAAATTTACCCCACCTTACTTTATCGCCTAAGTAGCAAAGAAACAAAAGCAGCAACAAATGCCAGCAAAGGAGATCGGCACAGCTCACAGTGACTCACGCAAGTCACATTGTGAAATCCATGGTGGTTGCTAACCAGGCAATTATTTGCTGCGACATCAGGCCAAGGTACTGGCTACATGCACTCATGCGTTACTCTCCCTGGACTTTAAAATTTTATTGTTAAGAACAACACACAACTCAATTACTGGAGCCTGCAATTAGGAATATAAGGAGCTGCAGAGACAGACCACAGGTCCATCTCATTCAGTACTGTCTACACAGATGAGAAGCAGATCTCCAGAATTTTATGCAGGATTCTCCTCCATTTCTACCTGAAGATGCTGGGGACTGAACATAGAGGGCTTACTTTTTACCTTTTACTTTCTGCATGAAAAGCAGATGCTCTAGCACTGAGCCTTTCCCTGTGTTGATACTGGGGAGGAGGATACTTAGCCCTTTCCCTGCCTGCTATTTTTTTTTCTCTGTAAAAAACTGTTCCACCCAATTGTTTTTCTACCCACTTTAGAAAACACAGGAAAAACAGCCAGAAAGAGGAGAGATTTTGAGCAGAAGGTTGTCCATTGGAGAACGGGTTAAACGTCCTAACCACTTTGTGCTGGAAGTGGCAGCTTCCAATGGCATTTTGTATTTTCTATTTAAAAAAAACACACAGCAAGAACTAGGGAAAATTACACACAAATGTACTCAATATTTAATTTGGCACCTAGAAGAGTGACTTCAGGCAGAGCCCAGGAGTGGAAAGGACTCTTGGCCACCAGAGGTCGCTGCAATGCAAATTATTGGCCACATTGTATGTATGTGATTCATGTGTGCTTGCCTGGCTAGGGAATAAAGGAGAATTGTTGCCATCTGGGTCCACCTTTGGGGAACTGGAAAACGGTGACAAAAAGGATCGAAACAATCATTTTTAAGTGTAACACTCAAAGAGGCACGTGGCCACTTTTGACTGGAGTGTGGAGGAACAGTGAGAAACAGTGTCTGCATAATAGGAAGCCACATCTCTCCTTAAAGGGGGTGATGATAAGTATTATACCAGATGTAAAAAATACATTAATATACATAGACCAGTATTTGTGAAGTCTGAGAAGCTTTTCAAAAAGGGTAACAGTGGACATAGAAACATTATGCAGGCCACCGCAAGCATATAAAGTTGTATGCGGGGAAATTAGAACCAAAATAATAAAACATTTACAACCCTCGAAGCAACAGTCAAAGAATGCATATTCAGTGCTGGCAATTCTGGGCAGCACACAGCATCCATCCGCAAGAAATATCCCAATGAAATATGGTAAAAAGCCAGCTTTCTGAAAAACCATTGAAGCTCTAGCTCCTCAAATATTTATTTATAAGCTACCTTGCCTTCACACACCGCACACACACACCAGCTAGAGGCAGAATATGAGCGAAGTTTCAGTAGAGTGTTCTGTAAAGACAAAAAATAATAATGAATATTTTCTTCTCTTCAGTAATACGGAATTTTAAACTTCTAGTAATCTTGAGCAGTTTTTCCCAGCTAGCTGCACCCACCAATCCATCTTGACCTCCTGTTTTAACTGGCATGAGGTCACCACAGCCATAGCTAGTGGTTTCTGTAAACTCCAGCTTCAGTCCACAATAATTGGTTTTTGTGTCTATGTCTGGTGTGGTGTGTCATTTCCCTCTGCCCTTTACATAGCTGTGCCACTGGCAAGCCTGAACCTATGGTTGCTAAGCCTTCTTTCTCTACTGGGGAATTATTCTCAACACTGGGCTACATCTAACAGTGTTGTTCTGCGCATGACAGACTTCTGCTTCCACAATGGAACTTCTCTTCCCTTCCCTCTCCTCTGAAAATGTGGGATCCCCATCACTGAAGTTGTTGACATCCCTCCTCTGTGCTGTGATCCAGATATAAACAGGCCCCCACCAGTGGCTGCTTTCTGGCTAAGACAGCTAGAACTGCAGACACGAAACGCTGCCCTATTTGGCCATTAGTGACCTAAAATATATTATAAGACTGGTTTTAACTTTACAAACAGAATCATTGTGTCAGGTAGGACCTCCTAGGTCAGCTCGTCCAAAACCTGCCAGCTGCAGGAGATCCAGAGCAGAGCATCTCCAACCGATAGTTCTTCAGCATCTGCTTAAAAACCCCCAGCAAGAGAGAACCCACCATCATCCCTCCAGGTTTAAAGAGAATGTATTGATAACAAAATCGTGTCATGAAAATGTAGATGTTGTGGCATTCTTTTCTGTATTAGACACTGGCTGAAAGAGATAAACTAGCTGGGGCACAAATGGCCAGTTCTCACTGCAAAGATTTGAGATGTCAGGGTAAGTGTAGTAGTTAAGACTAAGGCCTGAGAGACAAGGGCTCAAATAGCCGTGAAGCTCACTGGGTGACCGTGGGCCAGTCACTGCCTCTCAGTCTAACCTACCTCACAGGGTTGTTGTAGGGATTAAATAGGGATGAAATGAGGATTAAATGAGGGGGAGAACTTTGTACACCGCTTTGAGCTCCATGGAGAAAAGGTGGGATATAAATGCAATAAAATAAATAGAGATTAAGACGGTGCCCCAAAATCTGTGTGATACTTGCTCTTTACAGAACAGTCATTAATGACCTGGAAAACGAACAAGCGAAGTGACTAAATTTCCAAATGATGCTAAATTATTCAACACAGTTAAGTCTAAAGCAGGCTGTGAGGATTTACAGAAGGATCTCACAGTGTTGAGAGAAAGGGCAAGGAAATGGCAGATGAAATTAAACGTTGGTAAATGTAAAGTGACGCATGCTAAGAAGAATTAAAGCTCAATGGTACTTCCACTTTACTGCGTCCAGAATTGGCAACCAGCATTCGAGGAGGAGATCTCGAGACAGCTAGAGATGGGACTATCAAAAAGGCAAACCGTGCTAAAGGGGATTCATATCTTCATATTAGAAAATAATGAAGCATCCGGTCTCAGAAAGGATAAAACTTTGAAAGGCAGCAGCTGAGATGTTATAATACAGGCATAGTAAAATCATGTATGGTTTGAAGAGAGACAATATAGAAAGTGTATAATTTACAAATGAACCACAAACAGAATACAACTCATTCTTGTAACTCATTAGCATTCAGGAAAGCTACGTACAGTGGTACCTCGGATTACAGGCGCTTCAGGGTACAGACGTTTCAGGTTACAGACTCCACTAACCCAGAAATAGTACCCTGGGTTAAGAACTTTGCTTCAGGATGAGAAAAGAAATCACATGGTGGCAGCAAGAGGCCCCATTAGCTAAAGTGGTACCTCAGGTTAAGAACAGTTTCAGGTTAAGAACAGACCTCCAGAACGAATTAAGTTCTTAACCTGAGGTACCACTGTAATGGCTAACAGTATTTAGGTTTCAAAGAGACCTAGCAAAGTTTGTGGAACCCAACAAGGAATGGGATTCTTCGTTGGTGGCTTGTCTCCCAGAAAACAGGATATTGACTATTGCCAGAGATATTCTGCTGGGCTAGAGGAACTACTTATTTTCTATGGGGGTATTTCTACCTCATGAGCCTATTTCAGCTTTATACTGTCATAGCTTTCTGAGAAGTGCAGTTTAGTGAGGGTGCTAAGGTTTCAGACAAAACGAGGGCCTCATTTGGGGCCAATGAGGGGAGTCATGGTTTTAGGGCTGGTTTTAGAGGTCTGGCCCCCCAGCCTAAGGATCCTCCTGCCTACACTTAGGGGAAGCACATTCCAGATGTTGGAGTCACCACAGAGGAGACCTTGTGGCTCTGCCTTTGCAAATCTTTCTACTGTGTAAACTGGGACATGGGACAGTTGCTCTTCTTCAGAGGAATACCTAGGGTCTGTTGCAGTCTTGGCAAGGAGCTGTATTGGCAACCCCCTGTCACTTTACCTCAACAGCCACATTAGAAATTAACGTATTGGCCTGAATATAAACCACACCTTTAAAATTGGAGAGGGGGAAACAAATGTAAGTCGCTCCATTCCTCTTCACTGTTCCTGGCTGCATACCTGGGGGTGTGTGGGAAGCTGTGCTGTGTTGCCGGCGGCCTTTCCCTTTCCTCGCTCTCTCCCTTCCCGGCCTTGGGGGAGAGGACGGAGGACTACGCACAAGGCGGGCACCCCTTTGCTGTGCTCCTGGCGCTGTTTGCCCCATGCTCCTGGCTGCATACCGTAAGGTCGCGGATATAAGCCGCACTTGAACTTTTCACGGTCGGAATTTGGGGAGGGAAGTAAGGCTTATATTCAGGCCAATACATTTTATGGGACCCAAGTACTCAAAGTGTCCATACTGAGGGTGAGGAGAGGAGGAAGGGTGGGGTGGGGGGAAATGCATGCCTTTGTGCCACGTGGTGTGAGAAGGGTGGGAAGCTTCTCCTGCGTTTGATCTCACTTCATGCATGTCGCCACACGGACACACGTCATGCACTCCATAGTCTACAGCAGCCTAGCTTCATACCACCCTTGCCATTTCTCCTACCGCTCAGCTCCCAGCTCTTGTCTAAATTCACAACCTTACACAGATAATTGGAGACAGATTTCTGGGGTGATTTTTGCACCCCAGCCCAGACCTGCGTGCAGTAGAAAAGGAAGGTCGGGGCAGGATGCACAGGGGATCTATGGGGAGCTGTAGGAAGTTTTGGCAATGTTTTCCAAAAAAGATCAACAACTCTGTGGCTGACTCCCGAAAAACAACTTTGGCCAATAACCCCTCTGTGCTTCTTACAGATCTAAGGGAGTGCTCTGGAGGCATGCAGGGCCTAGTGGTCTGCGTGTGTCCTTGAACTTTATAGAAGTCTGTGAGAGTTGTATTGACCACTTAATGTCTACACGGAAGTAACTGCACATGGGAGTCTAGCCTAAATTAGTGTTGCTTAATTCCATAAGTAGAAAACTCATGGACAAACAAACCCAACAGAAACTTTAGCCATGCTCCTTTTGTAGTAGCCTCTTGCCCCAGTTTCCATGTGTTGCAATGAAGGACGTAATATAAAGTTTAAAAAATATTTTTTATTTTGACCGTTTGTATCTGCAAAGACCAGTTCTTATAATCCCCAAACAATTTTTCAGCAGTTCATCATTATTCATTAACTTGGCAGAAGCTGAAATTACGCTAATTTTGGTCTAGTAACAGAACAAAATGGCAAAACATTTTTTTTCTGGTCCATGAGCCCATAAAAATATTATATAAAATGTATCCAGGTGAACCACAATTTCAGCGATCCAAATGGCAGTGGTGTGCATAGCCCAGAGTCTGCTGGACCAAGATTTGGAAATGAACCTAAGAGTCCTGATGAATCAGACTAGAGGCCCATCCAGCACAGAATTGTGTTGTCCACAACCAGATCTCACATGCTACAAGAAGATGCCTGAAGGAAGGCTACAAATAGGGCAGGAAGGTAATCATATCTATCTCCTGTTGTTGCTCCTGCAACATACTTTAGTTTAGAACAAAGGTGAGTAACAGCGCAGGGGGCATGGTAGAAGGGTATAAGATTGCGAATGGGGAAAGCACATAGGGATAAGTTCCCATTTCTCTCTCTCTCTCATAATACTTGAAATTATGACCATCCGATGAAGCTGAACACTGGGAGATTCAGAACATGCAAAAGGAAGTACTTCTTACGTTCATTATAGATTGCTTTAACAATTTCCTTTTTTATGGTCCACCTCCCATCTCTGGGAATCAGGGCTATTATCAGTTTAACTCTTTCCTTGCCGAACCTCATTGTCTTAATAGCTGCCCCGCCCCTCCTTTGCAGTTGGGAAAGAATCATGTTCAGAATTGTAGTGCAGGTGTGTGGGGGATTTAACCCTGTCCGTCCCACATCATGGTTCCAATGAAAACTGTGCCCCTGCCCACAACATTTGGGGTTGCTAATGGCTGCATGACATTATTTGAATTGCGCCCTGAGGCACCTGAGCCACAAAGTTCCAGGAGAACAAGAAGTCACACTGAAACGGAAAATTTGGTTTATGGGTTCAAATAGGCCACAACTTTATTGGTTACAGATGTGAGTGGTTTGGCTTAGGCCAGACTTCCTCAATCTCGGACCTCCAGATGTTTTGAGACTACAATTCCCATTATCCCCGATCACTGGTCCTGCTAGCTAGGGATCATGGGAGTTGTAGGCTAAAACGATCTGGAGGGCCGAGGTTGAGGAAGCCTGGCTTAGACACTGGGGTGAAGCCAGGCTATATCTTGACTCCTGCCCGTTTGCAGGGAGTCCACGGAAGGGTAAATCACCGAAAGGGGGTGCCCTATAACTTACGTCAGAGAGTGGTACCACGAGGGTCCCTGTAGGGGTTGTGGGCCCTAGCCCACGCCCAGGCTTTGGACAGTATTCACACCTTGGATCCCTTTAACACAGCGGTTCTCAACCTGTGGGTCCCCAGGTGTTGTTGGACTACAACTCCCATCACCCCTAGCTAGCAAGGCCACAGCTCAGGGATGATGGGATTTGTAGTCCAACAACAAAGGGGGCCCACAGGTTGAGAACAGCTGCTTTAACAGGATACCCTTACTGAGGAGGGGCAGGCAGTGCAACAACCTCCCCTCCAACCAAACAAAGGCTTACCCAATGCCTTAACCGCACAAAAGTTGTGACGATTGCTACTAGGTAGGCGAAAACCAAATGGACAGTGCCAATTTGCCAAGTGGAAAAAATTCCTACCCGGCCCAACAACCAGGAGACCGACAACTGCTATAGCAAGGTCATATCAGAGCAAAGCATGATAAGAGGGTGGGTGGGTGGGTGGGGTGATCTGATGAAAAGGCAGGAAGAGGGAGTCAGCCAGCCGCGTCAAGTTTAAACGACCCATGGCCACACCCACTCTGCAAGCTGATTGGCTGGGGCTGCCATGCAATGCCAATGACACTGCTGGCTATGACGTAGGGGTGAGGTGGTGTACCTCCTCCCACGCTGGAAGACCTTGAGGCACGGCTGTCTATGCGCAACACTGCCCACTGATATAGAGGTGATAGGACTAATGAAAAGCTGGAAGCACCATTGCTATTCCACCTGCAGTTTAACACAGAACTACAGATATGAAGCCCCCCACCCCCAGAAAAACCCATGGATGTTGAAGGGGAGAAATGGAAAAATCAAAGGTGGAATGGGATGGGTCCCTCATTTTTTAAAAAACCTTTTTTCTAGCCCTTCAAATTTCTATATAGCAATAATAGACTATACTAAGTTATCCATGTCTGGAGGCACCCCAAAACTGGATATCTGGGGGACACTTTGAAAGCGGTAACTTTCCAATGTTTGGCTCCCTCCTAAAGCGTCAGATGGAATTTGCTGGAGAAATTTCACAGAAACATCTCCCTGGATTTATACTCAGATTTCCCCCCCTCTGCAGATCACACCACACACACAGCAAAATGAAGCGAAATTACACAGCCGAGAGTTCAGAATGCACCTTCGCAGTGGATGATGACTTACTCAGATGACATACATTATTCACAGCCTCAGGGTAGATAACAACCATTATTAAACACACAATACTGAGATACAAAGCAGACATAACAATAATATAAAACAATTTTACGACATTAAAGTAATTTTATAGTAAAGACATAGGAGATTTAAATATTTCAGATAGCATGCATTTCTTAAAAAGATATACCAGTAAGCTAAACTCTTGCTTATTCCCAGTCAGTAAATAATTTCTAAATAATTTATCCATGATTTGTATATTGAAGTCACATGGGCAAACACTTGAAAGAAATGTGTGGAGGAAGAGCCACATGGCAAGTCATTTGTTTGAATGTAACTTTTAACTATTCCACTACAAACTACTAAAAAGGAGAGGCTGTGATTGGTTTGGTTAAATGTCCAAAAGGACAAATGCTCCTTCCTGTGATAGTATGCATGTACTTAATGCAAATTTCTTCCTGTCTGGAGATCTACCATGCAGTCTTTCTGCAACCTGTGAAATGGGTATGGCTATGTACATGTGATTGCTTCTGAAGAGTAAAGTGAATTACAACCCCCATAATACTATTGTTAAGAGGTACCAGCCCTGATACAGCATGGTTGCAAGAATTATAGATGAAAGGACATATGAGGGGAAAGTATGTTGATACCTATCCTAAGTCCTCATTACAGTTTCTTCCCCATGTCCCATGGCAGTTAATAAGATGTTGAAATTAACCAGATCAGATCAGAAGCAGCTTCTAGTTTGGTCAATTTCTTTAGTCAAGGAAAAAAGGAATGGACTTGGATGGTAGAACATCGCTGAGAGGAAGCGATTGCACTTGTCCTTTCATGTACTTATGTAGATCTGTGTGCTTTCATCTAGAACCTTTCAAGTTCATTTCAGAAAGTTTTTATTTATTCAAAAATAGTTCTAAAATTCTTGCAGGCATATGACAGAGTGCCTATTTTCACATAATGGCACTACCGGATGAGTTCCTATAACAGTCACACTGATATCTATGCACTTCAGTTGCATCAGAGATGGTTGTTCTCCTGGGAGATAGCTTAGGTTTAAACCACTGAGCATAGGGCTTGCCGATCAGAAGGTCGGCGGCTTGAATCCTCGCGACGGAGTTAACTCCCATTGCTCAGTCCCAGCTCCTGCCAACCTAGCATTTCAAAAGCACCTCAAAGTGCAAGTAGATAAATAGGTACTACTCCGGCGGGAAGGTAAATGGTGTTTCTGTGCACTGCTCTGGTTTCACCAGAAGCGGCTTAGTCATGCTGGCCACATGACCCGGAAAAACTGTCTGCAGAAGCGGACAAACACTGGCTCCCTCGGCCTGTAAAGTGAGATGAGTGCTGCAACCCCAGAGCCATTTACAACTAGACTTAACTGTCAGGGGTCCTTTACCTTTTACCTTAAGTACAACAGAAAATATAATGCAAGATGCTAAAGTTACAAAATATTTATAATAATATCAAGAAAGGTAAAGGCAAAGGTAAAGAATGGCTGGACGATTAAGTCAAGTTGAATTTGACTATGGGGTGCGCCGCTCATCTCCGCTTTCAGGCCAAAGAAGCTGTCGTTTGTCTGCAGACAACTTTCTGGGTCAGGTGGCCAGCATGACTAAACTGCTTCTGGCGCAACGGGACACCAGGACGAGTGCCACAGTGCGCAGAAATGTTGTTTACCTTTCTGCCACAGCGGTATCTCTTTATCTACTTGCGCTGGTATGCTTTTAAACAATAATGTAGTCCATCTACCATTATTCTTGCTGTCCTCAGCAAAGCAGTCTCTGGGACTGCAACCCAAATCCCCCAAAATGCAGTTTTCTCTCTCCCCCACCCAGTATCTACCCAAAGGCAGCCATCCTCAGCCACTAGCTTTTCACATCCTTGATCTCCCAGTCCATGTTTCCTCCTCCTCCTCCTCCTCCTCCTCCTCATTTTTATTATTAGAAGTCCACCAAAGTGTGGGAGTCCATTTCAAGCTCCACCAGCATCTCATGCTCTGGGGTGTATGAAATACCCACATTCAATACTCTGAAGAGCTGTTGATTCTGCACAGTCCACACTTCTAGTTATACACAGAAGGGATGAAATAACGTATCTTTGGGGGCAGTGAATCTGGAAGTTTTGGGTATGTTTCTGGGGTGGCAGCCTAGGCAGATCAACATGTGAAATCCAGTAATTTGCAGTGGTTGGTGTTTGATTTAGATGTATGAAATCCAGATTTGTGAAGGAGATTTCTGAGGAGAAAATAAGATAATAAATAATAAAGTTGCTGGGACCAGGAATCTCTGAATGCATCCACCTGCTATGCTATGATGCAATGCAGTCTTAATCTTAATTCAGCATGCTGCTTGTATGTAGCATGTTCCACTTCAAAAGCCCTTGATATTAATTGAGCATAATGTATAGTTGTAGCGACTAAGTTCATGAAAACACTACGGTAGGCGAGGAAATGTCAAACATGGCGCTAAATGTGTTCAAAATGTACACGATGATCTCCGAGTTTAAATTCTTAAAACACCAGAGTTTTAAAAAGTTTGGTACTAAGCAAAAAAAGCATCGAGCTACATTAAGAAGATCTGAGTTTCCTTTGAGGACTAAGCTGGTCCTGCCTTAAATCAATTTAGATCTCTCCAAGAAGAGAACTGTAAGTATCTCAGATGTAATCCTTACGTCAACTGAGTCAGTTTGCCTAATTCACTGACTGCAGTAGAAGCTGGGAGCCCCAGGGATTTTAAACAGGGTGAGGCAAATATACCAGGGAATCAAACAATTTTGTTACTCAGAAACCGAAACTATTCAAGTCTGCTAACAGAGTTACTGTTTAAGTGAATATGGTACAGATCTGAGCAGCAGTACTGAGGGTCTTGAGTTCAAATCCCACAGAGAGCTCATTAACTCTTTGGGAAATATTTATTTTCCTCATCTTTGGTCTCTTTCTGTGGTTCTCTCCCCCCCCCCGCCCATCCCCACACACTTTCATTTTGTCAAGACTAATGACTCCTCCACTCTGGAGATTTCTTTAATGGAAACAGCTGTAAGCTTCAGCCACAGCAGAGAAACAGGGAGCAAGGGATATGGATGGAGGAATGCTGGCGGAAGATGACAACTGCCAATGGCAGCAAGTAGATATCTGCGAGGAAAGTAATCCACAGAGAGTCCCTGGGAAGCTAAACTGCGGAGAAAGCTCAGAGTGGACAGCTAATCACGCAGATGCTGGAAACACATGCAGGAATAATAGTGACTCACAGGCAAGCTCTGAGAATTAATTGACTAATGTTTGCAGAGCACTTTGAAGATAAAATAAATTTAGTGTATTCTTAACTATTAATATGTCTGGGGTAGAAGAGAAGGAGATTTGGGGGTGCACAGTCCAGGGGATATTTTTTTTCCAACTCCTGTGCAACATAGTGCCATCTTTTGGATTACAGTGGTACCTCAGGTTAAGTACTTAATTCGTTCCGGAGGTCCGTACTTAACCTGAAACTGTTCTTAACCTGAAGCACCACTTTAGCTAATCGGGCCTCCCGCTGCCACCACACGATTTCTATTCTCATCCTGAAGCAAAGTTCTTAACCTGAAGCACTATTTCTAGCAGAGTCTTTAACCTGAAGAGTATGCAACCTGAAGCGTATGTAACCTGAGGTACCACTGTACTGACTTTTCCATTTTGATGTTAAACTAAGCAGGATAGGAATCTCCCATCTGGGTCTGCCTCTCAGAGTACCCTTGAACCACAGGTGGAAAATGCCTTATGAGCAAAGTTGACAAGAAAGTTAGACGAGCCACACAGAACGTGCATTGTATCATCAAGGAATTAAGCACGTAGAAGACCGTCCAAAAAAAATCTGCCCATTTTAGAAATGGGAACATTACACTTAAGCTTCAGAGAGAAAAAGAGGTAAAGAAGAATTTTTTTTAAGCCTTAGAGATAATAACATAATCAGACCCCTCTCTTTCTGAATTCCAGATGGTGAGGGCAAACAACAGGAAAGGAGACCATGTATGCACAAAAAGGTTTCAGGAGCCGCATGCTGCCTTCCTGTGGTATTTTGATCAATTTCCACTGTGATCAGTGAATGTCATTTGTAGAATGGATCAAGGAGTCTTCTTATTGCTAGTCATTATGTAGAAAAAAAGAGATATTTTTGATTACAAGTGGCAGGAAAGAAAGAGAAACAAGACCTTAAACAAAACCAAGAACCAGGCTGCTTTGGTCCTAAAGGATGGGGGCAGGGGAGCTGGTATTGAATAATATTTGATGGGCTTCTATCATATGGCATAGATTTCCACTTCGCAGTTGTTTTACAAAGGAAAATGGGAGGGCAGGCTGCACTGAAAGGGTTCTGCAACCATTCTACTTACTTTGAATGGCACGAGACTCACAATTGGACAAGGGTTGTGGTGCATGCACCACCCGCCATTTTCTTTTTTGCAGCTACTGCTGCTATCACCAAATATCTTCCCTTTTGGAATAAGAAACCTGATCCTATTAGCTTGAAGTAGAATGACAGCTTCATGTTTACACAAGATTTGCCTATATTTTTCTGTGCTCTCTCATATACCTACCCTAGAGGTTATGTAATATGAGACTTCTGGGCTTAAGTAATGTTCTGGCCAATTTCATTGGTCCTGTGTGTCAGTGTCTTGTCTGTTACCTAACATGGAAAAAGTCTCTTTGTCATTTTTTAAAAATTAAGAAAACATCTCTAACAGGACAAACAGAACAGCTATTGTTGATCTGGTTTGACAGACCAGTGGGTGAAAACACCTCTCAGAATATCATTCATCATAACCACAAATTTTCAAGTTCAGTTGGAAGAAAAGTGTGTTGACAGGATTTAAGCTTGTATACAGTGAAATTGTCCTGGGGAGTGTTCTGGCTTGGACCCATCATGTTTCAGACAAGAGCTTAATGTACAATTGATTTGTATATTGTAAATGATGCCGCAGCAGCTGTGACTATACTGTGCTGTATTTTGCACAAAAGAAGAATGATTGGAAAGCAGGGTTAAAGATACTGTTTAATGTATTTGTCATCAAAAGTGACTCATCCAGCAAATATCAAGAGCTAGAGAGCCAGGAACAGTAGCCAGTACAGATTTTCCTCCTAGGCATGTAATACAAAGTGTGTGTGTGTGTTTGTGTGTGTTCCATTACACACACACACACACACACACACACACACCCTTTGTTTCCTCTCCTTTGCAGACAAGCAAGTCTGCTATGTACACGAGAGAGAGAGAGAGAGAGAGAATGAAGCAAATAGATTTTTCTTCTATAAATCACAATCTTGTGCTGGTTTGGTGATAAGGCAAGTCTCAGCAAACTAATTAGGCATATATCATAAGAAACCAATAAAGACATTGTTAATAGCAGGGGTAGCCAACGCGGTGCCTTCCAGATTTTGCTGGGACTCCAATTTCCAGCAGCTAGCATGTCCAATGGTAAAGGTAAAGGGTAAAGGGACCCCTGACCATTAGGTCCAGTTGTGACCGACTCTGGGGTTGCAGCGCTCATCTCGCTTTACTGGCCGAGGGAGCCGGCGTACAGCTTCCGGGTCATGTGGCCAGCATAACTAAGCCACTTCTGGCGAACCAGAGCAGCGCACGGAAATGCCGTTTACCTTCCCACCGGAGTGGTACCTATTTATCTACTTGCACTTTGACGTGCTTTCGAACTGCTAGGTTGGCAGGACCAGGGACCGAGCAACGGGAGCTCACTCCGTCACAGGGATTCAAACCACCGACCTTCTGACCGACAAGTCCTAGGCTCTGTGGTTTAACGCACAGCGCCACCCGCATCCCGTATGTCCAATAGTAAGGAATGATAAAAGTTGCAGTTCAGCAACATCCAGAAGGCACCCCATTGGACAGCCCTGATTTACGAGCTCAGAGTAAAAATCATAATGGTAGTGGAGATAGGATATATGATGATGGACTGTACATCTGTTCTGGTATTTTTCTCAACCAAAGCACAAAGATTTCAGAGTAAAAGTTTAACGTTGCAAGACTCAGATAATCATTCTGGAATATGCGTGGGTGAGGGCTAGGGTTTTTTTATGGGGAGAGCAGTAATGTGGTAGCTTGTTTGGATTTCAGCTTGTCAAGTGTGGCAGCAAAGCTTGTGCTGACATTTGGCAATATTTGTAGTACTGTAAGTTCCCGAAGAACAATTACAAACAGGTTTTCAACCTTTCATTAATTAATGAGTTGGATGTAGTCTATTAGAGAGGTTCTCAGTCGATTAAAGGGCATCCTTCATTAGCCGGGCAACTTTTTTTTAAAAAAAGAAATGTTATAATAATTTAGTACTTTATAAAACAACAGATTGTCTTAAAGGAGGTATTCCCCCTTGACTCTCACGAAGGATGGAATGCCATATTTAAGAAGATTAACTAACAATCTTGAAATATCTGGAGGTCTGTCGCAAAGAAGTTGGAGACTTGCTCTTTGGCTCCAGAGGGCAGGTCAATGGCCAGAAATATCAGGGAAGCAGATTTCAGATAAACATGATTAGGAGGAACCTCCTGATGGTGGGCGGTGGGACATGCTGCCTTCAGAGGTTATGTTTTTCTGGAGATACTGAAGTGGAAGCTGCACAGCCAGCTGGAAGGGATTCTGTGTTTACATCCTTCACTGTGTTGGGGTTTGGACCAGATGACTCCCAAGGTCTTTTCCAACCCTATGATTCTATGGCATATACAATCTAAAAACAAAGAAAGAATGCCTTTTAAAAGACCCACCCACCCAATGTTCATATGCTGAGTACATACACAATTAATTATTTGATTAACAAATAATTTAATTTGATTTAATCAAGTTACACTCCTAATCAAAACTCTGTGCATCATAGTCAACCATAGCATTTTCTGCCACCAATTTAGAGTTATTGTATGCATTTTCATATATGCTGTATTTGTATTCTTATTTCTTAAATAAATACATTGTTTAAGGCAACCCATCTTGCCCTGGATTTGCCTTTCATTAAGCTTTATCTGTTTTGTGCTTGTCCTGCACTATAATATTCCTTAAGATGGGAGCATAATGGAAAAGAACTAAGGGAAGATGTGTATATATGTCAAGAAGCATTGGAAAAGGAAAACACGAGCAATGAAGGATTGATCTGATTATGATATTCCTGATAGTAATAGTAGCAGTTTAGACTTTAGAGCATGCATGAGAAATCTGTGGCCCTTCTGGACTCCATGCATGAGAAATCTGTGGCCCTTCTGGGTTGCCTATCCCTACTTTAAATATATAGTTTGAATCTTATATGGCAAGTAAAACCCCCATATTGCAGTGTCTACCTGAGACTGCCATGAACTCATGGCAGAGGCAAGTTGTGAACTGGAGATTTGTAGTGCAATGTCTCAGCCATTACACTATTAGCTCTCTAGGGCTATTATCTAAAGGGGATTGTGGAAAACACTGTTGGAATTTATTTTCTCTAAAAGCTGCTCTGGCTGCTGCAGAAATATGTATTTTATCCTAACAGAGAAGATGAGTATCTCATAGAGAAGACAAACCCGGTCCCGTGGTGGTGATGTCAAAACATATTAACAATGCTTACCCTCGTGAAGGCAAGCAACGGTGCTGATAATGGGTAATTGTTGGGTTAATGAACGGCAAAATGATCTATATGCATCTTCTCTTTCAATGCAAACATCGAGAGAGCTTGCGTAGACTTCACACAAATTCCCCAGATACAATGCAATATGGTAACCAGGTACTTCTTTCTTGAGGGCTAAATAGGAGTCAGAGTAGTGACAGCTACTGCAGATTATGCACCAATGTAAAATTTAGTGGACTTAGCCTGCAAAGAGCTGGCTTTTTCTTTTTTTTTAAAGAGACCAGAAGGCAGTTTCAAAGAAGTTCATGGTGGTGGGTACATCCTGCCACCTCTAGTAAACAGGATTTATATGTTTTTAAAATATATTCCTCCCCCCCAAACCTGCCTGCACAGAATCGACAGTAAAACAAAATGTGAATACAGTACACCAGAGGAAGCGATTCCTCTCATGCCGCTTTCAGCTCTATCCATATCAATTCCTGTCTCCACCTTTCTTCTTTCATGTTACAAACAGGGAAGGGCTGTAACCCAGCAGAAGAGCATCAGCTTTGGTTGCAGAAGGTCTCTGGTTCAATCTCTGACAACTGCAGCTGGGGATGAGAGAGACTCTGGTCTGAAATCCTAGAGAGGTGCTGGCAGTCATTACAGACCAGGATGGAGAACCCCAGGCCCCAAAGGCAAATGCAGCCCCTCCAGCCCCCCACATGTGGCCCCTGGCCACACCCCAGTGCCAACGTCACATGTCACACCTCCTCTACCCCTCCTTTGTCTCTAGCACTGTCTAGCATGCGATTTTTGGAAGCTCATCTATGAGAGAATATGGCCTTCAGGCTGAAGAAGCTTCCCTACCCCTAGTGTATATAATACTGAGGTGCATGGTTTGGTGGTCTGACACAGTAGAAGGCTGTTTCTTGCGTTCTAAGCCACCCCGCTCCATCTGAGGGCAAGAAATGTGCTGGTTCAGCTAGTCCGGCCCTGAGCTCCTGACAGATGCACAAGCCTTCCTGAAAAGCAGCCCGTTGTTATGCATCCCTCAGGTGTTGTTGCACAACCATCTCGGCATGCATAGCCTACTGTTTCCTTCCCCTTAATGAAATGCTTGGCTAGTTTATGGGGCTAATAAAGAGGCAAGAAAGTTAGAATTAGCTGCTCAGCCTCCCATGCTGACCTGGTGACTGTAGTAAACGGATCTCGCTCTGAGACCTTGCTTCTTCTTATTCTTGCTGAGTGGTTTCTCTCTTTCGCCTCCCAAACACACCATGCAGTGGCAGCAGATTGTGTGCTCCCCTAGTCCATGTCACAGCCGTGGGACACTTCAGACATTAGCCTTGTTCCAGCAATCAATAAAGCTGGAGAATCTCCTGACAGCGCTTGCCTTGCCCCTTGCTCCTTGCCACTTCAGCCCACAAGTGTGTGAGAGAGTGGAAGGTGTGGTTACACATAGTGCTGAATTCTGAGCTGGCGGAGCCACCTTGCACACATTAAAATGTCAGGAAGAAGGCAAGGCTGAGACCTTCATTCCCTGACACACTAGTTTTCTACATGCAAGGTGGTGTGTGTGGGGGGGGGGGGCGTTCTGGGAAGGGGAGAAAGGAGAACATTCTAAACGCAGCCCCTCTCCTACAGCCTGATGTGCTACAATCCCATTTTTAAAACTTACCATGCGGTGCTGCTACAGATACAGAAGACTTCTAAGTATACTTAGGGTTGCTTTTCTACTCTGCTTACCAAGGCTCAGTTAGTTAAGGTAAATGCTCACACACTCTCTTAATTAAGGTGGAATTTTGCTATTTTATTGACCAGCAACTCAGCTACAGACAGATGGTTTGGTGGTGGTGAATATCAATACAGCACTGAAAGAAAAAAAACAGGCCAAGGAAGAGCCTGGATTGAAAGCTCAGAAAGGGCTCTTCCACAATTGTAAGCCATACTGCCTAGGGCTGATAAATTTTGGCTCTATCCCTTGACACAAACAAAAGGATTAAAAGTGGTCTCCTAGCTGGGGTAGATTGTGATTCTTTCACAGCATATTGCAATTGACACTCATTTCTTAAATTCCAGTCTCAGGTGCAGCTAGGATATGGTGAAAAATGGGACGCCCTCTAAGCCATACACAGGTAAAGAACAAGCCTAGTGGGTCACATCCCATTGTGTATAAATCCCTGCAGAACCTGCATCTGAACAGTACTTTCATTAGATTGGATGATGGCATAGAGTCATGTCGTCGGTCTTGAAAAATACTAAAGTTTTCTCACTTCCTCCTTATCATTACTTAGTGAATAACTCTTATCATTTGCTGTACATATATGTTGGTGAATGTTGGCAGGGGACACTCTAACTCAAAATCAAGCCCCATTGTCCCATCCAGACCACCCCCCAATCTGGTCTGTGGGCCTTTGCTTCTATCACAAACTGTCTACAATAGCTTGAAGATGCATTTTCAGTAGCTTTCCCTATAACCACAACCGCTAGAAAATCTGTGAAGGTAGTTTTCATTTTGTGGTGTGCTCCCAACACACAGAATAGATAAAGTCCAGTTCATATGCTTAAGTTTTTGGAAGAGGGTGCACAGTGGCCACAGCAGATACTCATGCTGAAATGATCAGTTCCAGAAATTCTCTATGAAGCAATAAAAACACACCTCTCCTGCCTGACAAGTTCACAGAAGTTCATGCCAGGTGCGTTTTAGATCAGAATTCAAAAGAAAGCACATCAGGTTCTCTAGCTCTCTCTTTCTCTCAGAGAAGTGAGGCTGGGGACTTGCTGCCTGCTGGTTTCTACTGCCAACAAAAAATCATCACCTCTCTTCTACACTGTGGCTGCAATGCCCACCACTAGGATCTGACCTAGAACCTAGTACCGTGGGAAGCTCTGAAGTCCAAAAGGAGGTGTGAAGTATCTTGGGCTGTGTGCCAAGAATACTAGAGGTCACAACGGGTAAACCGTCTTGCTGATTCATTCGCGTCATGTGTCCAGTTGACAACGCCGCACAGGCAAAAAGTGCTAGCGCACCATATCACATTGCAAAGAAGACAGCCAGCTTTAAAGCAGGACTGCAGGACAGTGACAGCTGAGTCAGGAAAGCCTGCAAGTGCCATCATGGAACAGCAACGTAGCTGGGGAACAAGCAGGGGCAAGGCTTAGACACTGAGCCTCAAGAGAAAACAGGGAGATGTAGGAAGGGCAAAAGGGCATCAGGAGAACTATGCGAACAGCGTGGGATGGATCTGGGTAGCAGCTGACCTTTCACTGTGGGGAACAGCCATTGCTTCTTGCTTCCAGAATCCTCATACTTGTAGAACTTAGCAGATACTTAGTCAGTTTGAAATCTGCATGTAGGAACCAAGCCTAAAAGCTGGCCTTATGGCCATAACATCCAGCTTAATTATGTAATGTTTGGCTTCTTTTAAATAAACCCTGAACGTTCATCCTCTCACTTCCTGTGTTGTGTAACATCTTTGCCTGATGACGAAGAGTTCTGTAGAACTCAAAAGCTTGCCCCTGTTTTGTAAATTTTTGGGTGGTCCTAGACATTGTCCAAGTGTGGACTGTTTCTGTCAATTTGTCTACCTATGCTTTCTTCCACCCCAAAAAACATGGGGATGGATGTGTCTTTCTGGAACAAACAAAATTCATAAGATGGATAGATTGTTGTCATGGGTGTTAGCACTGTATACTTAGCCACCCTTGGCCAACATCTGGAAGTGAACAATTTGGCACTTTTGTTCTCTCTTCCTGCTAAGTAGTAGGTTGACCAGATGTGAAGGAGGATAAGACACACGTACCATAAATAGCTGAGCAGAAGAGAACATTCCAATTGCTTTTCTCCCTCTTGCATGATAAGCTGCACCTGCTGAAATTCCCTTTCCCATGCCACTATTAATAGTACAGAAGCCCTGTTCATCTTCCCATTTGGCCAGCCTATTCTGCAGCAACATGCTTATCTGCCTCCTTTATTTTTGCTTGTTGGGCAGGATTAAGATGAGAGCACAGGCACGGACGGCATAATGTCCGAGAGGGAAGAAATGGTGTCTCCTCTTGAGCAAGGACACGAAGCTCAGCTTCGCTAGAGGCCCCGCAGAGCTGTTGCACAAAGCAAATCTGTAAGGGAGCCGGAATTTTGGAAAGCTTTGAGAATAAACCGTGTGAATAAAAAGAACAGTGGGAGGAAGTGCTAAACTGCAGTCTGTTCATTCTAGAGAGGAGCCTCATTACAGTGCAGCTAAGCTCAGATTTTTCCAAAGGGGGGGAAACCAAGAGAGACAGATTGTATGGTTACATGGGGGCTGAGAACACAGCCAGGGTTAGAAAGTGACACCAGTATGTGAGATGGGAAGTCAGAAGCAAGTAAAGCCTGTGGCATCTCCAGCAGAGAGAAGCTAATGTTAGCAGAATGCATTAATGTTGTTACATGAAGGTCAGGGAGAAAGGCTTGTTTTTGTTTTTTAATGGAGAGAGCCAGGCATTTACTAGGAAAAGAAAGAAAGAATAAATACAATAATGACTTATGACTCCTAGTAATAATTGTGTGCTGTAGTAATGGTCTAGGTAGCCCTCTAAATCTGAAGAATCCCTGAAAGTAATTGGCAAGATGTTGGTCTCGGAAAGAAACTAAAAATATGCTACAGGCTTCGTTTGGAGCTTTTAGGGAAGAAGCATCAAGACAGACAGCTTATGGGCTTGGTCACACCTGCAGCAGCAGTATGATCTCAAGTGGTGACCACTACAACCCAAATGGGAACTGCAGCTGGACTAAGCAAGATGCCTGTGATCAGCGGACCAGATAACTCTCCTCTCCTCTTGTCTTTTTGTACAGAGACTTAGATTACCACAAGAGCCAATCCTTAGGCTACACCTCTTGGTTATGCTCTAGTGCAGGCATGGCCAAACTTGGCCCTCCAGCTGTTTTGGGACTACAGTTCCCATCATCCCTGACCACTGGCCCTGTTAGCTAGGGTTGATGGGAGTTGTAGTCCCAAAAACAGCCAGAGGGCCAAGTTTGGCTATGCCAGCTCTAGCGTAACCAAGAAATGGAACACAAAGTGGGGCTACACAGATTACGGTAGGCTCAACAGATAAACCCTTGAACTGCACACTTTATGGTTGCTCGGTGATCTTTGTTCCACTGACAGCTTTGATTCTGAAGTGGGCATAAACAATAGTTGCATTTAGTCAAAACAGAGGGGGATCTAGATAATATTAGAGTACACAAAAAATGGAGACTTTCTGACTATAATTATCTCACTTTCTGAGCCTAGCAGAAGAAGGCACATAAGCTCAACCCATAGAAAGTCAACTGCATGCAATGACGGTTGAAATGAATTGATTTCTCACTCGACTATATATTTTTTATTGATTTTAGCAGAACCCGAGTACAATTAACTGTTTTCTAGATTTGGGCTAAGAGACACGTCCACAAGTAAATCCCAACACCCTTTTCTGTTTTAGCAATATTCACCATAAAGAAAAAAAGTTAATTGGATGAGGAGCTGCCACCTCTGTTCCTCTATACCTGGCATATATTCTATGATCCCAAAAGTCTCATTCAAACTTTGATATATCCCGATGAGATCCCATGGAGTCCAGAGCAAAACAGATTTTGTAACAGAACAACAAGAAGGTAAGGCATAAGAGGAAAGCATCCAGCATGGGGAGGGGGGGAGAGGAACAAAATCTCTCATAAATGTGAAAACGTAAATAATTGTGGGTGCATAAATGGGAACATCTGAAGAAATATAAGGTGGGTTGTTTTGACATCATACAAAAGGTGTAAATTCCATTTGAGAGGCTGTTCTGAATGTAACCAAAGCATTTCCAGTAGGTAGAGGTGGACCCAGAGGGCAAAAGAGACCTGTTTAGGCTTTCTACAGACTTAGGGTACAATCTTATGGTCCACTTCATCACGGGAGGGCATGATCTAGAGAGGTTTTAATTGTTCGAATTCTGAGGTCTGGCTGTCTGGATTTGGACTGCAGCCTGGAGGTTCTCCACCCCAGCATTGTGTTATTCAAGAAAGGTTGTTTCCCACCCCGCCTCCCAGGAGCACACTTTTTCAGTAAGACCTAATCAGGGATCAGATCTAAGTAAATATAGTATTGATTTTCAAGCACACTGACCCTTGACCATTTGATGCCCTGCAAATCTAATGTAGCAACCCTACCGAAAGCACATGGGGGGGGGGGAAGAATGACTCTGAGCTATTAGAGAATAATGGAACCGTAAGCCAAAACTTGCACAAGGAGATTACCAGGAATAAATCTTGCCAGGGAATTTGACAGCTTTTATTTTTCTGTAATTACAGAATTAGTGGCCAAGTAGAAGCAGGATTGTTTAATATTTTTTTTTTTTTTTTTTTTTTAATAAATTTTTATTAATTTTCCAAACATAAGATAAGAAAGCAAACAATGCACAAAACACCGACATACAAACATATAAACATGTATAATTTCATAGCCATTTTTCATAAACCTTACTTTCCGGACTTCCCCATACCTCCCCTTTTCTGCATCCTTGTTTTATATTTCTTCAGCAACTCCTCAATCAACTAATTATTCAATTCAATTTCTTTTAAGTTCTTCTAATATTATTAATTACAGCTGCAGTTCTCTGTTTCCCAACCCCTTGACATTTTAACATTCCTGAATTTTACAACAAGTTCTAAGATAAACTTTAAATTTCTTCCAATCTTCTTCCACTGTCTCTTTCCCCTGGTCACGGATTCTGCCAGTCAATTCGGCCAGTCCCATATAGTCGATCACCTTCGTCTGCCATTCTTCCAGTGTGGGTAGTTGTTGTGTCTTCCAATACTTTGCTAGAAGAATCCTTGCTGCTGTTGTCGCATACATAAAAACGTCCTGTCCTTCCTTCTCACCAATTGGCCGACAATGCCCAAGAGAAAAGCCTCTGGTTTTTAGGGAAGGTCCATTTAAGAACCTTCTTAATTTCATTATAGATCATTTCCCAAAAGCTTTTATCCTCGGGCAGGTCCACCAAAGGTGATAAAAAGTACCTTCAGTCTCATTACATTTCCAACATTTGTTATTGGGCAAATGATAAATTTTTGCAAGCTTGACTGGGGTCATGTACCACCTATACATCATTTTCATAATGTTTTCTCTTAAGGCATTACATGCCGTAAATTTAATACCGGTGGTCCACAACTGTTCCCAGTCAGCAAACATAATGTTATGACCGATATCTTGTGCCCATTTTATCATAGCTGATTTCACCGTTTCATCCTGTGTATTCCATTTCAACAGCAGATTATACATTCTCGACAGATTCTTAGTATTGGGTTCTAACAGTTCTGTTTCCAATTTTGACCTCTCCATCTGGAAACCTATTTTCCTGTCCTGTTTAAATGTCTCGTTTATCTGAAGGTAGTGCAACCAATCTCGCACTTTGGACTTTAATTTCTCATAGCTCTGTAATTTAACTTTTCCCCATCTTGTTCTAGAATTTCACAATATTTTGGCCATTTAGACTCCATATTAAGTTTTTTCACCTCTTTAGCTTCCATTGGTGACAACCACCTGGGAGTTTTACTTTCCAATAGATCTTTATACCGCATCCAAACATTGTATAATGCTTTCCTAACAATATGGTTTTTGAAACCTTTATGCTGTTTTACCTTATCATACCATATATATGCATGCCAACCAAATCTATTATCAAACCCTTCTAGATCCAAAATATCTGTATTCTCAAGAAGTAGCCACTGTTTCAACCAGCAGAAAGCCGCCGATTCATAGTAGAGTCTTAAGTCCGGCAGGGCAAACCCCCCTCTATCTTTAGCATCAGTTAGATTCTTAAATTTTATTCTGGGCTTTTGCCCTGCCAGACAAATTTAGATATATCTTTCTGCCACTTCTTGAAACAGTCCATCTTGTCCAAAATCTGCAATGTCTGAAATAAAAACAACATTCTAGGCAATACATTCATCTTGATAACAGCAATTCGGCCTAACAAAGAAAGTTTCAACCTTGACCATATTTCTAGATCCTTCTTTACCTCTGTCCAACATTTATCATAATTGTCCTTAAATAAATTCACATTCTTAGATGTTAAGTTTACCCCCAGGTACTTTACTTTTTCGTTATCACTAGTCCTGTTTCATTCTGAAACTTCTCTTTTCGGCCAATGTTAAATTTTTATCCAACACTTTCGTTTTCTGTTTGTTCAGTTTAAATCCTGCTACTTGACCAAATATCTCAATTAGTTCTAATACTCTTTTAGTACTAGTATCTGGCTGTTGCAAGGTCAATACTAGGTCATCTGCAAATGCCCTTAACTTGTACTGTTTGGCTCCGACTTGTACTCCTTTAACCAACTGGTCTCCTCTAATCATATTTAACAAAACCTCCAGGACTAATATAAACAATAGAGGGGATATTGGGCACCCCTGTCGTGTACCTTTTCTATAGGTATTTCTTCCGTTACCACATTGTTTACAATTAACTTTGCTTTTTGTTTAGAGTATATTGCACCTATACCATTTTCAAACCCTTGACCTACCCCCATCCCTTGGAGATTCTTCTTCATAAAACTCCAACCAATATTGTCAAAGGCTTTCTCCGCGTCCACAAAAATTAAAACAGCCTTCCTATTAATGTCCACTTCTAACAGTTCCAAAATGTCTATAATGTTCCTCACATTGTCCGACATATATCTCCCTGGAAGAAAGCCAGTTTGGTCTTTATGAATCTCCCCTACCAACACTCTCTTCAGTCTTTTTGCCATAATGTCCGCAAAAATTTTGTAATCCACATTGAGTAATGATATAGGGCGGTAGTTTTTAACCTGGTTCTTTTCAGTCTCAGTTTTCGGTATAAGTGAGATAAAAGCTTCTTTCCACGACTCTGGTGCCTTTTTCCCTCCAAAATTTCATTACATACTTCCTTCAGTGGTTGTACTAACCATTCCTTCAACACTTTATAGTATCTGGCGGTCAAACCATCTGGTCCTGGAGCTTTTCCCAATTGCATCTTCTGAATGGCACCCTCTATTTCTTGTCCTGTTATTTTCTCATTCAAAATCCTTCTGCTTTGCTCTGAAATTTTTGGTAATCCATGTTTCTTAACAAATTCTTCTATTTCCTGTTCATTAACTGGCCCTTGTGCATATAATTTCCTAAAATAACCTTGAAAACAATTACTTATCTCATTTGGTTTGTGGATAATCTTTCCGTCCACTTCTAAACTTGTCACAGTGTTCAATTTTTGCCTCTTTTCAATTGCCATGACAGAAATTTCCCACATTTATCTGCTGATTCAAATGTCTTTTGTCTCATTTGCTTTATTTTCCATTCTATCTCTTGATTCATCAATTCCATATATTGCACCTGATAGTACTTTATTTCTTTCAGAATGTCATGAGACTTTGGTTTAGACCTCAATTTCTTTTCACCTTCTTTTATTTTTTCCAGAATTTTTCCTTTCCTTTCATTTTGATTTTTCCTTTTTATGGAGTTCTGTTGTATTAGGAAACCTCGCATCACGGCCTTACTTACGGTCCCAAATTATTCTTTTTTCCACTTCTGTTCTCAAATTTATCTCAAAATAATCTTTCACTGTTTTTTGGGCCTTCTTATAAATCTCTTCATCCCTGAATAGGGTGTCATTCATTCTCCATCTGAAGGATCCAGTTGTTGTAAGTTTCATCTCCATCTTTACAGCATTATGGTCGGAGCAAGTCTTTGAGCAGATTTCTACCTTTTTAATCCTTGGCGCCATACTGCTAGTTACCCAAATTTGGTCAATTCTTGTCCATGTCATTTTTGCTTCAGAGAAAAAGTTCCCTCTCTCTCAAGAGGGTTCCTTGTTCTCCAAATGTCAATCAAGTCCATAGTTTCAGTCATTTCAAAAAAGTCTTTGGTAGTCTCCCTTCCTTGGAAATTACTTGTCTCTGTGCTTTATCCATATTTGTGGAAACTACGCCATTCATGTCTCCCATCATTATAATTCTGTAGTCTAAATAGTCCATTAAAGTCTCATGCAACTTCTTAAGCAGGATTGTTTAATAGACCGGAATTTTATTACAGCATTTTGAGTGCATCTGAAGGGAGCCTCACTTGCAGAATTTGATTGTGTTGGCTTGAATAGGGTTTCCTCCAGATGCAGCATGTTATCTACACTCGTTTCTGATGAGAGGTTAATGCTTTCTGCTTCCATTGAACTCAGACATGACTCCAGGGACAGCCCCAAGGTTACAGGATAATGCTTAGCATTGATGCATAAGACTAAAGAAAAAGAACTTTAGCAGAGATCAGGGTTCAGCTCCAGCCCCATTAACATCTTCATTAAGGATGGGGAAGCAGGCATGAGAGGCATACTAATTCAATTTGTGCCAAAGACCAAATGTGAAGGCACAGGGACTAGCAGAAATACAAGTGTATTCAAAAGGCCAAAAGAGATGAGAAGTGATCTAGAAAGGCTGCCAGAAGAATCACTCGGGGGTTGTGTGTATTGATTACTTATTCCTTTCTTATATTTATACCATCCTTCAATTGCATTCCCAGGGCGGTTTTACGAAAAAGAACAATTAAAACACAACTACAACAACAAAAGCAGCTGAAAGCTACAACCTTACAAAAGCAGCATAAAACAATGAGCTGTATTCTAAAATAAAGGAAAACCCCCCACATCTAAAAACACCAAGAAAGTGAAAATGACAAAAAAGTGCCAGGCAAACCTTCTGAAAAGAGTATTCCAGAACTGGGGCACCACCACTTAGAAGGCTCTCTGGTATCCACCCAACTCACATTTGATGGAGAGAGCATTCACAGAAGGGCCTCCACAGGAAGGCAAATATAGAGACTGATGATCTGAAGCCATGAGGAGCTTCAAAAGGTAAAAAAGAGCATTTTGAACTGAAATGAGTGTGAGCCAGTGCAGTTGGCATAGCACAGGCATAATATTATTATAATATTATGATTATAATATCCAGTCAGCAATCTACTAGCTGCATTCTGCAGAAGAAAACATAGTTCAGAGGCAGCCCCCAAGTATAGTGCATTATAGTAGTGTAACCCGGAGTTATCAAAGCATGAATAATGGCACATGGCTATCTCCGTCCAGGTAGGGTCAAACCTGGCATACCTAAACTGGTAAGAGGCACTCCATGCCACTGAAGCAACTTGTAGCTCTAACAAGAAAGATGGATCAAGGAGAACTCCCAAGCTGCAAACCTGCTCCTTCGGGGGGAGTGCAATTTTGTCTAGTGTAGGATCACTCCCCTGGGCAAAAACAAACCACTATGCACAGCACTTCCATCTTATCTGGACTGGACGTCTGCTTATGGCCGTTATTTGTGGGGAGAGGGGCAAGCCTACTCTGAGGTGTACAGTTGCACCTTGGAAGCCAAATAGATTCCATTCCGGAAGTCTGTTTGACTTCTAAAATGTTCGGAAACCAAGTTGTGGCTTCCGATTGGCTGCAGCCAATCGGAAGCCGCATCAGATGTTCGGGTTCCAAAAAATGTTTGCAAACCGGAACACTCACCTCCAGGTTTGCGGTGTTTGGGAGCCAAAACATTCGACTTGCAAGGCGTTTGACTTCTGAGGTACGACTGTATTGAAAAAGACTGTCAATATGTAGGGGTAATTTGTGCACTTCTGTAATGGCCAGTATAAAAGCCCAGGGATATGTTTGATGTTTGAAGAGCTACCGTATTTTTCGCTCTATAGGGTGCACCGGACCATAGAGTGTACCTAGTTTTTTGGGGGGAAATAAAGAAAAAAAAATATTCCCCCCCAGCCCCAAAGAGCAAAGAAGCCAAGACAGCCAGCGGGATCTCTTTAGCCATGCACAACCTCTCCCACCGGGAGAGGCTGCGCGCGGCTTTGGCAGAAGCCAAGACAGCTAGCGGGATGGATCCTGCTCTCTGTCTTGGCTTTCTTTTTAGCCGCAGGGCAGAGGCAGGGGAAGCCCAAGCTTCCACCGACCCCAGAACGGGTCCTTTGCCTATATAAGCAACCTCTCTCTCTCTCTCTCTCTCTCTCTCTCTCTCTCTCACACACACACACACACCATCTATCCTCAGTATTTCACCATTCTTTTTGAAACAAGACTTAGCAAGTGGATGTGGCAGACAATGGTACAAAATGGGAGGATTGATTAATAACGGCAAAAATGACACAGGGCTAAGAAAGTTCACATCCTGTGGATTCCAAAGGATGTTGGATATGGTGAACATCTGTCCAGTTCAGTAAGATTGTTAAGCAAGAGTGCATCATCAGGATCAATTAAGGATCAATTGATCAGGATCAATTGTTAAGACTTAGTTTACTTTTAGGAGATCTGGAGCAGGGGCAGCCCAGCATTAGGCAGAGCAGGTCCATCTAGATTGTGTGTGCGTGGCAGCGGTCAGGAGTGCCATCTTGTCTTTCGCCTCAGGCAACAAACTGCCTTGGGTTGGTCCTGATCTGGAGAACACACTCTAGCTTTGTAAATTTAAAGGGGTAGAATTCACTCTTGCACTAGGCCAACCTCTCTGTTAGCGCATTTCTGCTTCTGCTGATGGAATTATGTCCCTTCTCCTCCCGCTCCATGCTGCTCTAAGGGTTATCCCAATAGCCCAGAACCAATTTGGGGAGAGGACACATTGGGGTGAGGGGGAAAGACCCACTGCTCTAGCAGGATGCATTGTAATGGCTCTTACTAGCTCAACTACAGTGGTACCTCGGGTTAAGTACTTAATTCGTTCCAGAGGTCCGTTCTTAACCTGAAGCACCACTTTAGCTAATGGGGCCTCCTGCTGCTGCCGCGCCGCCGGAGCACGATTTCTCTTCTCATCCTGAAGCAAAGTTTTTAACCTGAAGCACTATTTCTGGGTTAGCGGAGTCTGTAACCTGAAGCGTATGTAACCTGAAGCGTATGTAACCCGAGGTACCACTGTATTTCATTGAATCTGGCCCAAGACAATTGTGGGACAGTAAAACGATAGATTGCAAGAAGGAAATCAGTCTTCCATTGCCCTAAAGCATGATTTGCTTTTAATTCACATAGTCAGGATTGCTCAGTTAGGTACTTCATCCATCTATGGGCTTGCCAACACTTCCGCTTATCCCGTGCCTAGAACGCATGGATCCGAGTAGTTTCCCCAATTCCCTGCTCCTTTCCCAGGAAAAACCTTTTCTTTAGGTCTAAATGGGAGCAAATGTCAATCCAGAGAAAACTGGAATTGCTGTTTGCTCCGACTGAGCTCTAAAGAGCGTTTCCCTGGGGGGCGGAGCAGGGAGCAGTGCGACCAGAGGAAGAGTGAATAAGCCCCATCTTTCTCTGGTTTTCTTTGGAAGTCTGGATTCTGCCGCTTCAGTCAGGGTCCACCCACTCCCTGCTCCATCCCCAGCTGCTGCTGCTGCGCTAAAAATTTCCCAGCACTGCTTAGAATCCTTTAAAAGAAAAAAGAAAAAAAATCCACTGCTTGCATTTCCAGGGATGAAATATAGCTGAAAAAAGAAAAATAACAGCCTGTGTCATTTTGCTAACGCGGAAGCATTCCATCATGAATGTGTGAAGCATCAGCCCTGCTGTACACAGCTCTACAGCTATTTCACCAGGGAAGCTGGGCTGCGATGAAGCCTTGCCCCTCCTGAAAGACACTGATAAATCGAGGGACAGAGCTGTAAAAATGATCGGTGGCGGTGGAAGTCTAATCTAAATATTTATAGAGGAGAAGTCTTGCTGTAGCCCAGATGAGATCATAGGACTATCTACTGAAGATTGTGACATCCCTCTTCAGGCTACCTGGACCCAGTCTGAGCTCCTCATCTTTACCTTGAAATACCTCCCTTGCCCCTCCATCACCTGGCTGCTCTTATGTCGTTTGCTCCTCTGCTTCATCACCCGCATAAGGTGGCCACATGCCCTACTTTACAGTAGCGAGTCCTCCATTTGAAGGGTTGTCCAGTTCAAGTCCACCTTAAAGAAGAAGGGAGAGCAGGAGGATCTTGAAGTTCCCCACCAGCACTAGCACCAGGGGAGCAGGCTGAGTGGGCACACAGAGTCACCTGGGCACAGTCTTCCTCACTAGGCTAAGTGAGATGTATCTCTATTTAAATAAGTTTGCATTCTTCAAATCTGTATCCTCTGCTTTTAGATCACAGTTTCTCAAACTTGGGTCTCCAGCTGTTGTTGGACTACAACTCCCATCATCCCTAGCTAGCAGGACCAGTGGGCAGGGATGATGGGAATTGTAGTCCAAAAACAGTTGGAGATCCAAGTCTGGGAATCCCTGTTTCAGATGATGCAATTTTCCTCTTTGGTCGCCCCCTCCCTCAAACACCCCCCCTTCACCTTTGATGCCCCTTCTGCCTTGAGCAGCTTGCCAGAGCACCTGTGGATGCCCCCTCCTCCAAAACCACCTTGTCCATGCAGCTTTTGACCCAACACTGCTCGTTCCTACGCTCTCTACAGCCACTCTTACTGTAACGAAGCCTAAGCACTCGTAAATGGAAATAGCAGCATATTCATCGGCTGTTTATCCCTCCCTACATTTTCCTCTCCTTTGTCTGTTTCCCCCATGTCAAACTTTAGATCAGGGCTTGTGGCACCCACCGTCTCGATTTCTCAGAGGCATTCATACATATAAATTAGCATATGCAAATTTCACACACATTTGGTTCACGGGTCTGTGCTGTGGCACCTAAGCAACTGGAATTCAGAGACATGGAAATGATTTTGTCTAAAACCATTTCCAAGCCGCCTGTAAGAACATCCTTGCCTTCTTGCTAGCAACACAACAAGATGGAGACCCTTCTCACCACATGACAGGAAAACAGCGTCCTATCTTTCAGTTTTACAGTCAGTCTGGGAGATTAATCAGCATGAGGATGTAAGGGAAAGGCACACTCTCTACCTGGTGGATTTCAGACACAAATGAGTGGGAACGGATGAAAAAACATTCAACTCTAAGGCTCTTTCTTTAAAATGATCAGCCCAACCGCATTCAGGGGTGGCCTGAGATGTTTTGGTACCTGAGGCAAAGCATCCCTGCAATAGTGTGCTTGTGTGATGCTCTGCAAGGGCTCCCCCTCAAGGAAAAGTCCTTGCAGAGCCTTGCCGCTGAGCATGGAAGCTTCGGCAGAATCTCCCTTCCTGCCCAGCAGCAAAGATGGGTGGCAGAATGCCTCCTGCCTCAGCAGCTCAGCGAGAGGGGAGGCATTCTCCAGAGCTTTGCCGCCAGTGCCTCTCCGCCCCTAGGGGTGGGGGGAGACCGGTGGCAAAGCTGGGTGGCAGAATGCTGTGCTACTCAGCCTCAGCCTCCCTTACCTTGGTTGCTTCTCCAGAGGCAGTGGGGCGGGCGGGGCGCTGCCTCTTGCATTTCCACCACCTAAGGCGGTTGCTTCATCCCGCCTCAAGGGAGGGCTGGCTCCGATTGTACTCCAAATGGCAGCCAGCTCTTTCTATTGTACCTTTGCTAAGACTGTAGTCCTATTCCTCACTTGCCTGGGAGCAAGCTCCATTTAATACAGTGGGACGTAGCGCTGAGCAGAAATGCACTGGGTTGCAGTGTTCACTGCTTTAATGCCAACATCCTCTACCCTGTGCAGATTTGCATATCAAAGAAACTATCGTGGTCACCACATACACCAGCAACCAAGCACAGACTGCCAGCAAGTATATTGGCTATAATACAGTGCTTCTTTCAAGTCTAATTTCAGGGGGCAAAGGGGACCCTGCAGGCATCAAGGAAAGCTTCCATGGCCACATCTGCATCCATGGGTACCATTTTAGTGATCCTGGCACTACCCTCTAAATATTCTATTATGTGCGGATGCAACAACAGACTGTGTAGGGGGCCTATGCTACAGTTAGGCCCTCGTATCTTACCCTCCCCTCCCAAATAAACCATCAAACATATGTGGTCCAGCACAGCCATCACAGCAGCAATGAATGCAATAGCTTCAGGAAGAATCTGTAAAGGATTCCTCTATTATCCCACAGTGATGCCACCACTTGTTAAAAGATTATTATAGCTACTCTTACTATAATCCCAGTTTGCTGCCACCAAACTGTCAAGGATTAACTCCTGTTATCCCACTCCACTTCAGCTCTTACTCCCCTTTACTTATTTGTTTGACCCTGTTTCCTCACTGCCACCATATATTTAAATTGCAAGTTAATGATAAACCTCTATTCACCCGCTAATAGCTGTGGCAAAGCACGGTACAAAATAGTACAGGCACCACTTCCAAGTAAAACAATGTACGTAAGATGTCTTTTGTCTTTGATCAACAAATAATTAAAAATGGGCGGTCATGCTTAGCTTTAAATTTAATATATAATAAACTTAACTTGGCTGCTCTTACTATAAATCAGACTGTTCACTCTACCAGGTTGCTTTAACGTTAAAAAGATAATTTTGAGATACTAAGTTCTTCCTCTAGCCAATGATCCTGGCCACTCTTAACTCAGTGCTTGCTTTGACAGAATGTAACTCACAGTCCAGCCAACTGCAGCCCTATTGTGGAAACTTTTTACCTCTTACATGTCCTAGGAGCAAGTAAAGGTAGCATATAGACAGTTAATTCTGTACATTCCACAATGTGAATTCAGATAAAAGCAAAACCCTTATCTCATAAAACCTCCAATGAGTATACAAAAGCGATTTTTCTACAGGATCACATCTCCCCTTGTTGCAAAATATTGCCATTATAGTGCTATGAAAAGAAAATATCTATTATTATTATTATTATTATTATTAAATATTCTTAAGAGTGACTAACTTTTTGGGCCGATGAGTAAGAAGTGAGAAACAAATGTGCATTTATTGCCCTAAAATCTGCTTACGTGGGAAGGCACACATTGCGTACACTACTACTCTGTGTATGCAGGTGAGTGTAAACAATGAATTTGGCATATCAGTGAAGGCGGGGGGGGTGAGGAGAGAGAGGCTTGGGGCCCCAGCACTGACCCCATGCTGGAATTTCCTCACTGTGTTTCTTTGAACAGATGCTCCTTGCTGGTATCCCATCCACATGCTGCTGTCTTAACTTTGCTCCGAGAGTTCAGAGGTAAATAGCAAGAGGCAGAGACAGAACACACACGAACCCCTCCAAAATTGCCTGTACCAAATCTAATGGCATTGCTAACATCAATCATAGGCGCGCCAACAGGGGAAAAAACCACACCACCAAGTTGGATGCTAGGCAGTACTAAGGAGAGGAGTAGCAGAAAGATGCTGTTTTATAAATCAGCAGCTTGTTCTTACTTCAAACACTGCCTTCCGTTACTGTTCTCCTGGGCTTAGCAGCAAGAGAACATGCTGAGAAAAGGCAGCAGGAACACTGAGAGTCATCAGGGCAATGTGGGGAGAGATGATTGCATACAAGAAGGAGAATTACCACTGCTCTAGCAATGGGCTGGTTCAAGTTATTTTGGCACCACACTGTAGGCCAGTGTGCCTCAACCAGGTGCCCTCCAGGTGTTTTTGACTACAACTCCCATCAGACCCAGTCAACCGAGGCCGATGGAAGTTGTAGTCCAAAACACCTGGAGGGCATCAGGTTTGGGGAGACAAAAATGAGTCATTAACAGAGTTACTGAATTAGCAGAGAACTTCATCAGAGGATAGGCTTTTAACAAGTACTGTGTAATTAGTAACCACACACACTGGAGATTTGTGGTTGCTGTTTCAAAACTCAAATTGTGGGGGGCACTGTTAAGCGTAATTGTTTAATTGTAAATGGAAAATAGCTCTGTATGTGTATTGCTAAAAGGAGCATGGAAATTTCCAGTGAAGCTCTCTGAGCACCAAACAGGCTGATAATTAACTGAGAATGTATCTCTGCTACTCTCTTATGTGCTGTTTAACTTAGATTACATGGGAGGGGTATTCAGTTGCAAATCTCCATTTTGTGGGAGTTGTCTTTGTTCTCAAGCCACCTTGCGCTGATGATTCTCTCCTGGAGAGAACAGCCTCAGGCTGGAATGCAGGCTGCATGGAGAGAAATAACTTTGATTTCAGTTCTGTTTGGAGTAATTTTACATTTCTAAGAAGATGTACATTTGTTTGGACAAGCACATATTTTTTGCAACTATTTGAACGTATCGCTATTGTTGTAAGTCTGTTTTGAAGAAAGTTCTGTTATTAAAGCTTTGGAACCATATTTTTGGTCTGGACAATTTTTATTCCCAGAAGAGTCATGTTTTTATTCACCCTATTGCTCCAAATGTGCAATATTAATAACTGCAAGAGGCACACCTACCCCCACCTAGCTCTCATTGTTGCTGAGAGAATTCTCTCTGGGCTTTGCCTTTCCTTCCCCCGCCTTCTGCATGACTGCCACATACAAGGATTGGGGAAAAGGATGGAATTGGCAGTAGCTGCTTAGCAAGTGATCCTGGCGCCTAAAAGCTGTGCCAGAGAGGAAGAAAGAACAGTACACCCTGGCTCTGTTCCCTCAATCCTCCAGATACTACCTGGTCTTCAGTTAGGTCTAAATGTTACACTTACCGCATTGCTAGGTGCCAGTTTAGAAACTGGAGTGTAATGTTGACAAGTGTGGTGTTTGCTCTGCATCAGGAATGGGGAACCCATGACTGTTCAGATATTGCTGGGCTCCCAACTTCAATCTGGCCCATCCAGCATGGCCTGGTGTTAAGGATGCAGGTGTTGGAGTACAACATCTGGAGGCCACAGGCTCTCCATCTCTGCTACACAGTAGTCTACTGTGGTGTGTGTGTGTTGTGTTGTGTTGTGTTGTGTTGTGTTGTGTTGAAGCATCATATACCAAGAGAGACAGGCAGCATTGAAAGGTTGCCTTTTGTTTCCATAGACTCTTCCCTTAATTAATATAGCTACCTTGCACAGGCAGACCTTGGTCTCCCTCCCTTTGTGCAAGTGCTTTTACAGACCATGATAGGCAGCAAGAGGGCTAGACTGTTTTCATAAGCTTGGCCTTCTGGCCACTGCACAAACCGCTCTGGCAGACAAATAAAAATTCCTTCCATGCCATGTGCCACGTGATGTTTCACTTCCCACACAATTAGAACAGCATGCCATGCTGAGCTGGAAAGTGGGAGACTCAACACACCACCCGCACATGATATGCACATTACAGACAAGTAAAGGCATGGCGTGAAAACTCCAAATGTCATGGAGTGATGGTACCATTTAGGCCTGGCCTTTGCCCGCTCTTCCACTTGAACCTGAGCCCTGGGAAAATGTCCCGCCATCCCAGTTTGAGAAAACACTAGTAATTATTCAGAATAAGCATCCATCTTCCACTCCTTCTCCGAGGAGCTAAGGTTGCACAGAGACTCTGAAACACCCCCAGCCCCATCAAACTGGTTTTCAGGTTTATTTGAAAAAAGCCCTGACATATAAGAATGTGTAAGTATGTAGAGCAACCATAGTGACTAGCCCCAGGTTGCCCAGTGAACTTCATGGCTGAGCAGGGATTTAAATCTATAACACTCTTTAACTGAGTTATCACATTGGCTCTCAATTAACTTGAAAATAAATCAGTCTATCTTCAGGGAAGACCATGAAAACCTTTTTTTTTTTTAACAGAGCAGTGTACAAAAACAAAACATTGGTAGCAGGCAGGCAACCTAGTATACTTTGTAATGCGAGTCATAACTGAATCACGTACCTTAGGAGAACAAATGAGCTTGAACAAAGCAATTGACATTTATAGTTTGAACATAAAAGTCCTAAAATGGAATCAGTTTCCCAAGAATCAGTTGAATATATCAGCGAAACAAGCTACAAAGTGGAATAAATGAGCCCACCCTCCCTAAATCACACACAAAAGATTCTGGTCACAGCAAAAGGCTTTAAATCTGTTGCGTATAGGTTGTTCCTATCTACTTCGTGTTTCCCCATCGCAGGTTTTTTGGGGGGACGAATGTAGCATTCTGTCACACTTCGCCAACATTTGTACCACTCATTATGCCAATATATTGACTTTGATTGAATTTAAATGGCTGAGTGCTTCATGAAGGAGTTCTTAGGGGGATATTTTCCTTAAGATCAGATCAGATGCTGGCTGGCACATTTGATCTTCAGCCATGTTTATAAATTATCTGTACCCAAGAGAGAAGCCACTTTAAGTTTGACTGTTTCATTTCAAATACTGTAGCTGCATGCCCTTAGATTTGCAAAACTGGCTTCCCTTTGGACCTCTTTTAACAAGTTGTAATGAGTCACTGCAGCCAGAATTCCCAGACCCAGAGCACCTGCCTTGAACAAGTGTGAATCCTGTATCACAGGAGATAATTTTTTTACAGGGAGGTGAGCAATCAAATAGACCTTTTTGATCTTGAACTACCATAAGCACTCCAGCCTGCATCCTGAAATCCACGGACATAAAGTCCACTTGTGAATTATGCTTGTGATTTGTGAATTATCCTTTCAGCTAAAATAAACATTTCCTCAAGGTGTCTTGTGACACCTTATCTAATAAGGCATTTGTTTTTGCTGTAACAAAAGTCATATCGCTACCCCACTGGACTTTTTTCCAAACAAAACATGGTCACCTTTATGCAGCCATCACATTCCATGCAGGAGTCGTCCTGTGGATTAAGTCTTACATTGTTTGTTGCCAGGATCGGGCGAGAAGAAAAGGCACAATCCACTTCTATAGACTTTATGAAGACAGAGGCTCTGCAGGCATCAAATATGTAACATGCTACTGAGCAAGCTTGCTGTTGGTCATCATAACTAGAGACATTTTGCTGCCTGCAGAAAAGCCAAGTGGTGATCCCATTTTGGGAAATATATCAAACTAAGTTATTGATTGACATTTTGCTTTTCTGTACCATTACCCCCAAAATCTGCCACTTGATGTCCTAGTAGAGCTGATCCTAAGTGATAACTTTGTTTATCTAAGGTTCAGTTCCAATGTTAATCTGCAGTTTCAGAGATACAGTAGGAGCAAAAGGTTTCACTGTGAAGTGTCAGAGGCCCAGACCCCCTCCCTGAGAGATGGCTTCCCCCTAGAACAGTGGTTCAGAAAGGGTGTGGCACGCCACATTGGTGTGGCAGGAGAAGATGGCAAGTGTGGCAGTAAGATTCAAAGACAATCAAAGAAACATTTCAACATGTCAGTATAGTATAGTATAGCATAGTCTCAAAATAATTTTAAATATGTCCACACCTCTCTTCAAGCACATTGGCTATTCTTCTACAGTTCTCCATGACATATTGTTCTGAACAGGGATTTTCAATTCTGACAAATATGAAAGATCAGAAAAGAGAAAAGAGCTTCTTTGTGTTGATGAGGAGACAAGAGTTTGTTTGTCTCAAATTAGACCTAATATAAATGAGATTACCCGGCAAAAGCAAGCTCACACCTCTTACTGGGAATGATTCATGATCTAATGTAGCTGCATTGTTTTTATACTTTCTGCATGCCCATGATCGCATTATAAAGTAGTTGTGTTCTATGTTATAAATCAAGCACTGCGAGGAGTTGTTACTTTTTGCTTTCCAATGTATTTCTTATCAATAAAAAATTAAGTGAGAGGCGCAAGCAAATTTTTATTCTGAAAATGCATCCCAGAGACAAAAGCTTGAGAACCACTGCCCTAGGAGGAGGGAAGCCAACAGCATTACTAAATTCCAAATTCTCAGGGCTTCATGATTCTCTCAAGTGGGCTGACTATATAAATAAAGAGCAATTGCCTAGACATTTAAAAATGGGCTGTTCTCCTTCGTTTAGCCCTTTACCATATGTTTCCTTGCATATTAATAAACCAGGATGGATCAAAGTTGAAGCATATATAATTCATTAATTAACCCTTCCCCAACATCTTAATAACAAAACAGGCAAGCAGACAGATATGCAGATTACTGACATGCATGTATATCTGTATCTTCCGCAAGCCACGTCTTTTCAAACCCTTCTGCCTTGCTCTCCCCCTGCCTAGGCAAAGACCTATCTCTGTCAGGAACTCAAGCATGCCAACAAGGCCAGGCTGAGCTGGTGGTTTTCACACCAGGTGCTGAGATAGCACACAGACTTGGCAGTATCTAAACAGACCCACAACATTAACTGTTCACAGATTGGGTGCCAAGATGGCTTTCCTCTGCTTCTCCTTGAAGGCTCTGATTCTCCATTAAATGGGAAATGATGAGGTGGGCAATAATCCGACCCAAGTGGTCCATACATTGGTGACCTCAAGACTGGACTCCTGTAATGCCCTTTATATGGGGCTGCCCTTGTATGGGGTCCAGAAGCTGCAGCTAGTGCAGGATGCAGCAGCCAGACTGCTCACAAGAGCAGATTACTGGCAGCATGCTATTCTGCCAAGAGATATGCACCGCTTGCTGATTTGCTATCATGCCAGGTTTAAGGTCCTTGTGTTAATTTACAAAGCCCTAAACAGCTTGGACCCAACATTACCTTAAGCACCGTCTGATTCCTTATGCTCCACCTCTGCCACTGAGATCCTCTGATGGAGAACTTCTGGTGTTTCTCAAGCCCTTGAGGATCAGTTGGAACTCTCTACCTGTAGAGTTTTGCAAGGAACCATCCCTGCCTTCTTACACACATCTTCTGGAAACTGTGCTGTTTATAGACGGGCCTTAACAATACGAGAGCCTCTTGCCAGTATAGACACGACAGATCTCAAGAGACCATTGGTTTGACTTCCTGTGATGCTTCCTATGTTCTTGTGTTCCCAGACACTTAGGAAAAGAACCAAGTAAATGCAAGGATTGTTTCCCCACGTAAGTCAGTCTGCTGGCAGCTACGTGGAGCAAATATCTCTCCCTACCTGTGCATTTCACTACCCCAAAGGGATGCCAACAGCCGCTTCTACCAACTGAGGTTGGAGAAAAGGAATCGTTTTAAAAGAGTATTTTGCATGGGTTTTAGAGAGGAATCACTTCCCATGGCAAGCGCTACCCACACGTTTCTTTTGACTCACTCTGAATTCTGGTTGGGTTTTTGTGTTTTTTTTAAACAATACAGGAACTTGCAAAATCTCTTTAGTGGCTGCAGAAGTGGGATGAAATGTACCCACCGAAAGCAGCTACCTTTATTTCAAACCTCTTTCAACTGCGGAAAGAAAGACCGTCTCCATCCTGAATCTATTCCTGAGCTGAGGGCTTTTCATCTCAACAGTGAACTCTGTCTGTGAAATGCGTCAAGAGCTCCGTATGCAGTATTTATCTTAAGCGCCTTGGGGGAAAGAAGGCACCCCAGGGCCATGAAAGCAAAATACACCAAGGTTTGTGAAGCTGAGCTACAGGTTTGGGCTTTAAAATAAATGAGGGGCAGAACAGGTCCTCCCCTCACCCTCCATTACAGTAGGAGATCACTGGATCTGCACATGTGATTGAAGCCATTTTATGTGCCAACTGCACAATCCATCTGCATGAATACAACTCAACTGTCATTCACAATGCAGGATGATGGAGGAAGGGGCTATATCAGAAAGCTCATGAATTAAAAAAAATGTGCAGCCAAACCTATGGAACCTAGGGACCAATCCTATGGAATCATAAGAACACAAAAAGATCCCTGTGGGATCAGACCCCAAGGCCTATCTTGTTTAGCAACCTGCTTTCCAGCATGGCCAACCAATTGCCTACAAAAAGCCTGCAAACCAGGACATGAGTGCAACACCACTCTTCCCACTTGTGCTCTTCAACAACTGGAATTCAAAAGCATTCTACCTCTGATACTGGATAGTAGTACGCAGTCATTGTGGCTCATAGCAATGCTTAACCCCTTAATGAAGAAATGCATGTGAAAACACAACTTGAAGGATCCAGGCAGATTCTGCAGAAAAGGCACACGCCACCAGGTGACTTGCCCATTCCAGTTCACAAATCTTTATAAAACACATGTGAATTTTGAAAGATGACATGTTTTTCCACATGCCTGTTTGGATTTGAGTTGATAGGCTGGGAGGTGGGTTTGGGGAATTCTAGCTCTGCCAAGTCATAGATGATAGCTGAAAGGGCGGGAATTGTGTGTGTATTTGCTGCAACGGCACTTGCTGACTCAAGGGTTCCCCATCTCTCTCTGTGTACAAGGTGCTATGCCTAACATTGTACTTTTTTAAAAAGCTGATTTCCATCCAACATAGGATTCTCTCTTATCTTGAGCCCAGATGCACTTGTATTCATTTGCACCCAACTTTCAATTAATTTAGTAAGACTAGGTGAGCCCTCTTTCCTTTTCAGAATGTAAGGGAGAAGGAGGAGATGTCCTGAAGCAGAAAGCCAAAGAAAGGTTTGGTTCCGGAAACTTTCCAGCATTTATAAAATATACCTGAAAGGACATTCTGTGGGGAGGATGTACCGGTTATGTATGTTATGAGTCTGCACCCATGTGGCAGATTTTTCAGTAAGATCCATATTCATTGTCACAGGAAGGTGCTACTGTTGCACAACTAATTCTTAAAGCTGCACTCCTATGCACACTTCTCAGATAGTGAACCACACAAAAGACACTGGGGCTAACTTCTGAGTAAACATGCATAGGATTGGACTCCACATATTATATTTTAAAAGTGCATCTGTGCAGCCATTTTTTGTTTTGTTTTCTAAGCTCAGTCCTTAATAGATGATCCATTAAAGTGTTTACTTAAAACCCCTCACTATATATCCTTTTGGTTTAAGGAATTCTGAGCTGAAGTGTCTTTTGGGGCACACAATCACTGTGAAGGCAGCAAATCCAACATAGTTCTGGGAATAACCAACAATGGGCATAGGCCACAGGGCTCCACAGGGAGGAATCAGAAGGGGCTCATTGGCAGCTCTGTGGAAAGTGAAACGTGACAGCAAGGGCCACATGCTTTAATAAGTAGACCAATTATCTAAAGCTTCCAGGAGCCAATTGTAACCAGAGAATGTAATTTTTAATCAGGCGACTTCAGATTAATGGCACACTTGTCCACTTTTGAGAATAACTGCAACTCATCTCATCCTGTTAATACCTTTAAGAGTCACAAGAAAAATATTAAAGACAGTCTTTTTAAGAACAAGTGGTAGCTCTTTGGCACCTATTAATGATGTTTTGTAATATGAAAACTCAATCACATTATAACTAGCTATAGTTAATCTGCTAATTAAAGAGGCAGATGATCAATCAACTAAAAATCCTTTAATTGGTTCACACTGCTACTGATAACGAAAACAGTGCATGTCATTTGCAGCTGCTGGGACCCAAAGCCTAGGGGTGAGCCCAAACAGAGTTCTCTTACTTTTGTATACAAGGTTTGCTCAGAGTCCCTGAGCATTTGGGGAGGCACAGAGGTGGAAGGAGTCTTCTTCTGCAACTCCAATATCCCTAGCTCAGTCAAATGATGCTAATATGGCAAAGGTAGGAAAGGAATCCAATATGAATTGGCAGGAAAGGGATCTTCTGTTTCAGATGGCATAGTTTCCTCTTTCAGGGTGCCAACAGGCACATGAAGTGAGATCCACCCTCTTCAGCATGTATTAATTAGCCCTTCTTGTATCCCTAGTTTGACATGGTGTTCTACATCAAGTAATCCAGTATGTTTAAGGCGGATGTGCTTTTAGGATATGGCAACATGGCTCTGAAAAAGCCCATATAAGCAGGAGGCCTCTGAAATACTTCCCACCCTGCACTGGGATTATATGGGTTTTAACTGACTGCGAATGAATTTAATATATCCCAAATACAGGCATCAGTTTGTGGGTTTAAAACAAAAAATAATAATAAAAAAAATCGGGATCTTTTATTTTGGCTAGTCACAATGTTTATGGTTGTGAAAAGCAGAGATTTACAGAGCTGGTCCAAAACAATGCCAGATGATATTTACACCCCACTCCAAATATATATCTATAGAAGAGGTTTTCTTGGTGAGTTGTTTTATCCATGCTCTGGAGCCCTAGTCAAAAAGGCTACTCTATTATCAAAAATGAACTCTAAGTTCTGTACGGATCTTAATAATGTTAACTGGATATGAGAGCATATTGGGGGTATTTTAAAGCCTCAGCAGCCACCCCTTCGAATCTCAGCTTATCGGGTGATTAAAAAGACACAGAGAAACCCACAGCCAGGGCAAAGGAGTTGAGCGCGCCTCCTTCCTTGCGGATGAGTTCCGTTTGCTAACGCAGCCCCGCGGGCGCTCTTCTGCGAACCACAGCGAACGCTGGTGGCGCTGCGCACTCCAACCCCGGGGGTTTCTGTAACGAAGGACAAGAAAGCGAGGGACACGCCGTAGCCCGAGGAACACACATGCGAGAAAACGCAGGTCGAGCTTCCCACCCACAAGGCCAGGGGAGGCGGGCAGCATCTCCACTCGGGCACCAAAACAGAACCGCTAAACTTACAAGATGCCTCCCCAAGCACCGTCTGAGCGCAGATCCTCTAGTCTATGGAGATCGTTCCCTTTTTAGAGGCATCTTTAGCCCGGATCTGAATCGAAGCATAAAAACTCCTGTTCTCAAAACAACACTCCCCCCCTGCACTCTCCAACCTGCAATTAAGACAGAATCTTTTAGTTGTGACATTCGCTGTTGTCATGGAAATAAGCGCGAGAGAGCGAGTTGATGGGCGGGGAAAAGGAAATCAAAATAGCAGAATCTGCCCGGGGAGAGGGGGAGCGGGCGGCAGCGAGAAAGAGTTGATGTGTGCGTGTGGAATTACAGTTGCTAATGCCGGCTAATGCCACCAGCTCCAGTTGGGCTTCCGCAGATTGTCCCATCCAGACTAGCCAGCAGCACCAACCTTTTCTCGAGGCACGAAACTTGCAAGCGCATAGCTGCAACCTGTACGTTGCTTCCACCAGCCCCGTGCGCGCGCATGGATTGCTGGGGAAAGTGAAGCCGAGGAAGCTTTGCCTCCTCTCTCTGCCACGGGAGTAAAGGAAGGCGAGAAGGACCCCTAAAGAGTCTCAGTGGGAGGAGGGGACGCCTGACTCGGAAGCAGACCCCCCCCGCCCGCCCGCATCTGCCGCGTGGCCAGCCCGAATCCGAGCTGCCCCTACCCCGCGCCGCGCCTCCATCGCTCTCTGCGCAAGGCTGGGAAGACAGCCTTGCCGAGTCTCTCCCATGAGAAGCGCGCAGACGACGACGGCACCTCCCGCCCCACAGGGGGCGACGTGCCTCTTTCTGCCCCGGGCCCAAGCGAGAATCCCCGATCGCCGCGGGAGAGGGTGGGCAGACCAAGCAGCAAAGGGAGCAGACGCCAGTTCCTTTTGCAGCAGCTGCAGATCGACTTCCACGTGGGGTCTGAGCTTGCTCCTTTTCTTAACCCTCCGCCAGTCTCCTGACTCCACCGCTCCCGTCCCACTCTGAACCCCCTTTTCGCGCGCGGACCCCCCTCCAATTAATATTTGAATGTGTGCGCGCGCTCACTGCACGGGCTGGGGAAATCAAGACAGCGCGAGTGGGTGGGTGGGTGCGGGAATGAAGATCCGCAATTACTCAGCTCGGAGTCACTTTGCCGAAGTGAAGGTGCAGCGCAGAAACACTCCGAGCAATTCACGGCGGCAACGAAGGGGAGCGTTCGCGCGCAGCCCGGTCGACCCCACAGGTTGGATCGCCGCAGGGAAGCCGCTTTCTCCCCAAGCTCCGCGGCGGGACAGGCGGCTACTTCCCAACGCGCAACCTTTCCCCCTTACAGCCGCAGCCTCAGAACCCCGAGAGGGAAAGCTTGCCGACCGAGCTTCTTAAGGCACATGCCCGGGTGTCTTCCCAGCCGTCTCCGGCGCCAAGGCTCCAGCAGGGGCCCTCCTCCCCTCGCCTCACTGCAGCAAGCCATGGGGGCCCCGCGCCGCGCCAAGACCCACCTGCAAATCTGCTCTGCCGCTGGAAGGGATCAGAGGGGTGGGAAGCGTTCCGGTGGTGGCGGCGGGGGGAGCTGCCCTATTTCTCGCAACGGGGATTTCTCGCCCTCCCCGTGGTGATCGGCCCTCCTCAGTAGCCCGCCCGGCTTTTCCCGGGGCGAGGGTGGCTGCAGGGCTGCAAGGCGAGATGTGGCGTCCGAATCCGCCGTGGGATCCCGTCGACTGAAGATGGAGCCGAGAGCGCTCGGTGCTCCGCGGCTCCTCGCAAGTTGAGCATCTCAGTTGAGTTCCAAGTGGGAAAGTTACAAAGGATGAAACTGACAAGGGCCCGCCCAGGAAGGGTGGGGCCACGGGCGGCTGACGTCACCCGGAAACTTTACGCCCCTCCCACTACTTTTAACAATTGATCCTGGGCCCTGCCCGGGTTACCTTCTCCAGATCCGGGACAAAATAATCTCCCAGGCTGGTTTAGAGAGGGGAAACTAGGAAGACGCGCATCATATTCCTGACCAACCTGATCTGTCCCAAGAGAAAAGCCTTTCCATGAAACTCTGTTCATTACAGTGACGTATTTCATGTTTTCCCCGTAGTTTAACCTATATAATATACGACGTTTGTAGCACCCCAGAGCGATAGAATACGCTAGTATCGTACACTTTTGTCACACAGCGCTGGGATTCGTTGCATGTTCATTACATCGGGATTGAACCCCGTCATCAACCGAACAGCAGAACAGAGACACATAAAACAGGAAAAGAATCATCGGTGGCACATTAGGCTTAATGGTGAAAGAACTATTTTTGGATATGGTTGCGAAACAGCATTCTTGTTGCAAAAGATGTAATTGTATACCTAAGGGAGGCTGGAGAATAAGCATTTGTCTCGCTGATTGACATTCTCCCCTTTAGAGACACACAGTTTGCAGGCTAGCTGTCTAAAGTCATACCTTCCCTGAGTCCTCTGCAATACACATCGCAGGCTCCAAGAAGAAGAGGTCCCATGGGCATGACAAGTTTGATTACGATACGATACCTGAAATCACGCCCTACAGGAATTATCCCAGAATAAAAGTAAATTGCTTCCTTTTTAACTGATTTATGTAGACAGAGAAGGTGTAAAAGAGAGGCGAATGCAAGGAAAAGAGATTCATTGATGGGCAAGAGCTTTCCTCCCATATCATGTCTTTCTTGCCCATGCCAACAGTATTGTGGTTGATATCCTGGACATGTGGATGCTCAGTGGATGCAGTTCACAACACTGCAGTGACCTGATACACTATGCTTGGCTAGAAGATCATGGGATTCACTTCATGTGCAGTAGGGCTGCAGTTGAGCAGTCAAACACAGTGTGAGTGTTGCAGAAAAATATATAACCCAGGTTCAGTTCCTGGCTTTTCCATGTTGGGCTGGGAAAGAACCCTATCCGAAACCCTGGAGACCTACTGCTAGTCAGTGCATTCTTGGAACAGGGAACCTGCTAGACTACAGCTCCCATCATCCCTGACCATGGGCCACTGTGGCCAGGGCTGATGAGAGTTGGAGTCCAACGTCTTCCATAGGGCCACAGGTTCCCATCCTGGGTGTAGACAATGCCTACTGATGGTGATGGACTGTTTGTCTTGGTACGAGGTAGCTTCCTGTGTAAAGGAACCAGAGGTGAGGCAGTTCATTTCCAAGAATGAATGAAAAGATTTGATTAGAACTACAGTTACCTGCCAGCCAGCTCACAAACATGACGTTTGCAGACTTCTCCAGATATGACATTACAGAATTGTTCATGAGATTTTCTGCGCAGGTTACATATTCTTCAGGGTTGGTTTTTTTTTAAAGGTTTCATTGACATGACTGAGTTGTTCCCAGCACTGTTAATATAGACACACATAATATTTCATGTTATTCGTGTGCATAGACCTGATGACTCATTACAATTCCATCAGCTCATACCTAGGCTTGCTATACTATGTGTTGATGAGACTGGGACTTAGCAGCAGCTTCCTGATGGAAAGTTAGCATTACAAGGAAGAGAAACATTGGAAATAGGGCCTTAGTCAACAATTAAGGAAAATCCATGAGGTGCACCAGTGTTAGCTATATATTACAAAGTAGGGTATCAAGGTACACAGGTGGTGTGGATTACCTGGGGCCACACATTCAGTTTTACGATTTATGGCCAGAGATGGAATTGTACCTGCAAGTGTTTGTGAGCCAATTACTAAATTACACCATTACTTTGCTCTTAAATCAGGGACTGCACATAATCACATTTTGCAACTCTCTAGAAGTGGCATTCTGTTAATCATTCTACTTCAGTAGCACCCTGGGATTTACAGGGTGGCTGTGGCCTGCTTGCGTATACTGAAAATGGATGCCTATCAGAGGAACACACTTGTCCGAATAATATATTTTTGACTCTGCAGCAAATTAAAATATACACACTGGTACCAATTCTGTGTTACTAGTCATAGCACAATCCATCTCTGCAAGGGACTTTCTGGGCAGCAGACCAGTTCTTATTTGTGCTGTGGGCTATGGACCCGCATGCTGAGCACTGGCAAAACGACACAGTGAAGGTAACAGCAGCACACCTCTCTCAAAAATGGGTCTCATCAGCTGTCAGGGATGATGGTTGCTGTTTGGGAGTTGGAAGATGCAACCTCAATATCTGCTTCTCACACCATGCACTGTCACTGCACAGTGTGCAAGAAGGTGTTCCACTAGTTGCACAAGACAGAATGGGGCTGAATGGTCTAGAGGGGTCCCACTTCCAGTGAGTCCCCTTCTCTTGCATTATGGTGCAGTGATGGGTGCAATGGGTGGAGCACCCTACTAAATGTAATTAATGTATGATTCTTGCAGCATTTTCCTTTGATTCCTTTCTGCTGGAATGAGTTTGCGCAGGAGTTTCAGTTCTCATTTTGAAATCAAAAGTTTTTTGCCCTGCAGAATTGCAGACAAAAAAACGCTTTTGGAAATGTGACCTCTAAAGTGTGAAGCGCCCGATGGAAAAAGGGAAAAGAGAGGATTCAATATAATTTTTTGATTTGCCGTGAGGGAGAAGGACTTAATGCATAGAAAGCTAATGCTATTCTAGGTTGCATCAACAGAAGTATAGTGTCCAAATGAAGGTAAATAGCAGTACCATACTTGGAATACTGTGTCCAATTCTGGGCACCACAATTTAAGAAGGATGTTGACAAGCTGGAATGTGTGCAGAGGACGGCAACCAAGATGATCAAGGGTCTGGAAACTAAGCCTTATGAGGAATGGTTTAGGAGGTGGGTATGTTTAGCCTAGAAAAGAGAAGACTGAGAGGAGATATGATAGCCATCTTCAAATATCCAAAGGATTGTCACATGGAAGATGGACCATGCTTGTTTTCTACTGCTCAGGAAGGGAGGACTTGAGCCAATGGCTTCAAGTTATGAGAAAGGAGATTCCGACTAAACAGCAGGAAGAACTTTCTGACAGCAAGAGCTGTTCGACAGTGGAACAGGCTCCCTTTGAATGTGGTAGAGTAGACTCCCCTTTCTTGGAGGTTTTTAAGCAGAGATTGGATGGACATCTGTTATGGATGTCTGAGGTGAGATTCCTGCATTGGACCAGATGACCCTTGAGGTCCTTTCCAACTCTACAATTCTGTGATATTAATATACATTTAAACCTTGCCATTAGTAATAGTGAGGCTATAGCCTTACTGATTTTATGCCCAAACAGTTGCTCCAGTGACTTCTGTCTTGAGGGCAAGGCAAATATGCTTTGGATGATCCCGATTTCAAAGCAATAAGACACCTTATTTTTTAATCTTTCTCTCTCTTTTTTAAAGAGGGCAAACTAGTTATTTTTAGAATCACCACAAAGATGAATGCTCACAGCTCCTTGGGCTGCACAGCTTAAAAGTGCTGTACAATTACTTTTTATATTTAAAGAAGTCCATCTCTTTGTAGATAATGATCAGCCACTGTCTCTATCTAGGCTTGGCATGCCAGAATTATAACCTTATCTGCCTCATGGGGTATACCAGTTTCAAACTGATGAAGGTGTGAAAGAACCTTTGCTCTGGGAGCAGCTTGTATCAAAAGATATTTACGATACAGTATTAATTCCTTGTCCACTATATATGTATATTTAATACAGCCAGATAAATGTGAGGGATATTGACCCGAGCTGCTTTAAACTGATGTCTCAGCACTCGTCTAAGATGCTGTGCTTTACTTTTTATTCCTTAGAAGGCATCAAAATTGGTGACCACTGGAGACGACCCACTAGTCAAAGTAATCCTCAAATGTTTTCTCTCTGATAAATATGTTCTTGCTTGTAGACCATAGTATAACAGCCCTGATAATTATTCTTAGAGCAGGCATAGGCAAACTTGGCCCTCCAGATGTTTTGGGACTACAATTCCCATCATCCCTGACCACTGGTCTGCTAGCTAGGGCTCATGGGAGTTGTAGGCCAAAAACATCTGGAGGGCCGAGTTTGCCTATGCCTGGCTTAGAGGCAGGAAGGGATATTCCTTTTAGAACAGTCTTTGCCAACTTCCTGATGTTTTGGGATACAGCTCCCATCATCCCCAGTCAGCATGCAATAATTTTTGTATCCTATCCCCCTTAAATGTTGTTTGGAAAATATTATATCCAATGTATACAACGTAGCTTATATAAGTTATTCATTTTACAGATGGGGAACCTGAGGCTGAGAAATTAATCACTTCCCCAAGATTCTTCCATACATTAAAAATCTGCTTCTTGGCGTTTGAGTGGAAGCTGTTTTAACAGGAAACATTAGCTTGTAGATTACATGTATATGTAGAAATATGTATCTTCATTTTTTTAATATTCATAATCTTAACATATATTTCAGGATACCAAAAATACATCAAATATATTATTTATTTTTCTATATCCTGCAGTATGTAATTTTGGACAGTGAACACCTATACTTTTAAAGCACATATATATATATATGTATGTATGCATCTATTGGTTGTCCTTGTTGCATTTCTTACCACTTTTCACCATAAGGTCCAAGATGAGTGGCAATAATATAAAAAATACAATGTTAAAACCTGTTAAAACAATTTACAATAAGAAGAAGAGGGTAGCTTCGAAAAATATATTTCAAGTGTCGAAGGCCAGGGTAAGGAGATGTGGCTTCAGCATAGAACAAAAACTATATATAGTATACTGAAGGTTCCAGATTCTGTGGGGAGGGAATTCCAAGGGTTAGGGGTTGCTACAGGCTATCACCCCACAACGTCT